TACTACCCGCTAAGATAAAGGCTTAGTATAAGGTATAGCTCTAAAGGCTTAGCTTCGAGGCTAACTTAGTAAAAGAGGATAAACTTAAAAGGCTATTTATTAGTTTTTATTTAAAGCTTCGCGAGATTATCGAAAAATACTAAAATTCCGGTATATAGCCTATCTTAGCTATCTTATAAGTTTATATTAATAGCGCTACCGAATACTAATATTTATTATAATAGAATTACGTTAACGATCTAGGTCTCTATAATATCGCGATACCGCCCGAAATTTAGGTATAAATAAGCTAGACTATTAATAAAGGGGATAATATAGAATAAATCGCGAAAAGCTATATTTTACTATTATATAGGGTAGTGTTTAAAGCTATACGCGACGGGCCTATACATATATATATAATCCTTATATTACTAGACTTACTATAATTCCCCCTTAATAATACTATTAAAAATAGGGAGCTAATCCTCCTAATTAAGTGCCTTACGAGGCCCTCTCACAGAACCCTTATAGGGATCTATTCAGGCCCTATTACAGGGGTCCACAGCGCTTACAAATACAGTGCTTCTATTGCCTTCTATAATATTCGAAGGCTAGCACTACTACACTCGCTATTATAAATCAAACCTTCTATAACCTTCTACTAAGTTCGGTTTAACCCACTCTTTTACAAGGCATTATAGCGCCCTCACGCCTATAAATATAGGCCTTCGTTCACTACTAGATAGTTCTAAATCAAGTTATTCATTCACACTGTTCTTCACCTATATCTTGCCTACCCTAAAGAGAAGATTGCTAAATCGGTCGCTTTCTTCCTTTACTAAAGGGATTCCCGGATTATCGCGATTCACTTACCCTGCGCCTAGAAGAGTATTACTCTTTAATAAATACTATATAATATCCGCGAATATAGCCCTTTTTTATATTCTTTCCCTCTTAACTAGCGGTATTATATTAAATAGTAAGTCTAATTAATCTCTTACTTTCGGCTATATATTTTAGTATCCTTTTTAATAATAGAAATACCCGAGCTACCGCTATCGATTCCTACGGTCTACGATACGCACTTATAACGCGAAAAATATAATAAAATACGCGCTACCTCCGTTAGGCTACTCTACCCTTTTTATAGCCGGCGATAGCCTAAGCTAGTAAAGATCGACGCCCTAGATATATTTAGCGACCCTCTAACGCCTATAATTATATATAGATCGCCGTTAATTAGCGGCTACGCGTTATCGGAAGGTCGTAGTATCGCTAAATAAGCGCTACCTTAATTATCCTCGTTATCTTTAACGCGTAGCAATCGCCTTAATAACTTACGTGGCTATATAAGGTAGGCTATTATTACTATAAGGCCGGCTAAGCCTATCTCGCTATTTAAAAATCCCTATGTTAAAAATAAGGGACTAATTCCTTAATTAGGTACCTTACGAGGCCCTCTCATAGAACCCTTACAGGGATCTATCTAAGACCTATTACAGGGGTCCACAGCGCTTATAAATACAGTGCTTCTATTGCCCTCTATAATATTCGAAGGCTAGCACTACTACACTCGCTATTATAAATTAAACCTTCTATAACCTTCTATTAGGTTCGGTTTAACCCACTCTTTTACAAGGCATTACAGCGCCCTCACGCCTATAAATATAGGCCTTCGTTCACTACTAGATAGTTCCAAATCAAGTCATTCGTTCACTAAGTTCTTCACCTATGTCTTGCCTACCCTAAAGAGAAGATTGCTAAATCGGTCGCTTTCTTCCTTTACTAAAAGGGATTCCCGGATTATCGCGATTCACTTACCCTGCGCCTAGAAGAGTACTACTCTTTAATACCCTATATCCTTAAAATCCAGGTCTAGCTAGTCTATTCTACCGGTTATAAGCTCTAAGGTAATATCTTTAAAGCCTCGAGCTCTTTATTAATAAATAAGCTAATTTAAACGTTCTAAAATATAGCTAATTTACCGTAAATAGAATATATTAATCGCCAATCTTATAAGCTAACCTTAGATTCTTTATAAATACTAATATTCTAACTATATACCTTAAACCTTTTATTCTTTATAATACCTTTAAAATACTTAATAAATTAATAATATATATTAGTATATCCTTCTAGAAGAATAATAAATAAGAACTTAAGTAATTTATATCGGTTTCCTTAAAAAATAATAGCCTTTAGGATATACTAGGCTAAGATAATAATTTTTAGTAGGCTATTAGTAATAGCCGGGTTATTATATAGATTAAGCTTTAATTTATTAAAGATAACCTTAAAAAGCCTACCTTAAAGCCACGGAAGCCGCGGTCGAGGGCTAAGTCTACGGCGCTAGGCGAACGGTCGTAAAGGGAATCAATACTAGCTTTAATTCGGGTTAAACTAGAGCTAGATCTAGCACCCTATGAGCCGATTAGCCTTAAAGCCTTCCCGTAAGATCTAGCGGGTAGGACGCGTAGCGAGACAGCCTTATATAAAGCGTCGGATAATATAGAACTCTTGCTAGCTAAGATCGGCGCCCTTAAGGCACCCGACGAAGCAGCCGATAAGGCACCCGCTAAGGCACCCGACGAAGCAGCCGATAAGGCACCCGCTAAGGCACCTTATAAGGCAGTTAGGAAGAGGCTAAGGGCGCCTATAGCGGGTAGCGTTAATAAAGAGGTACGACCTCGCCGTTCACGGCGTGAAGCTAGGCTAACCGCCAAGGCGCGGCGGTCGTGATTAAATTTATAGCTATTTATAACCTTCCTTATAGCCTTACTTATAGCCTTACTTTATAACTAATTAATTATAAATATATATCTTACTTAAGAACTTTAGCGCCTCCGTGATAACTATTACACGCTTTATATAAAAAATAAATACTATTATTAAGAAGTCTGCTATCGCTAGATTATAGTAAATTAATTTATTTATTATAGAATTAAATTCTACGGCGTGCGTAGCTCTTTAGGTGAGGCTATAATAACGAGAGTGCGTATATATACCGTGTAGTGGCTATATAATTAGTCATTAATACCGTTAGCACCTTGTGATCTAATATCCCACCGTTGACGGCGCTAAGAAAGTAATTGGATAGTGCATTCCAATGCATGGGCTCCGATACAGTGTGTATAGATAACCTCACGATAGCTGTCTCCATTAGCGACAATCGGGGAGCTGCATGTTCACGGTACTAATTCAAACACCAAGCGCACAACAAATTTCACTTAGCTACTCTACTGTGTCTCCACTCTGCATATTCGTTATATCATACAGAATGACCCCGAAGAGAGAGGCCTTGTCATCATAAGCGTTTGTGGGACCTGCAATATCCACTTTAGTAATCAAGCGGTACGGCTAGATGTGCTAGCAACCTACCGCAGGTGCAGGACGGGACGGCTCGATATTGCGGGCCTCACTAAACTTACGAGTCGCTAGCAGTGCGTAGTACAAAAGCGGAGACGCTAGTTTCCAAGCAAGGGTCATCCGTTAGGATAAGGTCGGCTTATACCGAGCCTGGCCGAGAATGCTTTGCAGTGACCTCAAGACCGTTGAGTGCTTTAACCATTGGGGCATTGCCAAAATCTACCCATATCGGTTTCGTATTTCAACATCATCAATGTAGCCAATGCAATCTGGCGCACAGAGGCTCCTGGGCTTCGTACTGTGAAGCATATCAGCAAGGGTTATCACCCGTAGTCGTGATGCCCAATCGTAGCTGGACACAGCTGCAAGCTTTACGAAGGTGGGGAGTGGCGTTTCAAGCATCCGCATATAGGAAAATACTATCAAGCCACCAGAGCTGAGCCGAGTAGCGGTCAAGTATATGCGGAAAGGGTACGGGGTTTCTCATAGCTGCTTTGAGCGAGTGACGTCTAACGGAGGGCAAACATTGTGCATTTGGCTCCAAAGGGCGGGGTGGGGCCATGTATGGGAAAGGTATCTCGCCATTAGATGGGGCAGGGAAAGTAGATGACATGAAGCTTCACCAATACTCATAATGTACCAACGCGTCTCTGACCCAGCTCGGAATGTTTGGCAGAGGAGGGGGGCATGGGATTGCATGGTCGCATGGAGAAAGCCTGGGATAAGTATGGAGGAGCTGGGTCGAAGGTTGCCTCGGCCGTACCACGGCCGTCTAAGGCGCTATTCGCAACACGAGATAATCACATTAGTTGGTACAGTCATGACCTCTCTTATCACATACCACGACACCGGAAGAGGGAGGAACCAGAGATACGTCAAAAGTGCCCCTCATAAGTCGTGATCACAGCGGGGTAGAGGTGAACTTGGTATTGAATACAAGAGGCCATGAATAAAGGCCAAGTCTGCAGATGACGAGGACTCAAGCGCCGAGTCTCTGCAAACCATTATTAATACGACTAGCCCGTAGCACCATCTAGACATGATGTCCCGAGAGCCGAACTACGAGGCTCTTGCGACTCAGATTCCCTACCTAGAAGGCATAGTAGTAAGTTGGTCCAATTGGCCTCACATTTCGCTTTATCTCTTACAAATTCTCTGATTTCCTTATCTTTGTTGAGAGCCAATTGATAGCTCCTACAGCCTCCCTGCAGGCGAGGGCTCCCCTGAATCACGACGAGCGTGAGAGCCTCGAAGAGCGCGGGGATGTAATCGGCGAGCGGGCCGGCTTCGGTGACGGCGGGAATACCAATGAACCATGCGCTGTCGGCCCCATGTCTAAGACGAGTTAGAGGATATGTGCGTACATGAAGCATCCGACGGCGGCGAATGTGATAGGGAAATGGATACTTGCTAAAAGCGGTTAAGATGGAGAACAGATGCCAGCTGAAGGCCTCTCGGCGGTTCATTCACCAGCTGAAAATACGTCAAAACCTCGTCACCTTGACAGCAAGCATGAGGCAAGGGCGATCACTCATCACTTAAAACACTAACGAGACCCGGTCTGTGATTTGACACGTTACTCAAACGGAGGCGATCGTGCGGGCAGCTGTCAAAACGCGACCCGTGATCGACACACGTTACTACATGGCGATCCCGCGCGCGCAGCCGTTTCCACCCACACCGGATTCCTTAGACAAGCTCTGGAATGGAGCCGACAGAAAAGAAATGCCCGAATTGATCTCAACGTGACGTAAATAGGACTATGCGAGACGTCAGAGTGCAGCGGGCAAGACGGAGTGAGGCACCGCTCCAGTCAGCAGTCGCAATCCGAGACATTATACGGAGTGCTAAAAGGTATATATATATTCGACTATCGCGTCCCTTCTACTGTCTTCTGAATCTCATCCTCTTCCGCAAACTACATCCCGAGAGTTCTTACTACTACTCCTTCCTTATACTATTCCACACACTCGTCACTATGGGAGGCTCCGGCGCTACTTCCGAGGCCATCAGCAACAGCGGCGTCGTCGCTAGCATGCTCGAAAACCTCAATGGACTCCATGGGCCGCCTTATAAGGTACGTATAGAAGCGACTTCTCGCTGCTCAGATATGCGCTAAATATATGGCAGCCTACTGGAAACAATGACAAGGATGCCCAGGTCTTGCGCGAGCGTCTGTACGAGTACAACAAGACGCGCTTCTTCGACGAGTTCTCGTACCCGTACCAGAGGAATCAAACCCGTCCTGAACGTTGGGACCGAGAAGGCGAGGTCATCGGAAAAGATGGGTTTGCCAGCTTCCCCGTGGAACAATCGAACAACGTTCGCTGGTATGTCGAAAACCGCATTGCTCAAGGATCGGATCTTCCTGAAAAAGAGAAGGACGACTTCAAGGCCGACGTCGTGAACATGGTTCAATCTCTCATCATGACGGATGGCCACGGCTGGCAGGCAGATGAGTTTGTGCGCACGTATGGCGGCTTGAGGGTCGAGGGCATGATCATCTGGGACGTGATCAACGCGCCAGACCCTTCGGGAAACAATCCCAGCTCTCAGCGTCTCATGGTCTTGCATTATGTAGGCGTTGGGTACTCTCGACGGAAGTAAGATCTATTTCATAGATTACTACTATCCACAATGAATGTTCCCGAAGTCTCCTATCTATCTGAACTGTGATCACGAAGCTGAGCCTGTGTAGATGTTCACAACTTGAGTAACGGTTCGATCTCGCATCTGCTCGCACATGGTAGACCACGCTTCTGCCATGGCCACACTCTTGATGCGACTCGCAATGAGGTTAACACCGGCTATTATGCTCTTCGTAATGGATGACTGTTGGCACTTCGAAGGATATCCGGGGTCTCTGGTGGATGAAGCGTAGAGTCGTATGTTCCCGGAAGCATGGCCAGATTCGGTGCCCGCGCCACAAAATCTGCATGAACATGCTCTTGAGCTTGCGGGGGGCTAAACCGGACCACTTCGGGATCTTGTTCAGTCAACATCAAGCCATAACCTTCAACGGTGACCGATACGGGATAGAGTACCCCTAAAGAAGTGGTCCAAGGGGAGAATCACCTTGGCAGGCGATGCTGCCCATGCGACGTCCCCGTATGCAGCGTACGGGGCCGGAATGTCTAGCTACGATGGGTACTTTATCGGCCAACGGCTTCACGGCATTGACCTCTCCGATAAGACTGCAGTTCTCAGAGCGTTGGAGGAGTACGAGGTGATCCAGCTCCACCACACCACGAGCCAGGTGAATGGAGCTTACTTCCTCGGGCAGCTGTTCCATCACGTTCCATTCCCCCTCACCCTTTTGCGCGATTGCTTCCTCGATTGGACCGGCTTCCTCCAAGGCCAAGTTGGGGACCGGAATCCTCAAGAGATTATAGCACAGTTGTCAACTATGGGCCCAGGTGTTTCACCGTACACGGAGTAAATAGAGCCGTTCTCTTAGGGATTATACAGAGTCGTCCGAAATGCTGCTTAAACTTCGACCGACCGTGTCTTACAATCGTGAATAGACGACCTTGGATCGGTACTGGATTAAATTTTGATTAATGACTGAAATAAACGCTCCTTATGGCGAATTACCTAGGTAACTTTATCTATCACATTACCATACAATGTCAAAAGCTGCCATGACTAAATTGGAAGCGGCAAAAGACCAGTTGCAGCTGATCAAAAGGCGGAGCAACCTCATCACGGACTTCATTCGAGGCACGTTCGATTACGAGGATGCGAAGAAGATGCTGCCCGCCAAGGAGTACTCCTGCAGTGGATTCTGGAGCAGATTCCTTTGATCGGGAAGGAGATGACACAGCCGAAGGCAATCGAGGCAGGGTCTAGCGCGGCCAAGAGCACGAAAAGGAGCCTCGCTACCGATGGGGATCATTCGACGAAGCAAAAACCTAAAAGGCAGAAACTCCGTGGTCTCCGATAACTTCGTCGTGATAAGTGGTGGTATAGAGCAATAGCTGAGATAAAGTATAATAAGGAGGTAAGCGCGCTCCTAGTAATATTAGTCTCACGCCTTATAAGGGATCGTATTTCTAGAAGGGAGATTGTCAATTATCTCGCTTTAGAATATTAGTAACGTGATAGTGCAGGGCGGCCTAAATCCACTCAAGGAGGCTAGCCAGATACGAGAGCGTGTATCTGATATGTACAGTACTATCTATTATCTAGCGATGGCCCTACCTCGATAGTTTGCCTTCATCTGGGATCGGCCGACCGGCGGAGCCGCCGTGGTACTGTTCTCGTTGCCTTTGATGCCTCTGACCCGGATAGGCTGCGGCCGCCAAGGCCACGAAAAGGGTGATATAGGAGACCTTTATGTCTATCGAGTCCAATCGCGGCGTTGGCTCTTTGCTCGTGCCTCTCCACGGGGCTGGCTACATACAATCCTCCGATTGCTTCCAGCCATCGCCTTCATTCGTCTGTTTTAGCCGTGCTAAGGCAACGGCGTCGTGGTACCTAGGCACGGAATCCGAGACTGCGGACCTCTGAGGTCAAGGTGCGAGTACTTTAAGACCCTTATCTCCTTTTTCTGTCCTTAGTGAGGCATAGTGTTCCTGCCCCTCCTAAATACACCCGGGGGAACGCACGAACTTCTACACACTAAGCCTAGTATTAAGCGGGGTGGATTCTTAGATTATAATGTCTTTTTATACTATAACGCCTATGCTTATAGCTCTATTGCCTCTGCGCATGGCCTTGGCGGAGCCACCGACACAGCAGGCGCTCGACGTATTTCCCATCTGCGTGGTGAGTCTGCCGCTGGCTTTAGCACAGTTGTAGTTAACATAGTGTATTAAAGAGTGATTGTATCACGGCAGGCATTTTGGAACAGAGCTGCGACGCGGCTGATCTACTATGTATCTGTGCGAACGATACCTTAAAATGCTGCTCGACTTCTACTACGAGGTTGTAGATAGGCTGGTACGTCCTCCCATGAACTTCTCCGTGCTTAACTACTTAGGGCAACGATGCAATAGAACTAACTCAGAGGTAGGGAAAAATAACGATATAGATTAATTAGTATTAAGGCTCTGTTTATGTATCGAGCACAGAAACCGAGGCGTGACGCATTGTCGACGTCGATTGATTGTTAAAACCTTGTAGCGAAAGATGATTGTCGGAAAGTTAGTGATAACTCGCTAAGTCTATCATAAGGAAAGTTTCTCTTTCGAGAATATAGCTTTGAAACATATCAAATACGCCTGTTGGGTGGGGTCTGTATCTCTGGTGTGGCTAGTCTAGGTAGGAATAGGTACCCTCATCTAATACTTTCTTAACCTGACACCCGTGCCCGATAAATATATGTTGAAGCTGCTTAGATATAGTAATGACAGCTATGATCCGTGCGCGCGGGCTAGAGATGTCTCTACGACGTAGATGTCTCCTACGACGTAGATAGAATTAGGACCCTAGGACTTATCTAAGACATACAGCGGTGTATCTTAGGCACTAACTTTTATTTACAGTATCACATGGGATATCATCGGCGTTTCCCTAAATCACTTCGCTAAATCATGCCACTATGAGGTAAGTATAATAGTAACCCCTCGTTTTGTAGCTTATCTAAAAGTCTCTCATGTGAGATAATTCTCTTCCTATGAAATCAAGTCTAGCGTACTATGACGGCAGAAACGGGTGAAATACGAACAAAACCTAAAACTCTCCACGCTTGCACCGAATACGAAAAAAAGGTTTAATAGTCGCGAGTCGACAACTAAAAAGCCCATTGCCCGAGAGCCTAATACTATTCTTCTGCGAGCTTACCTTGCCATCAACATTCCAATGGCATGGTACTCTCGGGCCCCGTTGCACAGCGTTCGTGTTGCTCGACTGGTTTTACAAGGTGCACACTTCATAATTATATTAAGCTAACTCAACATACCGTCGACCGCCCTCTGTTTTTGGAGAACATCGAAACGACTGTGGGTGTTGCCAATAGACCACAAGATCGGAGCTAACGGAACACCCTTTGGACAGATTCCTTCTACGAATGCTCACATGCTCATTCCCTGCTCGAGCTTCACATCGCACGATCTTCTTAATTGCATCACATGTATCATCAGTTATACGATTCAACCCATCGTGCTCTTCTATCTCCCTGTTTGACCCCTAATTGATTTGCATATAGTTACATATTGCTTTTGACCGAGGTCAGTTTCTGATTCGCACGATGGGGAAATGAAACGGGTGGTGGTGTTCGCGTCCAAAAGATTGGACGCGACGGCCTTGCCAATGCCGAGAGCCCCGGTCTGGACATAAGCGAAGCCCTGCTAGAGCCACTGACAGGTGGCTCTCTGGGCGGTTCAGGACTCGGCATGTTTTGACTAACAAACTCAGCTCCACGAAAACCAATAGCCTAATCAGACGCGAGAGTATCCGCTAATTCGGATATCTCAATTACTCAATTTCATACGTCCTTATCATTTAGAGTCCTAAGTTTCGTGTGATCGCATTCTCGCCTACTCGGAGATAAGTTACGGTAAATATCTAAGGCGCTATTTCGTAGACTAATTGCTAGTGTCCTCTCTTATTACATAATATATAGCAATAGCAATTGCTCGAGCCAACCCTAAGCTGCTCTTGCAGGCACTACTCAGTGCCACTATCCGAAGTGTGCCTTAAGGATTAACCTAAGTAATAAAATAACGCTTCCAATCTGACCGGTCGTGCCCGGGGAGGATGAGCGCAGCAGGCAAACCGCGTGCTATGCTTAGTGCGATTGCAGAACCAATGGCACCCGACCCGGCACCTGTGATAACAACTTTGCGACCTCTTAGCTTGGATCACTGCCAGTGTAGCGAGCGCACATACCGGCCTTGCCTTCAACTTTGCTTTTGAAAGCATCCACGACTTCATCGGCGGTGCTTGACCAGCTCCATCGAGTCATGCTTGCGGTATTAAAATGACAACAACTCAAAGGAGTAACTATAAGCTGCAGGGACGAGGCGATTTAAAAGGGAGAGTCTGATGCCATTGTATACAGACGAATTGAAGTTTTACGCTGTTCCTCTTTTATAGGCAAACTTTGAAAGTCAATAACAGCTTCATTACGTGTGTGCTCTAACAGGCTAGTGCCTATCTCCGTTTACGATCGTAACTCCGCACGAGCTGATTCCGTTTTGGTTAAGGAAGCTAAGATTCGCGTTAGTGCTGTTTACCTTCTTGCACTGTCTTTAGAATCACTCATTAGGTTAAACTCAATGATTTTCATCTTTCATTGGGGAAAAACACAAAGCCCAACGGTTGGGAGCGAAGAATGATATAATACAGATAAAGATAATAAATAATTAGAATTGTGTTAGTTTTGCAAAAGTGGCGTAACAGGAGCGGCTTCGTGCCTAATCAGATGAGACTTTAGGAAATGTCCTTTCCTAAAACCCGGTCTCCACGGCGGTTGATCCCCGCCCTCAATGCCCCTTAAGGCCATTAACACCTTTTATCGCCGCTCGCCCTTGACTATTGTTGCGCACTACGTAGTCCCCTAGCTATTCATACGCCTGTCCACGCCAAGATGCACTTTATAGCACAGCTTACGAGCGATAAGCACACCCCTTCGCTCCCGCCGCTACAGCTTAGTTCACCTCTGCGGCCCCTCAGGGTATAAGTATAGGCTGCTTTGATATACTCAATCGATTGGAGAGTGTGTGTGTAGAATAGTGACGTTAATCCTTAGAGGTCGTGAATTCCGAACTCGGAAGAGTTAACCTCAAGCAATAGAAGGCATTGCGCGGAAGTGAAGAAATCCCGTATTTTTCCACTAGGTATAGTCGTATGTGCAAGATGACACTATTGCTACAGGCTATGAACATGCTCTTCCCTTACGACTCGACTCAATAACAAAAAAACATACAACAGCTGGTATTCGCTAGTCGTCACCGACCTAACTACTAATCAGCCCCTCAGCGGCTTGACTATGGGAGAGCGGACGGGATCCCGTATTTTCCACTGGGTATGGTCGTATGTGACAGATGCTGTGGGAATTGAGATTATGAGTAAAGTTGTTGATCAGTAGGCCAACCCCCTTAATGTCGCGGAAGGACAACTACGGCCCGACGCCGCAGCCCTGTGCCGTCAACTGAGGCACTGAGAAATGCTGGAACTGCTGCTTGACCATCGTGGGCGGCCAAATCTCAAGGATCGAAGCTTGTTGACAGCAATCCATATCGCGGTCATCGGGCAGCACAGGGACATCGTGTCGGTGCTGCTCGAATACGGCGCCGGTCTCGAGGCCAAGGCGGTGCGGAGTAGGGCGACACGGAAACGCCCCTGATGAGAGCCATCCTGGCGAATCGAGAGAAGTAACGCAGGAATTGCTTGAGCACGGAGCACGCGTGGACAAATTGCCAGCTCTTCCGGGAGTCGTTTCCCTGAGGGGACCTACTGACCCGGTGGACGAGGAGGTGAAAGAGCTACTTAGACTCCCGGAGCAGGTCTTCCTCGGACGCTTCAAGCGTTCGTCGCGCTTCGTTAACCTATTCATGAAAAGCCTGGGCCTTTCCCACCGATTCCTCTTCGTTCTTGTAGTGATGTACCTCTGCCTTAGGTCTGGGTCGTTGAATCGCTGGGACAGATGAGGACGGCCCTTGGGCCTCCGAGGGACGGGTTGGTCCGGCATTGGTAAAGTCCTCTCGTCTCAGGTCTGGCAAATACGAGGCTGGTTGATCCGGCACGGACCGCTGATTATGCACTTTAAGTACCTGGCGAATCTGGCGCTCCAGCTCAGGGTCGGTATCTCTCCTATAGTATCCTCCTCGGCTGAGCCGCAGTAAAACGTCACGAGACGAAATGAATTCTTCCCAGCTCTTCCGTCCTGCAGGGAGAATGTTGGGATCCGCACCCAGGTCCAAAAGCAGATCCACGATAGGAAGCATGCCCTTCTCCGCGGCGTGGTACAGCGCAGTCCTCCTTCCAGAGTTCATGCCATTGATATTGTGACCTAATTTAACCAGAAGTTTGATCATGGGGACGTTGCCTATCACGACAGCTTGGCGAAGGCTCGTGACGGCCTGGCAACAGCGCGACTTTAAGAACGCTACGTTACCGGTATATTCCTGGGAATGGCCTTTCGGCCAACGACCCAACCAGTCCTCCGCAGTAAGGCCGCTTTCGTCGAATAGAGTCAGAGGCTCTGCAATGCAAGATTCTTCGAGCAGGATACGGACGGTGGCTAGATCTCGACTGTGGATGGCCAAATGAAGAACGGACCAGCCGTGGTCGTCCTGCTGAGAGGCAGTGGATCGTATGCGATCGTCTTCCAAGAGGCATTTGACGGCATAGAAGTGTCCCATGAATGCGGCGTGGTGTAGTGCAGTCCAGCCATGGGATGTTGACTTGAATGAGTCGGCTCCTCGCCGGAGAAGCAAGGCCACGGTGGAAGAATACCCTCCGTTTGCAGCACAGTGCAACGGTGACGTACCATAAAGACTGACAGCATGGGGGTTGGCCCCGGCGTCCAGCAACAAACGCACAATCTCCGTGTAGCCCTCCCCTGCTGCCCAATGTATCGCGGACCAACCGTCACGATCACGATGGTTCGGATCCTCTCCAAGATTGAGGAGAAGCCGAACAGTGCGAAGGTTGCCAGAAGCTGCCGCTTCTGCCAAAGGTCGAGTCCGCTGAGCATCTCGGGTATGAGATATGTCGACATGGTGTTCAACAAGCATTCGAGCAGTCGAATAATATCCCAAATTGGCCGCCCAATGGAGCGCAAACTTTCCATCGGCGCTGCTCGAATTGGCATCAGCACCATAGTGTAATAGTCTCTCGGTGATGTCTTTTTGCCCGGTAACTACAGCCCAGAGAAACGGGGAAAATCCAGAGGTGTCAGTGATATGTAAATCCGCACCGTGCTCGATCAAGACGTCGATGCACTCGATAAAGCCCATCTCCGCAGCGTAATGCAGGGGCGTTTGACCATGTTCGTCCCTACAATTCACTATTGCGCCACTCAGGATCAAGGACTTAACCATGCCCAGATTACTTGCCTGCACCACGTGGTGAAGCGTCGTCATCCCAAAGTCGTCCTTCTCCTCTAGGTCGACTAGGTCGCGTACTGTTGGCCTTGCAATGATATTCTCTTCACGGTGTCCCACCTTGCTATTCACAGCCTCAGTGTCACCGTCTTGGAAAGCGAGGTCCTCGTCGTCCAGTACGCTGTCCATGGATGAACGTGGAATTCCAGAAGCTTCTGATATCTGGTCACTATCGACGTTCGGCGCATTCTCGTCATCATCGCTGGGAAGCTTTTGCAGTGTAAGAAGAGCAATTTCCTTCATATGACCGGCGACATGTGACTGGAGAGCTTCACTCGAGAAGACAGCGCTCGATTCGACCTTATCCGGGGGTTGAAAATCGTCGCTAAAAGGACATTCCAGCACCTTATCGAGTACTGGCCTCCGTGCGGCGTTGCTGAGGGTCTTGGCGTGTGCTTCAGGCACGCTGTGCTCCTGGATAGAATGCTCCTGGTACTGGATCTCTTGATCAAAGATAATTGGATCGTGAGAAGGGGCTCTGCACTCCCATACATGCCCGTGGGCAGTCTGCATGTGGCCGAGCCAGGCTTTCGACGTTTCGAATGTGAGCGGACTCGTTCCCTGCCCGTCGTGACCTCCTTCCAGGCAGTGTGAAAATACACAAATAAAAGGCTCCAGGTCATTGATGACATGATTCCTGCTGCATATTAGCCACATGTCGCCATAACACGACAGCAGGAATACTCTGCTTACTGCCACAGTGATGACCTTGCAGTGTTCTTGAACTCGAGTATGACGCCGCAGTATGGACACTGCTGCCCCGGCGGTATGGGAGGGAACGACAACTTGCTGTTCACGAGAACAGAGTGAGCCCTGGGGGCCTCAGTTGTGGACTTGGCGTACAAGGCCGCAATGTCAGTTTGTCGAGCAGTAGTCGCGTTCGTTGCTGGCACTGGCAAAGGGGCCGGCATTCTGTTGGTCGTCGCAGGCTTTGGCAACGCGACAGGCGCAAACCGCACAGCCGGCGCATGACCGGTCATGTTGGGGTATGAAACAACGGCTGGAGCCGTTGTAGGGCTCTGAATACTCATATCAATGCGCCTTCGATGGGAGCGCTGATAACACAGCCGTCGAAGTCGCAACGCGTTGGCCTCGACTAATGCTGAGCGGGGCGCCTGCGGCGCCTCCGGGAATCGGAACTCAATATAGCATTTGGTGTAGAGACGCAACTCGTCTATGGCCCTGTTTGCCTCTTCGTCGTCTCTATACCTTTCGATCTTGCGAGCCCGGTTGGCTTTGGCGGACTTTCGAACGGCGTTGGATAAACGGAATAGCCGCGTCACTGTTCCGCCGATTGTCTCGTTAATCTTCGAAATATTCCCTTCTGCTGGATCGACATCACTCTCTGAATCGCTTGCGTCGTCGTCGTCAGCTCTCCTCGTGACTCCTGAGTTGCTATGTGCTGAAATGCGTTGTCTCTTTCTGCTCGAAATTTGTGGTGGTCGGTCGTCGATTGGCTTCACTATCATCGAGACTCTTATCAGCTTTGCTCCTCAACCTATCCGAATCCGGTGCGCAAGGTGCTCACAAGACAGCAAAGCATCGCATATAATATCCAGGAGCTGATGTATGATGTCCGTAGCTGTGGGACTGAATCGCAGTCTGTAGTCCAGCGAGACATTGAGCGGCCCGTAAACCTCCATGTTTGATGCCCACAGAGAGAAGCGTGCCAGCTGGTCGTCCATGATCGTCGGGTCTGGCACGAATTTTGGCATGCCCATGTACTTTTGGAAAAGAGACTGGCATTGTGTCGCATGCTCTGCGATGGTCGAGCCAAGATTATCTTGAAGAAAGACGTCTTCCAAAGACTCGCCCCCCGCACGCTCGAGACGCTCCATGGTGGGAAGGCGCGATGCGGACGATGGTGAGTCTTTTTGGGTGCCGCGAAGACACAGTGAGCCGATCCTGAGGTCTGACTGAAACGACGTTCAAGAGGTTGTTGGTAAGCAAATCGCGACTGGGGCTATGGAATTGTAGTAAACATTATGTGTCACGGGTGCTCCCGAGTTACTAGAGCTCCTGCCCCGCCTCATCCTTCTCGCGAAGGGTCACAGACAGAAGTAGCGGTACATGAGGTACAAGTACGGATACAAAGCGCCCTGGCCACTCGCAACCAGCGGCTTGCCGCTTGGCTGCTGTACCTGGCCAGATCACCATGCACGACTTGATTGGCCTAGAAGAATCGGGATGAGAAGACAGGGCCTACGGGGGGCTTGGAGTCTGGACCCAGGGCCCAGGGGCACTTGAGTGATTGTTTACACCCGGGGCAGTGCCGCCCCAGTCCCTTCTTCTGCTCCTCCGATCATTTCGCTCGGCCCTAGGGGAATGCCTGTGTAACCCGCATCTTCAAGCCATGCCTTTTACCAAGACATATTTTCTGTGTCCGACAACCGATTTCATATATCCACCGCCAAAGGGCCCCCTATGTCTCGGGTCTGTCATCCGCTCCACTTCAGCGCCGCAATACCCTCTGAACAGAGCGAGCGTAGTTCCCGTGGCTGATGCATTCCCACCTGTCGTGGAGACCGACTGGAAAAAGACTGTTTCAACCGAGAAAGGGCTCGGTGTGGGTGTCTATGCGCAATTCCTACAGCTGGCTACCGGTGGTGGACTAGCCCTCGGTCCCGAGGTGGACATTGAGCATTCGAACACAACGGCAGATACGTTTGCATTCGACACGGTGACGACACTGGCGTTTGAGCCGACCCAGGAGTACGTGGAAGAGGCTGTCAAGGCACCGGCCATCCAGGCATGGCTGAGAGAGCCCAGGCAAAAATTTGCCCTTGTCAGCGAGCTCTTCCTCGTCACGGGCATGAAGCTCGTCAAAGGCGCCAAGATCAAGTATTCGACTTCACAGAGCACGACGGCCAAGGGGAATCTTGGCATCGACGTGACCGCGCTGGGCACGACCTTTGGCCCGAAAGGCCACTGGACTGACACGAATGGTGATGCGACAGAGTTCAATCGCGAGTCAGAATTTGTGTTTGCGTTTTGCGTAAAGAGGCTCAAGTTTGGGCGGAGACTGAAGCTTGAAGAGTACAACAAGGGCGCCTTTATGACGATTAGCGGGAAGAAAGATGGTGATGGATGTGTTTTGGTCGAGGACGTGGATGGAGCTGATATCAAAACTGCTGAGATTGTCCCCGATGTGACTGAGAACGGCAACGTCTATTGCGTTCCCGCTTGAGCATGCTAAACGAATCTTGGACTACAACGGAGATACACATCAGTGACCATGTGAGATTTGACTCTGTTATTTGTACATGTTCCTTTTGATATCCTTGATTCTCTCGTATACCCTCTCCCTTGTCGAGCCGCTATCAAAGAGCATATGAGGCGTGATGTAGTCGTAGCCTACTCCCCGTCTCTGTTTGACCATGCTCTTGAAGACCGCATCCATGGAATTGTCTCTCTTCAGCCACGGTCCCAGTCTTTCATCTTCGGCAGCGATATGTTGATCCTGCTGCCGAACAAAAGACAGGACTGACGCGGCCAGGCCAGCGGCAATCGGCGTTGCGACTGATGTTCCCGTCATAACTCTGACAGTCTGATCGTGTCCATCTATGCCAGCCGGCCAGTGAGAAGAGACATCCTCCCCCAGTAGACTGAAGTTGACGTCCGTTTCGCTTGCTGTGGGGTTAAACTGAGAGGGATTGCCATTTCCATCGGTTGAGTGTATACAAAAGACGCTGCGATGCTGAGCTGGAAAAGCTCTGCCAAGATTTGCTCCATCGTTCGATGCTGCCGCGAACAACAACGTCCGCTTATTCACTGCATTCGATATAGCTGTGTTTATGGGCTCGTGATCTTCGCGAATACCGAATGACATGGATATAATGTCCACTTTCCATTGGTCAACTGCATGATCGATGGCCTGCACAGGTCATTAGCTGGGTCTAAGAAGTCTGTTCTGGTCAGGACAGTCTTGCCTTCGCAATGTCCTCGTAGGTAGTGGGATTCAGAGTTTGTCGTCGCGCAATTCTAGCGACATAGATTTCAGCGCTTGGGGCGACTTTGAGAAGGAGGCCAAGGGCATGAGTGCCGTGCCCAATCTCGTCTTGAATTTCATGCGGTCTTGTTCCATGGACAAAACTTCGCGTTTCCTTGACTCGCGGTTTGGCTAACTGTTGATCCTCGATCAGGAATGGATTTTCAGGGTCGAGTCCGGAGTCTAGGATCGCTATTCGCACTGGTTCAGCAAGGCCGAGAACAGGGTCGACATAGGGCCAGATCGAGGACAGCAGCTTGTCCATCCATTGTTGCGACAGTGGATTCCTGGCAGTTCATTAATACGTTCAAATCTTATAGACAAAGGGAGAGACCTCACTCTTGTTCAGGGCCCGTCTGGTGGCTTGCATCAAAAAAGTACAGGCTCTTCTCTGAAGGCTCGGCGAGGTATCCAGGGGCTTGCGGTCTCAGAGACGTTTGTGCCGACATCCCTAGCACGACATCTGAGTGGACGGATGCGTTGATTACGGGCGCGGCATCAGACATTAAACGATGCGGAATGGCCCTTGCCGTATAGTTTGCATCAGAGGAATCGACATTGCCCGTACGATGGCGGACAACGTCTCGACCGACAGAGCCCCAACATGATTCATTCTGTCGAGAATTGAAGGAACCCAAGTCCTCTAATCGAATATTCCAAGTCTTGAAGATCTCGGCCTCCAGTCGTTCGACGACGCTTTGATAGAAGAGACGCTGAACGCTAACATCCTCGAAGCCAGCACTCTCACCAAGGGGAAGGTACTCCGCATAAAGGCATGCTTTCGTAGCTAGATAGTAATCCACGCCAGCGTCAGCTTCCAAAGCGTCAAGCTTTTCGAGACAGGTATAGAAATCATCATTAACATTCCTGGCGGCATGCGGGCTCTGCAACTTCTTTGCCATCAGCTCCACGGGAGTGCAATAGTGAAGCTCACACAAGAGTATGCCTAGCGCTAGCACACTGGCATTGGGATGAACCATGTGTTTCGAGGCGCGAGAACTGTCTTCGGTGTCTGCATGGCGGGCTGGGATGGTTGGAACGTGCTCTAGAACCAGGAAAGGTTTCGTGATATTGGGTAGTTCTCCATCCTGCCGTGGCTCAAAAAACTGGATCATGAAGTGGTTGAAGGAGAACTCCAGCCACGGTGTCTCCAAGAAGGGAAGAAGTGCCGAAGCCAGTGTAACAGCCAGGATTCGCTTCCCCTTGAGCGGCAGTACCGATTCACCACGAAGTAACTCTTGCTGACGACTGAATAATGCTGACAAGGATACTGTTCGAGACATTCGGTCACTACCAAATGTCCTTGGTTGCGGGCGAAGTCTCTGAAATGTTCCATGCTCGAGAACGAAATGCAAGCAAGTTCGCTGGCCGAGAGACTCTGTGATGCTTTGGCATATGTGGGCAAGATCGGGCGGGCTTCTCATTGTACACATAGGCTCAGATGAGTGCCTTGATGTGCTGTTCTGCAGGTCTCTACACCGGTAGCGTTAGCGAACATATACGAGTGGTCGCACAAAACGCTGAGAGCTTACTTGACCGTGATCTTCGCTTCTTGCAATGTATTTGCAGGTATAGACCGCACGCCGAAGAATACTTCGAAACTCGCTACCGCCTCGAGACCTTTATTGTGTTGTGGCAGCGCCAGTCTCACGCTCAATCCTGAGCACTTCTGGCAAACGCAAACCCACTGTCTTCGCAACGCATTGTCCAAGGAAACTAAATGTCTCCTCATCAGCACGGCGAAGTCGGCATCGGGGTCGTCGAGATTGGATCCATGATATGGCTCCTCATGAGGCAGGACTCGGCGCTTCTTTCTCTCCTGTTCCAAATGCGAAAGTTCCTGAATCGCATTATCGCACTCTCTTCCTCGTTTGCTAATGCGGATGGCAGTGTCTGGGTCGGTATGCAGACCGCGAGTTGGATTCTCGATTATGCCGCGAAGCTTCGGATACCGCTCATACCCAGGTGGTTGGGAGCTCTGCTCCCCAAATTGTCGTCAGTACTTAGTAGGCGGGAAGTGAGAGGGCAGCAGGCTGGAAGATTGGAGCTTGCTGCACTTCCAGGATTTATTACGTACGGTATCTATATCTCGATCGGAGTCGTCTTGAACAAGACGTTCAAATGCGCTTAGAGTCCGTCTGACTCTCTCGCCGCTCTCTGGGCCAGCTTCGCAAAGATCATCGGCTTGTAGCGATGCTGTATATGCGTCCATCCGTAGCCAGCCCTCGCGTTCTCGTGATCTCAGTGACGTCGATGCCGATCTTTGCGGTCGTTTTCGAGCGAACAATTCAAGCACAAATTGCAGCAGGCTTTGGGAACCTGTGTCGTCGTCCATAGCTGTGCATCCGAGATGCTGAGTCTGAGGAAATCATGGGAAACCTTTGGCTGGAAGAGCATTGCTGGATCAGGCTGTGTCGGACCAGGCTCTGTGGCGCACATTCACAGCCAGAACCTCAGGAAAGATTGGCGCGCTTGGCTTGAGCAAATCACCATCGTTCCCCATGGACAATACTTGCGCACATCCTATCAACTACTTCTGCGGCACAGCACAGGTCACATGCATGGTCGCAGACTCCAGTCGCAGTCGCCCCTCCGTCTAAAACCCGAGGCAGCCGCTGGGAGACTTGATATCTTCACATTGCCTCGACTGTCAAGTACACATTTGATGCTTCGAAAACCGCCATCAATGGACACTTGTCCACAGATGAGCGCATGCCATTGTTACAGATGCGCGACACAAAGCCGGTCCTCAATGTCTTCAAAGTTGAGGCGGCTGTAGCAGGATCAAGTGTCCCAGTGTCTGCTTGCATGGGCGCAGACACGACTGCATACAGTACACGCCACGTCGCCACCCCAGTCCTGCGGCTGCGCAGTTAATGGAAATGATAAGCAGTATCGGAGTCTCGGAGACTGCAAAGAAGGTAAAGGTACCGATAAATAAGTGACTGTACATGGGTGACTGCTCTTTGCTCTTTCTATTAAAATACCCTGTAAATGCTGCATAGGTTCGACACTCCTAGAATGTTATAAAGTACTTCATGAAGCAGGCTATTTACGGGCCTATGGAGTCGGATTAAGGGGTGCTGGCAAATGTTAAGCATGTAATATTAATATATATGTCTACTAATATAAAGTTATTTTCTAGCGTAGCCAATTGCTATACTATTATATCGGTCACTAGAGGCTGGCCTAGCCTCGAGAAAATCTCAGTTCACTTAAGTAGCTATAGTCGTTAAAATCGAGCATAGTACTAGAGCTATATACTTTATCCCCTACTTAGCTAAATCTCGACGTCGAGTCGTATGTCGACCGGCTGTGTACTGTCTGAGGACGTGATGTGGCATTGAAGTGATTGAAACATGAATCTAGCGTCCTTGGAGATATACTAAGACACGCCACAAGAAGGACCCTTATGAGAATTACAGGGTTAAGCGGTGTGAAGTGGGCCGCTCGGAGCCTTTTCCTTAATAGTCTTATACAGAGAGGCTTGCTTGAGGAGCCTTGTGAGATGGACATAGGCGGCCTGCCCCCTATAGCCTGGGTAGAGTAGAAGGCTTTCGTCCATGCGACTTTGCGGGACAGAACTCTAGGACTATGTGTACGGAGCTTGAGAGATCAGCTTGATATCCTTGGTAAGATTAAGCTTCGATTAGACACATTTTCACCACCACTATGTAAAGTATGTACGGCAACTCGGAAACATCTACATGAAAAGGGCGGCGGCCGCGACAGCGCAAACAGCAACGAGAGAGCTGCCCATCTTGACACTGCCGCTGGCGGGGCAGTGGGGTCCAGGGCAGACGACAGATGTAGGCGCAGCGGGTGTCTGCGTGGCCACATCAGAGGGCACGAGGGCCGTGGCCGTGCTGAAGCCGCTGATCGAAGTGTTGGCTTTGTCGACGACGGACGGCGTGGTGGCCGCAGCGGGCACAGAGACGTCGGCAGAGATGGTAATGACGGGCGACTCACCCGGGACGATGACAGCGGAGGATAACTCAACGGGCGTCCCGGGAACAGAGTCGGATCCAGAAGCAGACGGAACAGAGTAAGTCTCCGGGACAGCAGAGGCGGTGGGAACAGCGGGTGTGCCGTCCTCCCCTGGGCAGTACGTCGTGGTGATGACCTTTGTCGTAACGCCGCCCACAGTGCAGTCGTCGACGTAGACGGGGCAGGAGGTGATGGTGTAGGTGGACGTCAGGACGGTGGCGATTGTCTCGTGGTCCTGGGGGACGCTGGGAGCTGCTGTCGTTTCCACGGGAGCGGTCCCAGTGTGAGTGGCCGTGACGGGGCAGACGGTTGTGTAGAGAGGGATGGTCTCTGTGACGACGTGCGTACCGACAGGGCAGTTTGTGACCTCGGGCGGGCAGCTCGTGACGGTGTGGATGGTGGTGGTGAAGACGGTCGAGGTGGTCATCTCGACCGACGTGGTCATGGCGGGTGCCGTCTGGGACAGAGTCGTGGTGCCTGACGCTGTCGACGCAGGCTGGGTCCGGGTGGTGGCTTGTGTGGGAGTTCCAATGGGCGTGGACACCTCGGTGGAGGTGGACTGCTCAGGAGATGTAGTGTCAGACACGGAGGGGGTAGCAGTGACCGACACCGTGGGCGTGGTAGACACAGTGGGAGACGTCGAACCCGTTGGCGTAGTGAGCTGAGTAGATGAGCTCACGGGCGTGCTGGTAGGCGACACAGGCGTGGACGCCGGAGAGCTCACAGGCGAAGGCGTAGGCGTCTCGATGGGACACAGGTTGATGCCCGTGAACTGATCAGCATCCTCCAGCTGGAAGAGTCGGGTGGCCGCGGCACCATTGACTCCCAGCAAGAGGGCGACAGCAAGGCGTGTGACTGAGAGAGCCATGGTCTGCGTGTCAAGGTGAGAAGACGTGTAAATGTAAACGAGTGTGGTGAGCAACAGAAAGGCTCGGGATAGCAGCGACTACTCTACACTCGAGGGACAAGTATCGCGAGATGCCTCAAAGGATCACACAAAAATCCCCACGAGGAGGGCGTCTGGGTGTTTTATTCCGCACGAGCGCGCACACTCCCGGAAAATGAAAGCAGCGTCTCGACTCTCGAGCATGGTACATGTAAGTACGGACAGCCATGCCCTGGCGAGTCGTGGCGCCACGTCCAGGTTGGGAGATGCGTCTCCGGGTCCAGCACGAGGAGATTAACTATTGCTGCCGGAGACGAGACTATTTAGTTTTGACAGACCCCTGTCCTTTTACTCGATTCATTCAGCCCTGATCACCGCAAGATCAACGCAGTGACATGTCACATGCGGGTTCCCGCTGGCGCAATTGGCGAGGATCCACCTCAACTCTCGCGGCTCCCGGCGATTTCTTTTCCCCTTTGTCAAGAATAGCCGCGTGCAAAAGGAACATGTAATCTTCCCAGACACGAGTGGAAACAGATGCAGCCGAGACGGTGGTCGTTTGGTCGTTTGCCGGAGCACCGCCTCCGTTTAGCTGGCTGCCATGCCGAGCTAGCGACGACTATCGAAAGCAGGCCAGCGTGCCTGCACGCTTTTATTTTTGTTGGCTCCTTTCTCATGTTTTGCCCTGTCAAGGCTACGAAGCGCACAAGGCCCATCTTGGCATGTTCCGCGTGCGGCATGTCCGTGTTGGCGGACAGAACAGCGTGTATGTGATTCATTCAATGGGATAGGCCATCTGATCATTCACGCGGCGACATGGAGAGACATTCGAGAAGAACGTATTCGATTATGTGTTCCAGCCAGTAGTCCAACCAGAAGTATCCAGTCCGATACCTCCGCCACCCAGTCTACATACGCTGGCTTGTCCGCGCCGGCTGTCTGTCTTGGTCTAGGCACGAACTGCCGTGACTGTGAGGCGTCTGGGGGCCGCGCAACTCTCAGATGGTGCCCGGCCCGGCTTGGGGATGAAGATGGGATAATTATTGCATATCCATAGCTCACTCATTTCTGCTGAGTCGAGGCTGGAGCGGCAAGTGAGCTGATCCGAGGAATCCAGGCCACAGCTGAGCTTTTCCGATATGCCGCTTCCTTCGGCACTGGACTGAGTCAAGACCCCAACTTCCTTATAGCTAACTCTTACGCCGTAGTCGACGAGCCATAGAGTGTACTGGAATGTAGGCGCGGGCCCGCTATCCACGTCTATGGATCCGTCTGCACCATTGAGGACAAAGCGCGTTGGGGACGTCGTCGAAGCGATAAACAAAGGAGCCGCATCTTGATAGTCTTGGCTCAGGCTTGCGTCCAGGTACTGGCCGTTGCCGACACTGAGATAGGCCGTCACGGTGGGAGCCGCGGGCGGAGCGACCGTCGTGGTGGTGTAAAACGTCTCGGTGACCGTCGTGGTGGCGACAGTCGTCACTACAGTGTCGGTTCCCAGGATATTGCTCTGGGTCACGGTAGCGCCCATCATTGTGACCGAGATGACCTCAGGGTCGGGCGTGACGGCGCCCTCCTGAACCGTGGTGGTCATCGTGACCGTGTACGGCGTCGTAATCTCGGTCACGGTGCTCGTCGACATAGGCGCCGGGGCCGTGCTGGTGGAGGGCACAAAGCCCACGCAGCTGCACGCCGACGAGTACTCGTAAACATCGGTGCAGGCTGACGCGTAGTGAGGAATGGCGTAGTCCTCATCGTCCGCGAAACGTCGAGAGATGACGGCCGACGTCTCCGTGACGGTATACGTCTCCGCCTCGGTGACTGTATCAGTCACGGAAAACGGCTCCGTCACATAGTAGTTGACGGTAGCAGTCGCAGTCACGGGGATAGTGGTGATGACGATGCCCAAGACTGTGGAGGAGGGGACGGTGACTCGGAAAGTCTCTGTGGGAATGACGGTGACTGTTGTCGTCGCGACCTCCAACCTACAGCAGCGTCAGCAGTCGTTCATCATGGCCAAGCGTAGTCAGGACCCTTACTCGGAACTAGGCGTCTCCACGACGATCAGGTAGTCGCCGCAGTCTTCCTGGATGATGGCTGGCCGTGTCAGCTGATGTACGTACGCATCGGTGACTTGGAGAGGAGTGGTAAGTGAGAACGTACAGTCCATGCACTCGTCTTGCCGGCAGTTCTTGCAAGGCGGCGCCAGAGCCGCATGCGCGCCAGACAGGCCGCTGGCCAGCAACGCCAGGGTCGCAAAGGACTTCATGGTGATGGTCGACTTGCTAATTCAACGGTGGACAAACGAGTGGACGGCCCGTAGACGAGACGGCAGAGGACCTGGAGAGTGCGAGGCTCGATGTGCGTCCGCTGCCCATCGCGCGAGCAGACACATGGCTTATACCGAATCCCCCTCTCCCCTCTCAGCAACGCTTTCCAAGTTAGCCCTCGCGAGTCGCATCCAGCGGCCTCATGATTGCTGATCCACCGTGCAATTTGGCGTCCGGAGCTGAAAGACATGGGTGGGCAAGCCACATGGCCAAAGGTCGAGGAGCCGTCGCTCCAGGTCCCTGACATGGACAGAGTCAATAGCGCCAGACCTCCTCCCACCACTCGCGATGCGAGGTGATCAGCAAGATCTGGATCAGGGGTTCCAGAATCCAGAATCCAGATCCACGGACCGCGTTCTACTAGCTAAGCCGCTAACTTAAAGAATGCCCCGAGACCCTTGTCCCCTGTGGCTGCACGCGCTACCCGGAAATCGGGGCCCCCCATTGGCTGAATAAGCTAACGAGAACAAGAGAGAAAAATCTGAGTCATGTAGCTCATGCTGGGTCGGGGTTTGGGTCTTGAGATGCAAGTTAGATCGGCATAGGGTAGGTGAGGACAATACATGCGGCTACCCTATAGCCTGGCAGATAGTGGACTGCATTAGCTATATTCGGGTATTATGAGATGATTATCTAGGACAGGTACTAGATAAAGCTTCAAGTGTCATGTTCTATTTATAGAGCTACACTGAATTTGTCTTCATATCTGGGTCTTGCCGTGGAGTGATCCTGCTGGAGTCCAAGGAAGTGTATTTGTAGAATACTATTCAATTTAGGGCCTCCGATTGAATTCAAGCGCAACGGTATCAGCTATATGCGTTTCGGTTATGATCATTGCTCACTTGTCTGTGTTCAAGTTATAAGAAGCTGGAACCTTTTCAAATATCCCTCAGCGCTATCAATGATTGGTATCTGTGCCCTAGTCACAGATTACGCCACGCCTGCTCACAGCTTACATGCAAGGGCCAGCTTAGGCCAACTATTCTGCGTAAATATTAAAAGGAACTGGAGGTAAGTAGCCCACAGAATAACAGCTTGTCTTGCCCCAAGATGAACACTATATATTATCCCCACGTGCTTCCATTAGCCCCTCTGGCCACCTTTCTTCCCCAAGTACTCCTTTGACCATGTGATTAAACCACCCTCATGTCCGCCCACATTTTCCTTCTTGGGCCACGGCCACCAGCTGTCCAGATTGCTCTCTGTCCAACGGAGACCTTGTCGCATCAGCCATGGTACATCTCTGACGTGGAGCTCGAGAATGGCTTGCCAGCTGTCGTTACGGTTCTCCACGTGCTGCATGAATGCCTTGAGGACGTTGCAACTGGTGAAGTGCAAAGACTCGCATTTCGGCTTGCCTCTGTAAGGGGAAGTCAAGCGTGTCTCTCGTATTGTTGAAGGGAGAGCTTCATGTTTGCCACGAGGCTTGGGTTCGGCTTCAAAAACATGGCAACGCTGTCGGCTGTAGCGCGTGGTATCCCCAGAAGTATGGCAACGCACCACATTGTAAATATGTCAATATGCGAACTGTGTCTGAAAATATCAGTTGGCCGGGCTTATATCGCTAAAATCGAGTCATCAGGTGGTCTCGATTCCTCAATGTCTGGCTGTCTGCCTTGCTGCGGTCACGGTCCTGAGTCCTCATGGACTCTCTCCAGACTCACAGCTGGCATATTGCTCACTCCCTCTTCTCCATCGCCCCAAGATTTTCCTACCTCCAAGGCAAATCAATAATTTCTTCTTTCAACTTTACAGGCCCCGTCAATTCGTCTCAAGTTAGAAAACACAAACCGTGATGGAGAACATGGAGGCACAGCGCCCTAAAACGACATATGAAATACCCGTTTATAGTTAGAAGCGTAAGGCAGTAGTCTCGATGCATATCATCTCACACTAATATCCACTAGTAGATCAAATGCCCTGTCGCTTTCATCACTCAAGTCTGTCCTCCCAGGGGGCAGTAGCTTTCTCAGTCTCTGCGCTTCGCTTCTTGCCTCCGACGCCTCTTTGCCATACTTTTCGGGGTCCATGAGGTACGCTTTCATCAATAAATGAGAAAAGCGCGCCCGTGCGCCTGGTGGCATCTTATACAACCTGGCAATGGCGACTGCCTTCTTTGCCTCATCGACTGCCACCTCTTGTACATTCTGAAGTATCGCAACAGATGAAGCTCTGTAAGAAACAATGCCACTGGCCCAGCTAATGGATGCAACCCCCCCTGATTTACTCAGGGTTGCCCTGGCAAGAGCTACTTGCTCACTAGCGGCGTCATATCGACCCCATCTTATGTACAGATTCGCTTTGCTATGGTGGGCACTGCGCAGTATAGTTAACATGGAATACTGGAACGGTGGCTTGGGGGCCTCGGGAACTTACAATGCTAGCGAGTACCAGCTTTCGAAAATAGTAGCCTGAGAACAAGCTTGGTCTAGTAGTTTCTCTGACTCTTCGTAGTCTTGAACGGAGAAAAGATTGCGCGAAAAGTTGAGGTTGTTTTGACAGAGCAGCCGAGTGTGTAATTCGTCCTGGGTTCCTTCTAGGATTGTGCGTGACTTCTGCAACCAGCCCTTGGCCTCAGCATGGCGGCCGACTGAATCGCATGCTATGGCGATGTAATTATAACAGTTGGTGAGTTCCAATTCTTGTGGAATACGCAAGCCAACCCTGATGGCGAGACTCTTTTTCCCCTGCTGCTCCGCTGACTCAAAGTCACCCTCGAATCTGAGGTCTCGGATGCAGAGCAGAAGAAGGATATCGGATTCGAGAAGAGGAGTTTTGAGGTTATCAGGTAGCGTGAAATATGCCTCCTGGCCGGTACCGATAACGAGAGACATGATGCCAGCTGTATCATTATCATGCACAAACCATGCGCAATCAGCCATGAGGTTGCCGAAATCCACAGTTGGTTTCAAGGGATCTGGCTCTCGTTGTGAGTCTCTCCAGCTTCTCGCCAGGGAAGCGATGTGGTCGAGGTAATGAGCCCCTTCTTCTGGAGTCCTTGTTTATAAGGTTTCCACGACTCGGGAACTTATCAAGTAGCAGTCGCACTGCACCATCGAAGCCTTCCTGGTTCTCGTATGTTGTTGCCCGCGACAAGCACTCCGCCTGGACGGGACGATGCAGCGAGAAACGGCCCGAACTCAAATCGTGGACCTGCTCCTCGGGAAGCTTCATCTTGATGGTGAAAAAGGAAGCTAAGTGCTCTTGCGCAATTTCTAGCTCTTAAATACCAAGGTATTCGGGCGTCAGAAAGAGTAAAGATGAGTGTACCTTGGGTAAGGGCGGATCAACTTGTTCGACTGTGCAAAAAGGCAAAAGATGGATCGGTTTATCTTCTGCGGGGCAACCACACCTTAGTCCGCAGCCATCATCTACATATATGTGAATCCATGGTCTGCAGGCTGCTTGAGGAGGTGTGTGACACCAGTGGGACCGGGTGGTGTATGACGAGACTGGCATGCCAGCGCGGCTGGTGCTCGTCTTGTGGTTGCACTGTTGTAATTGTTGATGTTAGAAACCCATTTCGTAGTGAGACCCCGCATATGTGCCCTGGACGAACTTAAAGCGAAGATCATTAATTTAGAGCTAATAGATTCGTAATCTATTTCTGAACCGTGGACTTCCGTAAGAATATAGGACGTAGCTTAGAAATCACTAGCTGAAAGTTTAGATAGATTCGCGACGAAGAGCTTTTGAAATAGGAGAATAAGGTGAGGATAAATATCTAGCTCCGACTATCTAACATGAAATTCGGAGCACGGCCCTTAGAGGCCTACGTACTCCGTACTTATACATCCGACCATGCTTTGTTAGAAAAAACCCCATATGAGCGGAACGATTGGTTTGTTTTGCCGCCGTGTTCTGGTTGGTCAACTTGGTCAACCATGGCGGCACGAGCCATTCCCGATTGCGACCCCAGACTTCATAATCCCTCAAACACAATGAGTGCGACATCGGAAGACTCATCACCGGCTTCACCAGCCTGGAACGTCATTGAATTCACTTCCAGTGAAAATGACACACATTCTGAGTTAGTAGTCATGTGTGCCTACCGACGGTTTATTGTCACCCTTTCTGCAGACAACTTCTCCCGATCATCAGCCTTGAGAAAGAAATATATCTTTTTCCTAGAAGTTGCCGAAAACTACGAAGTAGACGGATATACAATCGACGATTTCCATGATTGGATTGTTGAGCCACTTCTCCCGATCTTTCGAGAGCTACCAGAGATTGTCACGGACCGAACGCTTCAAGACTTCCTTTTCCCAGAAACTTATACTTACACACTGGACGCCGAAGGGGACAAATTGGCTGCCACGCCACTTGAAAGGAAGGATGTCACAGAACCAATATTCGGTATCCATTTATCTGATGACATTTGCGGACTCTGGCCTTTGTTTGAGCCATGCCAAGTTCATCTACGCACAGAGACCAAGCTTCCTGGGCCACACTCGAATACTCCTTCTCAAGTCCAGCTCCCTGATGGATCTATCGCTTTTCCAAAACTTATCAGGTCTGGGGACAAGAGTTCGCTCATGAATGAGATTGACACATATGAAAGGATACAGGCCGCCGGCCTCAACGAGACACTGCACATTCCACGTCTGCTTGGCTTAGCGCCGGGTGATCACGGCCAAGTCTTCGCGTTGCTCTTGTCATACATTCCTTGCGGTCGCAAAACTCTGCTATGTGCTTCGAAGCAAGGTACTTCGACATGCCTCAAGCAAAAGTGGATCCGTCAGATCACCAATGCTGTTGATCAACTACACAGAGCCGGAATTGTCTGGGGCGACGCCAAGCCAGATAATATCCTCGTCGATGGCAATGAGAACGCCTGGTTGATCGACTTCGGCGGAGGATACACGGAAGGTTGGGTGCCTCGAGAATTGAGAGGGTCAATACAAGGTGATTCCAAGGGCCTTGAGAAGATCATTCAGTTTCTCAGTGCTTGACGGACGAGGGTTGATAAAGTGATTATACTCGAAGATCAATGCAAAGTTTGTCTTTGATCTTGTCACGGTGCATCTGACGGCAGGATGACGCGCTAGTCGCGACGCTCCATGGTACAAGTTCTCGAATGCAGGCATTCTCTTAGCAGATCTAACTTTTGCGAGGAAGAGAGTGATAATTGCGAAATGATGATTGCCACTTCAAAGCTACCAGACATTTATTCTGTAACGTCGAGTGGTCCAGCTTAGTTGTTGAGCCATTCTCATCTTTGGCAGAAACAGACTACCTAAAGCGTATGATCCCAAATGTTCAGGCAAGCAAGCCGACCCTCATCCCGCAATGTAAGTACCCGAGGGCCTACCAGTGCACCCGCCTCCTGGCGCAGCGCACTGGTTGGGAAGGGGGATGAAGTCGGGAGACTGGCAATCATCCACGTAGAACCGGATATAGCTGCCCGTAGCCTTCTCCTCAACAGTGATGAAGACACCATCGTCCGAGGAACCGCCTTGCCATCGCATGGTCCAACCTTCGCATCCGTTGATGTCGCGTCTGTCATCAGGATCGTAGTTGTTAAAGTTGTCATAACACTCCTGATCCCAGTTCTGATAGCCGTTGTTCAGACAGCTCGCATCATCGGGACCATTCAGTCTGACGTTGCAAATGGGGGAGCAGCAAATGTTTCCGAATCCACAAGGAGCGGGGAGAGACCCGTCTATGATTGAAATGGTGAAGTCGCTCGCGTACGCAGGGTCTCGAGCGGCAATGTCTTTGGCGGGGTCAAGGCCATCCGAGGTAAGGCCCCTCGAGGGCTTGATGGTCTATTGCGATTCTCTGTCAGTATGACCGAGTCGACTACGGACAGGAGTATACTGGATATCCCATGTTGAGGTTGCAGTGCAACTCACCCGAGACACGGCTTGGTCAAGTAGACCCAGTGCAAAGGTTGCAGCGAGGAAAGATCGAACAGAAGGCATTTCGTTGGCGCTATGAATGTTGTATAGAGAACAAGTTGAGACAAATTGTAAAAGGCGGTAGAGTTAGTCTTCTGTTTTAAAGATTCTAGGCGGAATCGTTCGCTTCTTTTATACATGTACTCGAGTCCTGGACTTTGACGGCTGGGTTCCCCCGACTGACGAGGCAAAGGCAGTATGTCGGACACACTGTTTGTCCGACTGCATGAGCTCGATGCCATGTAATTCTGGAATCTATTACGTCCTTTGATGCTCAGACTGACGACTCGACATGCGGCCATGGCTATGTGATATCTGACATTGAGGCTGCTGCATCAAGTGTTGATGTCAGCCGAGATCTATAAGTTATGGCGTCTCCACATTGAAAATCTTCAATATAGCATGTTGCCAGACTATGTAAAATGAATCGATCGTGATCTGGCGAGGATGGATGAGTCGTGACGTGGGCCAACCCCAAAGGATTCGCCAAGAGACATGGATTGTGTAGCATTATTGATCAATGTTGGCGAGTCTGCCGTGGCCGCTCCACCGGCCACCGAGGACCAGACCAGTCGTACCCTTACATTATACAAGGCAATCGGAAGTGTGCATTCCGAATAACTTTAACGTGGACATGTTCCGGCACGTTAGCCGCGAGTCGACAACCCTGCGAGCTATGACCACTATATGACGACTATAGTGATTCTCAAGAATAGAATCGAGAAACTCTCGAAGCTATATGGCTGTCACGTGTTACGGGTAGGAGACTAGTAGGAACTAGGAGGATAGGCCTTCGCCGCCCCCTGGTTGTGAAAAGGTAGTTGTTAAACGTTAGTTATTGTAATCGGCTTTTTTAGAAGCGAGTATATATGTTAATAATTCTAGATTAGCTTCCGGGATAATACTCTGTATTATATGGACTATGTACGAAGCGAGGAAAATCCCAGGCCCGCTTAATATAACCTTTATAGCTAGTGCTCTAAGAAAGGGGAGAAAGGGATAGGGGGCCGTAGGGGTGAGATAAGTAGATATCTAACCCCAGCCCATAAGAGTTCCACCTCAGTAAGTACTAGATCTAGAAGCGTTTTTAATTTATTCAGGCTTTTTTATATCCAATCACTAATAGCTTTAGGGCGACAATGAAATCCTAGTTTAGATACCAGTATAGCGCGATCCTCTGCTAGTCGTGGATCAACGCTTGGGAATTATCCAAGGCAGCACGGACAGTTGCCACCGACTTCGCGGGCTACGACGGCACAAACCATGTTAGCGCAGCGCATGGGAGAAAAGGCAGTTCGGCACACCGACTTTTGCACTCGACCAAGCTTCCAACAGTGCCTGCCACCTCTCGCGGCCGGAAGTGCACGTTGTACTGTGCAGGAACTGGAGCATCGGTCGGGGTCATATTGTCCGCATGACGAAACGCCATGGGGTTTTGCGCGGAGATGAATATGGAAGATACAAATGTCCGCGTTAGGTACATGTAGTAAAGAGACACGCAACGCATGATTTCATTACAAGTTAGAACCGAAGGTGGATGCCTGCATCGGGGTCCGACCCTGTGGAAGTTGTCCATCAGTGGCTGGCTCATGTTAGTACAGGATAGCGTGCTGCTCACAGTCGATGTACTTCTCCGCCACCGCAGCACTGTGGGCTATCCTGTGGACGGGTAACAAGGGACATGCCAAGACTTCTAGCATTAGGGTGCTGTTGATCCGCGCCGTGTTATTGAACGTCCATCCCTCGGGCGCCGGTGACGAAGAGGGGAAGTCTGGGAGTGAGGGCACGGGGACGTCAAAGGCCACTGTCCGGACTTGTTCTTCCCTGGCCACTCTTGTGCGCTTTATGAGTGCCTCGGCGACGGGGCTGAACTCGAGAAATGATGATCCTGGCCACCCGTAGTTGATGAGAAATGGAATGGAGGCTGGGCACCGGGACTGTGCGTGAATGAAATGGATACTTTGGCCGTCTACTTGGGCTGTAGAATAGTTGAGTCTGCCACGGTAAGCCCACATGGCTTGTGAGCTAGTGCATGAGAAGTCACTTACCTAATCATGTCGCGCTGCTCCCTTTCCCAGTCAAATTCGTGCACTCACTGCGGTTTGGGAGATTTGAGCGTGTTCATGTCAATCTCCCAAGAGGATCCAAGCCCAGCATACATGTACTCGGGCGCTTCTGGTAGTATGATGAAGTTGACGATGTTGAACATTTAAAGATTGAACTGGTCTGCCGCAGCCGTCGCAAAATTGTAAAAGATACATCTATTCCTCAAATCGGATCGGCCCGCGTGCGTTCCTTGGCACCTGGCCTTCAAGTTCCATACCGGGTGGGACCGGGTTCCACAAGGTCTATCATTCACGTAGCTTTACCAATTGAAGGGTAATTGATTTCTTTGCGTGTCATCACTCAACTATCCTTAGCCAGGTACGTAAATGTATATTCGGGATGCATTTGCATACAGAAAACACGATGCTTTGCTCCAGTCTACTGCTGCTGAGTTCTGAATACTGGGTGTCCAATATGTGTACCACCGTCAAGTTCTTGGACTGCTCAGTTCCATCGACTGGGACGGATTAATATCAAGCGCCCAACGCTGACTCACGTAGCATGTCCCTTGATCAGAAGATCTCTATTCCAGGGACGCTGGAGGCCGAACTCATTATTCCTGTCGCGCCAACTCTAGCTTGGTCTTCGCGTTGTGTCTATCACTTGAATCATGTCTATCATGGGAAATAGCATGGCGACTTCACCTATTATTAACTCTCTATCTCCCTCAGACCTGTTATTAGACGCGGTGGACTTCCGCGATACCTCTTTTCTTTTTTAGAAGCAGAAATCCTTTGAATTACTATCGCTTATGCCTAATGCTATTATTCAAAGGGATCCGAAAATCACTGAAGATGTTTTAATATTTATAGAGCAGAACCTTACTAATAAAGTTAGGCCACCCTTAATCGTTAAATTTAAGGAGGCAATAGTTATACGAGCCATCAAATAAGCGTTTCCTCATGACGAAATTTCAGTGCTAGAAGTATTTGACTAGAGGAAATATGGCGATCTTCACCTGATATGCATGAGCTATATTCCTAGCACCACGTTGCGCGAGGCCTAGGGAGACTTTGCGGAATAAGATAAGAGGCGTGTATGCAATCAGCTCCGCCAAGTTGTATCCATCTTGTGTTGCCTCCAACAGCCCAAGTCGACTCCTCTCATCGGTACCTATAATGGGCTGGGTCCTCTAATGCCCCTTCTTATGGGCTGACGACCGGATATCTCCACATGAAGGATGTCTTTGGAAAAGCCTTTTGAGCTGCCGACGCGGATCCTTATCTTCTCCGTGGCCTCATTGATGATCTCGGTGAGTATCACCGTCAATCCTGATCCCATTCATGGTCTCTGGGCTTCGTCGCATGACCAATTCCGTGGCGAACCGAGTGCAAAGGTCGCCCTTGGTGGGAAAGCGGACTGGAGGCGGGAAACGGCTTCCAAGACGGAGCTCTTGCCGGAAGATTGGTCACTAAGGACAATGATTGGCGACAGATGAACAATCTCGCCACCGTGCAGCTCCCGGAGGCTGTCGATTATGTCGAGTAAAGCTTTTGCCTCCGGACTGTTGAGCTAGTCCAGCCCCACGGAATCAAGTGCAATATCGGCCATATCTTCCATAACCAAATACAGCGCTGTTTTGGCTTACTGGTCTGTAATAGATTGGACAATATGACCTTCTGATGGGTTGACACAAAAAGAAAAGGCTGGTGGAAGTTTGGGGAGAGAGTTACCAGGCTGCAGCGCGCCTTGTTGTTGCGGTAATACTACATTTCCCGCACCTCATTGAGGTGCCAGCAGATTGTACGAAGCACTGACGACCTGCATGCAACTCGAATTCGCCTCTTGGGTGGCTAAAATTTCAGCGGCTGGTCCTGGTGTGCTCGGCAAGGTAACCATCGACCCCAAGTCGGGATGAAGAGAACCACACCGCCATGATACACAAAGTCCGCAATCCTTCCGCTATTGCTTTGTCAGTTATCGGGGCTTCCACAAGCCTACATGCACTTCCATCCAGCCTGGTCTTTTAGCAAGGACTCTTGAGATCCTTACTACAGGGTTTCCGATCCTTCACATTCGGATTCGTCAGCCAAGGCCCGTCGTATCTTTGAAGCCATGTAAGAAGCCGAAATCAGGCGTAAAGCGGGGTGAATAAAACCGACAAGTATCTCAGATGACACAGGACAAGATTACCGCTATAGTATATGCAGGTATACATGACCTCATTTCAAAGAATACCAAGACCTTCGAAGGATTTGGTGAAAACTATCTACGTCGCCAAGTCCTGCATACATTTTGTAGCTTCCCTATTTCGTAGCAACTACACGACAAGCAAAGAAGTAATCAACTCACACACATCGCCACTTATCCTCGGCACGCTTGGCATGATCATATCTTCGGATGAGATATCCGGACGAACCTTTGAACGATGAGGCTAGGCGCGTCTGAACAGAGTAGCAGACTCGGGTGCAAGACGAGTCGAGACTAATGTGAAATCTACTTAAAGACATGAATTCCCCTGATAATCACCGCTCTGATCAGGGACTCAACCCACTCAGAGATCACTCGAGATCACATTTCAAGAAGCTTCTTAAGAAACATTCCGATTCCTCTCTACCGCAAAGATGCGTCTTCCTCTATTCTTGACAATCTCGGCTCTGGCACCACTTGTTTTGGGTGCTGCCATCGAGCCTCGCCAACAAGACGGGCAAGTGTACTGCGACAGAGGAGACGACGAGCTCAATGTTGACGACTGCCGCGGCGCCGCCGACATGGTTAATACCGCTTCCGGATATTACAGAGAGATTGCTCAGTTTCGATACGGAAATTGCATCATCGATATCACCAGCCGGCTCGGGATCGTCAATTCGATTTCGGGCCAGCTATATAAGGACTCCATTCTGAGCGTCCTAGACACGTGTGAGGGGCCTGGCTATATCTACCAGCGAGCAAATGAGGTAAGACAAGACACCCCTCTCAGCTCTACAGTTGACATGTATCTAACATGCTCGTGCATAGGTCAAGGTCTATCGCTGCGAGATCTGCTCGTACGGCGTTTGCGCTGAATGCAATGACCCCGGTCAGGGCCCCCTGAAACGCGATGTTGCCGAAATCGAAGCATCCTCCCAAATTCAAAAGAGACAGGACAGCCCTGAGCCGGGTTTGTCCTGCGGTGGCTGGAACCCGGCTGTCGACGCGGACAACTGCCGCGATGCCGCCGACGAGCTCGACGCCCAGGGGGGCAACGTCGAGCTGCCTTTCCGTGAAAATGTTGCCGGCTGCAACATTGCTGCGGAGCAAAAGAAGCCCAATTTATACATGCCGCGAAGCCAGATTGCCGCCATTCTTCGTCATGGGACGGACCTGTGTGAAAGTGGGGGGTACATTGGCATGATTAGCGACACACAGAATTGTAAGTGCTGATCGGCATCCTTGTTTGTTCACCATGTTCAATCGATCTAACTATCTATCTGCAGCTCTAGTTGATGTTTTCTATGGCAAAATCTGTGGTAAATTTGGCTTCGGTAATGGTGGTTGCACGCCGTAGGATGGTGTGTTACGACACGACATGGACAACACATACGCACGCTCTTTTATCGACAGTCGACTACTACAACTAGATAAGTTTACTCTACTATAAAGGGAGCCTAGCTTCAATAAACTCAGTCTCTACTCAGCTCCCTAGTATCTCTTGAAACAGGCACAGAAGCATTAGCCCTATAGTCAACTTGAATCTTTGGATTAGCCAAGATCGAGCGGACGCTGTAACAAGCAGAGTGACTATTACTCTCAATGTGTGAATTAGGGGTCATCCGGGTTGTAGCAAGCATTTTCCGTTGGCGGTAGTTATGAAATGAGACAGCAGGATCGTACACACATAGCCCAGAATGAAGAATGGTGCGGCGTATCGTTCCGAGGTGACATGAACCAACACTCGTCACGAGCCAAGGAGGGATGTAAGATGAAGGGAAGATCCTGACAAACACCTCGCCCTGACGATCCTGGGCAACGCAGTCAAGATCGGGGACGCGGAACGGCTGGGCGCAGTGATTCGTCTCAAAATATCGACGAATGCTGATCACTTCAGGACTTCTGGACACTAGACCGGCTGGATCGAAAATCACACAAACATCCGTAAATGCGCCATCCGAGGCTATACGCACACGCGGACAGGCTAATAAGTGTTTTCCTAGCTTCTAGAAGGAATGTTAAGGTCAAGTATCTCTCGTCTTGAGAGTGTCGTCAGCGTGGGCTCTAGCATCACTTCGGCGGTCTTCACCGTCTGGCAAGCAGTGTCGAATAATTCCTCATCCAGTCCATAATAGCACATTTCGCCCGAACGGCTGACAACCATATTATGAACCGACAACTGCGGCAAGAAGGATAGTTACGGAAGTGGAATTCATCTTACTATAGTCTCCCTAGGAAGCGTGGCCGATGCATGTTGTCAACCCCGATCTACACGACTATCATTACCTATGGCAGATGTATTACATCCCTCTATTCTTGAAACATGCACGACATGTTTCACCCTTTACTCCACCACAACAACATTCACCGTACTAATCTCGACAAATCACAATTTGCTGCAACACACGCCAAAAGTAAAGACAGCCAAAAAAACATACAACAGCCGGTATTCGCTGGTCGTCACCGACCCAACTACTAATCAGCCCCTCAGCGGCTTGACTATGGGAGAGCGGACGGGATCCCGTATTTTCCACTGGGTATGGTCGTATGTGACAGAATGTACAGTTGTTCCTGTTTATGAAAATTTGAAACAACAAATCTTGACGGACAATGGAATTCGTCGATCTCCGCGCGGGCAGTCCGATACCCTCCCGCGCCGTTCCGGTGGGAGGCGGCGGCTTCACCGGATCTTCGTCGCCCTCGCTCTTACAGCTGGAGACGCCGAGGCGGGATGCGAGACGGATGCGCCGAGAGAGGTTGCCACGTAGTATGACGATGATGATCTCAGCCTCTCTAAGACACCCATGTCGCAGTGTCGGTACAGCCAACTAGACTCGCGCGGTCGCTAGGACACCTCGCGCTGCAAGCTTCCAAAAGGCATAGCGAATTCACGGCAGCCATCCTTGTTGTACAAGTAGGTATATTGTCATCTACTCATCTGATGGGGAAAGCGGTCTGATGCGCAAAATGCCTCCCTCTATCCCCCTCCACCCTGTGAAATGAGTGTGGTATAACAGTCCATCCAAAAACCAAAAAAAAAAAACAAAGAACGCCGTAGGAAATGTCTCCTCTTCGATAAATTTCCGCCAAATGTGGGAGAGCTCGTCGCGCGAGTTCCCAATGCTTCGCTTACCGGACGCCGCGTTCTCCCATACAATGCGAGCGAAACACATCTACACGGCAAGGCTCGTGGAAAGCTGCCGCCAGATGCGAGACCCGTGTATGATGCTCAAACTGGAAAATACAAAAGCACAAGCAAAGCAGTGTCGCACTGCTGGTTCATAAAGACATGATTGTTCTCCTCGCGCAGAACAGTGAAGAAGTAAGTGGGGAGTCAACTCGACCCCTTGGCTAGTGGTCACGCCATGTACCATCCACGCGGCGGACGGGCTGAGGAACCCTAGGCCTGAGCGGTACCGTACGGGCCGCGTGTGTGGTAGGTGCTGAACTGGACGTCGTCGGCGCGGATGGGCTTGGATTCCTTGTACGCGGGATAGTGGCTCCGCGCAGGCTCGTACGAGTACCCATCGCCATAGTAGCGGCTGCGCTCGGGGGCTTCCCGCCCGTAGTACTGCTGGTTCTGCACCGTGGTCTTGTTGTTCGTGACCTTGTAGCGGATCGCAGAGGGATGCTCCGGGGAGCGCGTCTTCCTCGAGCTGCGGTGCTTGCCCGAGTGGCGGGGCTCCTCGTAGTACTCTTCCTCGGACTCGTCCAGATCATACTGCGCGTGCATCTTGGAGCGGCCGCGGCCGCGGTTCACCGACCGGTCTTCTGCAAACGTCTCAGCTCGCCTAGGCGGGGGGCCAGGGCGCACGGGGATAGGCATGGTGTGCGTGCGACTGATGCCCCGGGGTGGCGAGCTGCCCATGGGGGGCTCCGCGTACCGTGCGGCATTCCGAGCGGCGGGCGAGTCGTGGGCGAGATTCGGGTCCTCGCGGATGGGATCCTGGGACGACCGGTGCATCGGACGTTCCCGTGCGACGTACGGCGCGTCAGCCGAGCCACGACGAGGCCGTGCCGATGATCGATGGATCGCCTCGTCCTCAGGCACCGGGAAGATGGGAACGCCACCAGCCGTAGGGGGCGGGGTGGGCGCGGCTGGTGGCTTCGGGCCGTGGTAGCTCTGCGATCGCTCGACGCCAGGGACATCGCGAGAGCTGTTGATGTACGCGCGCGCAGCGTCGACCTTGGTAGCAGTGTCGGTTGCTGCACGGCGCAATTTGAACTCATCTCGGCCCGATGATCGCTCGCGGGGGTCCTCGTGCTTCCGGCTGGATTTCCTTGGGATGGGCTGTGGCTCGTCGTAGAGATCCTCTTCAATGTAGGGGTGCTGCGGCTCACGGTCGCGGCGCTTCTCTTCCTTGCTCAGCTTCTTCTCCTTGGCTTCCTTGCGCTCTCGCTGCCGCTTCTCCTCCTTCTTGGCCGCACGACGAGCGTCTTCCTCATCGCGCTCTCGCTTCTCGCGCTCCTTCTCACGCTCCTTGGCCTCCTTGCGCTTGCGGCGTTCCTTCTCGTCCTTCTTCTCGCGCTCCTTCTCCGCCTCGCGTTTTGATGGCTTTGGCTCGTGGTAGCTCTCGCCGCGGCGGGGCATGCGCACGTCAGGCTCATAGTAGCGAGGGCCGCGCGTCTCGTCGTGGGAGCGAGAAAACGCATAAGCCACCTTGACGCCCTGGGGAGGCGGGGGAGGTCCGTCGCGGTACGACTTGGAGCGAGGCTCAGCTGTCCGGATCTCGATGTCGGGGTATTTTGTCGACCGGGGCGCCGACGTGTTGGGCTTGTTCTGGTATTGGCGTCGGAGCTCGGCCAGCTTTATTTGGTCGTCGTACTTCTCGCGCTGCACTTCGTCGCTGAGAATCTCGTAGGCCTCCTGTACCCTCTGGAACTCGTCCTGCTTGATGGCTTTTTGCTGTGGATCTTGTACCTTGTCGGGGTGGCATTTGAGGATGAGCTTGCGGTGGGCTTGTCGAATTTCCTGTATTTGGGCGTCCTGGGAAACCCCGAGGACCTTATATGGGTCCATTTGGGCGGTCATGGTGGTCTTTGACTGACGAGAAAAATCTTGCTGTCCTTGGACGGGGGACGGGCGTTTTGGTCCTCTGATGCGACGCGGTCTGGCGTTTGGGCTCGGTCAAGAACTAGACGGCGTCTATCTACCTTGTTGCTGTTCCTGGAATGGATCGCACAAAAAAGTCAAGTCCAGCAGCAGGTAGAATCCGTTGACCGTAATTAAAGGGACGAATATGCTGGACAGGTCCTTGTTGTCGGCGGTGGTGTTGTTATTGTCGTCGTTGTCGTCGTCGTGAAGAAGGGTGTACCTCAAACAGCCAGCTGCTCAGGTATGGACGGCGGTAGTTAGTTGTCTTGTGCAGGAAACGTGAAAGAGGCCGAGTTCCTTTTGAGGAATCCGACTGCTAATTAATGAGGTCAGAGGTGCTGATGATTGTTTCTGGCTGGAGGACTGTCCCCTGATCAGACGCCAGAAAAAGAGGGGGGGCGAGTGAGGTGGTTGAACGGGTCGGGTGGGTGACTTTTTGAGGGTGGTGGTGCCACTGGCAGGGATGGGTCGCTGTGACGAGTCGTGGGCGCGCTGGGTTGCAGCAATAGGTGACTTTTGAGGTGGTCCCAGTGGATGCGGGCTTGGCGCCTTTAAGAGGTCGAGATGGCCGTCGTTTATGCTCGCCGCTGCAGTCGCTGATTTGCAGTCCAGTCGCTGCAAGCAACAGTGCTGACAGATGTTGGTGAATAAGACTTGTTGGTGAGGTAATGCTCAGTCGTGAAAGACGGGTGATGACGGATCCTCGCGGACTTTGGAACGCTGCGTCGTTGATTCCGTGAATAATCTGGCTCTGTCTGTGATTGACGACTAATTACCGACTCCGGTGACGTCGAGAAGATTGATGTCCCCGGGATTCCTGCTCCCCCTCCCACTCGACAAGTGTCAAGGCTCCAGTCCGAGGCCAAGAACCGATCTTCCAGGTGCCTGTGGCCCTCAGATGGCCTGGCGCTGGACAACAGAGCACCGCAGGGCCGCTGCAGGGGAATGGATCAGTCGCGTCGGGGCCAGCTGCACAGAAGCTGAGGGAATTGCAAAGTACCTCCGTGTGGCGCAGGCGTTGAGGAGGTACGAGGCCTTTGCGTGACGGTGGCGCGGTGGATGAGGTACTCGCCGAGCACCAATCGCGAGCGAGTGACTCCAGACCAGTCGGGTGCGCTTAGCGAAGGCGAAGGGCTCACCGACAGGAGGCAAAAGAAGTAAGATGCGATTTTCGACAAGAATCCGATAATAGAGGTGTCAATGCTGCGCCCACATCCGGTGGCGGACTGTCGCTGGTGTTTGACACTGGTTGGGGTTGGCCTGGTTCCTGGTGGCGGATTGCGGGTGCTTCCAGGCGGGAGCTTGCAAAGCTTCGCGGTGGGAAATATGTGTGCCTGGCGATTATAGCGGGTGGCGAGCGAGAGCTGCACGTCAGTAGCCGTCAGGTGGGCACGTGGTCATTGGTCTCGAAAATTCCTCTTGCAAACCTGAGCTCGACACAGGAATTTGAAATGACAACCTTGCGGCGATAATAAATGCCTGGATGGATAGCAATTCAATGTCAACAAAGGCCTCTCGCGATCGTCCAGGCGACGGTCTTGTAGTGCAGGGAATCGCAGTAGCTTGCGCAGCAGCGCGCAGCAGGACAAGCGGTGAGGCAGCTTGAGGCCCCGAGCGAGGCCAACGAGAAGCTTCAATGTGCAAAGGGCCACTTCCTACTGGAGGCAGGGTCTTTGCTCAGGTGATGGCCTTGGTGGAGAGCCGACGATGGAGGCGACTGGAGATCGAAACTGTTTGAGAATGAGACTGGTCCAGCGAGCGGAGGGCAGCTGCGACAGTGCAGGCTGCCAGACAATGCCGCGATGATGATTACGACTGATGTTCGTGGATGATGGAGGCTGAGTCTTTTTAGACTTAGTATCCGAGCTGACAATCCGGTCTAGAGGGCAATGGAAGACAAAGTGAGTCTCTGCCTTCATTGAAAAACATTCCTCCAGTCTCTTTCACTTACACCGGGCGCTCCTGCTCTTACTCAATCCATCCGCCGCGAGGCTGTTGTTTTCTGGGGTAATCGCACCCTGTAGATCTACCTAAGGCATGTGCTAACTCACCGCCCACCGGTATTGGTGCTGGTTGTCTCACACCAAACTATTGCCCTTTCATTTGATTGATCATTATTTCGCATCATATCAATTCAAGTGGCCGCCAGTGCCACAAGTCATTGCCCTTTCGCTTCAGCTTGTGCTCATTCTCGGCACGGCGCACACACTGACCCCGTCATCTGCCTGCCAACGGGTCTCAGATTGACCTGCCCCCATCGTATCGTGGCTGCCGAACGGCCTCATCACACTGCATGTGCTGGCCGTCGACTCATTATCCGCTCAGAATGCCCTACGCCTGCATAGTGCTACCCCAGCTGATCACCGAGAAGCCTGGCCTCAGCGGCTCAGCCTGCGCTGTAATAGTCGTCGAGTAAAAACAATTGTTTGTTCAGTTATACACGTGAGGCGTCCCGCGCTCTACGTCGGACAACCATCCATAAGTCTCGCGGGCTCTCCATGCAAGATCACTGGTCTGGTGGAATCGCTGCGCGTGCATGACTTGGCCACCAGTGGGATCGTAGCCGGTGCAGGCCGCAGCAGTGGTCAGTCGATGCTTTCTGTTGGCTTGTATTGGTTTGGCTCGGCTTGGCAATGCTCTGTCGACGGACTACTACTCGTACGTACCTATCGCCGAGTGCAACATGGCCGCGCGGGTCCTGGACCTCTCTCTCTGTAGGTCCTGTCCTGAGGACCTGCAGCTTTTCTGGCCAGGTGCAGGACACCATCTCCCGTCTGGCCACAACAGCTGCATTGTGTATCATGCCAGTATGTAGCTCGCCCCGCCATTCTGCGTCCTATCATCGCCTGGTCGTACACGATGGAGGGGTGATTGTGCTGCTCGCGTCTACACGACCAACCGATTCACAGCCATCTGACAGGTAAGCAAAGGCAGGGCTCAGATGCTGTGCTGAACCTCCATCCATCTTGTAAGACAGACACATTGATTAAGGTGGTACGCCAACAATGGGACGGACGGGGCGGCGCGCACTATTGGACGGTGCACTATCCACGAGGGTGGGAGGGACAGAAAGTGCACCAGAACTTCGAAGCCTTTTTTCGATTCGGCGACGCGGGCGAATCATTCGCTAGTGACAGCTTCGGCCAGTGAGACACGAGCCACGACGCCGTGACTGGTCAGACAGCGGGCGGTCTACAGCAACCTATGAGGGGGAACTTTGCTCGGTACATACTGCTTCTGTCCCTTTCTCTTGGATACTCTGTCCTGGCGGTCAGGGAGTGGACCTTTCGTGAGCTATTTCTAATGCTACGTATTAGTGTTCACGTAAGGCTGGGATGACCTGCGTATGGGAATGTATCGAGCGGGAGGATTTGCCCATTTTGAGGGGAAATGAGGCCAGGGCACCCCAGCCATGGGGCGACGCGCTAGGAACATTTGATATTTGGCTGGGAGGGTGATCGGGCTGGGCTCAGAAGCGTGGGGAAAGGTGACTTGGAGATGTGATGGCAAATGATCACAAGAGCCTCAGGCGCTTGCGTCGGAACGGAGGGCCCTCCTGAGGGTGGGAGGAATTGCACGTGGTGGGCTGTCGCTGAAGTGGGTGATGGCCGATGACTTCATGCGGGCTTGAAGCAGGTTGGGACGGCGGTTCTACTTCAACTATGATCGGGAAACTGGTTCAAGATCAAGGGTGAAAACTTGTTCCAGTCTAGTGCACAATAAGTGCACGCTATCAATTCACGATCAGCGATTGCGTTTCTAGTCAGAGTCATCTGTTCTGGGCTGTCGTTTGACAGCTGCTACCCCATGAGCGGCCTTGTAGTTCTAATCATAAGACCTACAGGTCAGTCAGTCATACTACCCAACCTCGTAACTAGGTCTCCAAGATATCTCCCGTTGGAAGGAGGTCAATTTAGCAACGGAATACTTTGAATGTCTTACTATAAACTAGTTCCCCAGCGATCTGTCTGGTGGCTGGCAGTCAGGTACCTTAGACATTGGCGGGGTGTAGGGTAAACTATTAGCCAAGTACCACCGACGCGCGGTAAGCTCGCGCGACTCGAAGTATTTCCAAACACACATCACTCACTTCACGTCTCCTTCTGGGGACTGAACATTGGCAACTCGCGATCGCTAGAGACCCATCCATAACCAATCGCTCATTCGACTCACTGAATCCTCCACTGTGGGCTGGTAGGTCGGTATCTCGTGATAATCACTTCACAATGTTGCGTTGACGCCCAAGCGGGCCTGGAGTCCTGGACAGCTAGACTAGAACCTCAACGCAGGTCTCGTGTCCTGCTCCATATAGCTCGATCGGCACATATTCTGCACAAGTATTCATGCAAGAAAAGATGACGATGATGAGGATGCCAAGAGATTCGGATCATCATCAAAGATCTGCCTCCATCGACTGCAATGACCAACGGTCGCCCACGTCCCAGCCTCTCCCAGGTCAGACTCAGGACACCCACCCACTAGATCAAACCATTGAACGCCAACAATGCCTTCCATTTCATTAGATTGTCACCAGAATCATCGAGTCAATGAGATTCCTCATTGAAAGCAATGCACATGGCCCATTTCAGCGTCTTGCCGATGTAAAGCCAACATGGCGCAAGTCGGATAGCAACACTTCTCAGCCCAATCGGCATGAGCCATGTCACCATGGAATGAATGTTCATGGAGGAAACCATCATCATCATGCCTCCCAGACAGGCAGACCAATATCCACGACGATTGGCTTGTTCATCTTCTTGCCCCCTCTGTGTGGGTAGCTTGTCTTCATGATGGCGGCGTTGACGATGCATGTCTCTTGACGTCCCAATCGACCGTGCAGGGCGGCTACGCCGCAACGAAGGGAGTGTGGATCGTCACTCTCCAAGCACGACTTTTCTGTGTGTGTGTGCTTCTCTCTAGGAGAGGAAGTAGAGGAGGGGTTCGCTGTCATAAGCGGAGGTGATGGTGTCTTGATGCAGTGACTTCCATCATTACGCAGAGGATTGGCAGTGCGGGAGGACAATTCAATAAGAGATAACTTGTGACTCCCCTCTGGACTCGGGTCTTGCCAATCATCAACGCATATCTCGTGGTACGGGGTTTGGTCGGCCGTGAGATCCCATGAGACTCGCCTCGCTCCACGGGAGGAATGGACGTGACCGCAGATTGCTAGACGTGGACGGACTCTCCAGAGTGCTTGGCGGAGAGCCTCACAGCCTGTTGATCCCCTATCTGGCGCCATATCACAGTGCGTTCGCGGTGGTGTATGCGTGACCACGATATCAGTGTCGAGCGGAATGTCGTCCCAGAGCCTCGGGAGGTCGTTGTTTGTGGTGGATGTAACCTGCGTATCGTATCCAAAAGCCCACAAACCACGCTTAGGTGAGTACGGTGATCCGAATATGGAGAATGTTGTTCTTACTCCTGTCCTCAGACGAACGGTCGTGGAGGAGTGATCCAGGTATGTTATGGTTGGGGAGTCTGCGAGTAAGGAGAGGCAGTCCTCGTGAGATTGAGGGTTCTGATTGTGGAAATGGGCGCCATGTTCCGCGAGAAAGGCTTTGTCTAGCGTAATGTCATGATTCCCTATGTTGAATGTCAGAAAGGGTTTCTTTAGGAGGATGCTCAATGTTGTACCTGCAACCACAATCTTGGCCTCGTACGGCGCCTTCTCCAGCCACTGTACCGCTCGTGACAACTGGCACGTCAGCTATTAATTCTATACGAAGACCTCACACTCTCTGACCTCGGAGTAGCTCCCTTGGTTGGTGAGATCACCAGCGTGAATCAGGACGTCGCCGGGGGGTAGTTTTGGTGTCGAGTTGTGCGTGTCGGATATGCAGACGAAGCGCGTCCGACGAAAGATTGGCGGTGCCATGAATGGGGTCTCCGATCGCCTCAAGCTTGATAGGAACGCATTGTGCCTCGATCGGCTGGTGTGTGCGCCGTGTCGATTCTTGATGAGTTGAGAGTTCGGAAGGTGATTTGGGAATGGTGAGTGAAATCGTGGAAGCGATTGACCGTGCGTATAGGCCGAGGACAATGGAAACGAGACTTTTGTATAGTAAATGTTGGGAGTACTTAGAGAAAGGGCGAAATCTTGAGTACAGCTGGTCAACCTCTGGGAAGTTAGTAGTGTTATCGGCCAAGTCGTGGTCACGTTGGCAAGCTTTTTGATGGAAACGGGCGACTGGCGTGCACCGGGTAGGCAAATCACCCATCTTCCAGTGTGTGTACTTCTGCTTCTCACAGCATGTGCACTATACATGTACTTTTAGAGATCATAAAGTCTTCACAGAAGTAAGAGACCTGTTTGATACTCTGATTGCGGATAGGCGAGGCTACTCACGAGCCTAGCCCTCCCCGGAAACTGTCTGTGAGTGTTGTTAGTGTAAGGACCAGGAGTAAGTTCCAGGAAGGGCACTTTTCATGACATTCAGTCTGGTCAAATACCTGGATGGCCAGGGTAATGAGCTCTGGGGGAAAGCTGTGTCACCGTTTCATAGATCTCTGCTTCAGTGAATCGCCAAACGAGGTTACTTTGCAAGAAGCCAAGAGCACAGGATGCGAATGCGGATTCACCTTGGATTCATTGTCCCGACTGGTTTGAGTTTCAGATATCTTAACCATTGAGGTCCCCGCAAGTAATAAGTTATGGCTGCAGTGATTTAAGGGCGTGATGCAGACTAAGATATCATCGGGGGCATTCCCGCTTCCACCAATGATTCCTTTCGACGGCTGTCCCAGAAGCCCAGATACGCATATTCTTTATCCCAGTGATGAATATATCAACCTTGTTCGAGTTATACCCCGGCACTTGGAACATCTGTGTCTTTGGTATCAATGCTTGTCGGTAGTTTTGAGCGCATGTGCACGACGAATTTCCCAGTCTAGGAGGATCAGTACAAGTCTCACACAAAAGAGATCTCGAAGACTCACCAGCCAATTTGGGTATCTAGACTTTGGCGCGTTCTAGCCTCATTTGCTTCGCGGCAAAATGAGCGTGCTTTTGGGCCTTGGTATGGCAGGTCGTTGCAAGTATATGCGCTTCGAGGGCGAGTCTCGGAAGCCAGACTCCGCAAACACTCCAAGCAGTCTCTCCTACTGGAGCTATCCTGGAGACCTTGACTTCCCCTTTGGCAGTCTGCTTTGGGGGCGATACGGCACGGGCATTTGTGCTACCCCGAGTGTCGGCCAAGATGGTATTGTTGGAGCATGGATTGAGTTGCTTGCTCCCGATCTCAGCTTCTGTTCCAATCTTGGGAGTAACATGTTCAAAGTTTGACTTCAAATTCACTTTACTCTTCTTCTGCTTCCTGGCAGCTCGTCTTCTCCTTTTCTTAGCACGTCGTTCCGAACGTCCTTGTCTGGGAGGACGGTGAGGGAGGTTATCCGCGGTCGTTTCATCCTTCACCTTGGGGACAGGAGAATGCTCTACACTGAGGCAATGTTCGATGACAGCAGAGGCAGACGTGAATAATTTTCCGCAGCATTTTGCTTGCTGTGGAGTTTGTGGCTTCGTTGATCCTTTGGCGACCATGCTGGGATCCATTGCGTCTTGCTCTGTGTTCATAGCAAACCCGGTCGAGAAAGGTGGTATGTGAAGGCGACGAAGACGAGTGATGGAGGATAAGGAATGAAATAGAACGAGTACTAACAGGCAAGGAGAATGTAGGAAAAACGCATGAGGAGATCGGCCTCACGAGGGGCGGTGAGTTGGCCCTCAACACTTGGGTTGAAAAAGATAGCAAACATGGGACACCAGACGAAGAGATCGAACATGAACCACGGACATCCCATGATCTATGATTGCTCCGGCGGTCGATCGGCAGCGAGATAGGCATTGACTGGCCGACTACGGCTGTGACATGTGCTGGACCTTGTTGTGCCATGCTGCTGAAGAAAAGGTGACTCAAACTCTCGCCGTGTGTAGCCAGTGTTTGTTCGTTCCGCTGTCTCCTGGAAATGAACAGTCCATGTCATGGGGGACATGTGTACGACTTCACTGTGGTATATAGCATGTTCAAGAAACGGCAATTTTGATCGCATCTGTGAAGAGAACGTTGGTGTTCTGCGATTGCAAGCCCTCGTCGGGTGTCCAATCGTGATGAGTTTCTGGAGACCAGGAGGTACTCGTCCAGCCCAAATCAACATGAAGTGTCGTTGAGGAAAGGTCGACGGCGGAAGCCAATGTGCCAGGGCAAGATCTGATGCTCGTATGTACCCACTAGTGATTAACTATCCAGGGGAGCATCTCGCGACTTGGGTGAAGTCTTGAGTCTTGACTCGAGTGCCGTCGAGCATGCGGGGCGCCATGGAGCTAACAGGCCAACAGAAGGATGAAGCTACAGAGCCCTGCCCGACGGGCCGAAGCCGCCCTCCAGTAGCTGTCGGTGCTTCGAGGCAGGCCTGGGTAGCGTCCAGTCGTTTTGTTGATGTTCTGCTGTTTGGATCGCGGGCATTGCTCGCATGCAGGTCGGAGTGACCGATGACAAGTTGTCACATCCCAGAACGAGACAACGCGAGACAATTCGTGGTAACGCGTTTCGGTGCAACAGCCCTGCATGGGCTGTTAGCAGGGAAAGTGAACCGGGGCCCTGGATGACAGCAATCTCGGCTGGGACCGGGGGCAATTCCGTAACGGCACTGGCGCAAAGTGCCAGAAATTGGCGTCGAGGAGCCACTGAGGCCTCGAATCTTTCAAATTTATTTCGCTCAAGGCCCTTCGAACGTTCAGTTTCTCGACAGTCAACAAGTCCCGCGGCACGACAGGCTCAACTGTGAGAACCACGGAACCAGAGAGGTGGTGCAAAGTGCTTGCAGATCGGCTGCATGAAACAGATTCCCCCGCCGCACGTCGACCACTCAAGCGTTCGACTCCTGTTTTCCAAGACGCCATCTGGACCGTCATTGGGCCCATGTCGTCTGCGGAGAGACTGTTGTCACATCGAGTGCTTGAGCACAGCTGCACAGGACGGCGGCCCACAGCTTCGAGGGACTTTGAGACAATCTGTGAAGAGGCCATCAATTCCCGGCAACAGCAGACATGTAATTAATTCTACACAATCGCTGAAACAAGCAGCATAAATCTGCCAGCGCTCGACAAGCGAGTGACGGCTCGAGCCAAGGAATAAATAATCAATGCAGTTTGTGCCCCTGTTTGTCGTCGTCCCCCCGGCACTTATGTTGGTCCAACTAAACCCACTGCCTGCCTGCCTGCCTTCCAGTGCCTGGCCTGGCCTGCACCGGCAAAACCCACCAGCCGCCTCTCGCTCCCCCAAAATCACCATCACAGCCTTTCCCCAAGCATCATTCCATCACTACGGCCATTCCCTCATCAATCTGCCTGCCCACGCCGCCCGACACCCATAGACATACCTCGCCGACACAAACATCACGCTCGCTCTCCCGCTCGCTCGATCACTGCAAGCACGAACAAACACGCGTCTGACCTCGCTTGACCCAGCCTGACCCCTTTCCCTTCTTCCTCCACGGCATGTTGTCGTGAGGACGACTACTGGGAACTGGCGTGGGCACGACACTCTCTACGTACCATTACCGCTCCTTTGTCTCACAATGGCGGCCACCGCTGCCCAGACGACCACATGGACCCCGCCGGCGCGTCAAGAGGACGAGGTAAGACAGTCTGACCTGGGCCGGAACGTGACTGACACAGAGCAGAATTACGACTTCAAGCTGCCTGCCGAGGCAGACTATAATGACGCCCAACTCGCCACGCAGCGCATGAAGTCCGCCAGCGACGATGCCCACCACGAAGAAGCCCCCAAGGACGAGTCCGCCCTTTTACCCGCACTCGAACCCAAGGACGACCAGTGGATCCATCGCGACAAGTTGGCCAAGATTGAGAGCCAGGAGCTGCAAGCAGCTGGTCTATACGTTCCACGCTCACGAGCTCCCAGCAAGCAGGCCAGAGACCGTAGTCGTAGCGCGATGCGGCGCGGCACAGACGCTTCCGAAACGCGGTCGCGTAAGAACTCGGCGTCCGTCGAGCAGAGGGCTTCCGACTACCAAGCCCCCAGCTGGGACCTGAGGACCCCCGAGGAGATTGCCGAGGAGGAAGCCAGTGCCTACTTTATTAGCAATGGGCTGCGGGGGGCGTCGCGGATACCCGTGGCCAAAACCAGCCCTGCGCCCATATCGCTCGACCATCTGGAAAGGGGGACGCTGATGAGCGAGAGTCCCGAGACCACCGCACGATCTAGGAGCGCGTCGGCGAGCCTGCGGAACCCGACGCTCCCTGCCGCCAAACGGTCCAACACGGACATCTCGCCCAAAAAGGCGCCTACGTCGGGGGCCGGTCGCAAGATGTCGAGCGGAGCCAAGGCTGGCCAGCGGCCCAAGACGCGGAATGGCTCTGGCAGCACCACGCGCCCGCCGACGAGGTCGGGCGACTCACCACCCAACAAACAGCCCGAAGGTGATCCGCCATGGATGGTCAACGCGTACAAGCCCGACCCTCGACTGCCGCCTGACCAGCAGCTGCTGCCCACCGTCGCGCGACGGTTGCAGCAGGAGAAGTGGGAAAAGGATGGCACATACGGGAGCGTCTATGACAAGGAATTCCGGCCTCTCAACGACACGGCCCTCCTACAGCCGCCCGAGGCAGCAGCAGGCCAAGCACCGCAGACTGATTCGGCCGACGCGGAGCCTGCGCCCAACGGGGAATGGCCGCTTCGACCAGCAGCCGACAAGTCCCCCAGCATACGGCAGGGCTCCTACTCGACCATGCCCAAGATCTCCGACAAACCGCCCACCTCGCCGATGCCCTCGCCACGACCCAACGCGAACCCGCAAATGTTCCAGCCGCAGATTGAGGTGTCAAGCCCAGCCGCGCAGCGTCCGCCCGAGACCAAGGACGAGCCCAAGCGAGGCGGATGCGGGTGCTGCGTCGTGATGTGACGGGACAGCCCCAGGAAGAAAAAGAGACATTGGGAGGCTTGCGCAAAAGCCGATTTACGACGTTACGACTCCTTCTTCTTTCGCTTTTCCTTGTGATGCGTTTTCTGTTCCTCTTTATACCACCACACATCACACCGACACTAGCGACCGACGCTTTCCATTTGTTCGTTCGCCGGACAGTTGTCCGGGTACACCTGTTTAATCGACCGCTTCTTTTCTTGTTGTGTACTTTGTCAGCTCGCACATTCTCCGTTCATTCGAGCGAAAGCTGGAGTTTTTCTTTTTTCCGTCTTTTCTACGACCAGCCTTCTGGTCTGCTGCATATGTGAGGGGGGGAAGGGAAGGGACTTGGGAGTCCGGGGAGCGCATCTTGGCCGGAGGGTTGCCAACGCAGAGGAGCGGAGCGGAGCGCGCGACATAGAGCGATTGATCAAAGGTAGATGAATCCAAAGCTTTCTCCACTGTGGGTGACGACGCGTGTGACGAATTGGTCGACATTTGGAGGGAGCTTTTCCTCCTGCGGGTTGAGGGATCTCGAGGTCGAATCTCGATGTTGGCGGCCCGTACGCGGCAGCGTTCGCTAACTAGCAAGCTTGGCCGTAAGAACGGTGCTTGGCGGAGAGGTGATTCCATTCGCAGAACGGTAAACCTGATCTTGCGTCAATGGACCCGGATGGCACGGCAGATCTGCTGGCGTTGCCGTGAACCGGCCGCCTCGGGAGGGTCCGATCGCGTCTGTCTGACATCATTGGAGATGGGAGGACATATGAGGATATATGAGGCCGCCAGGCGCGTGGAAGTTCACGGCGACGCGTGTCGAGAGCAATTGCGCAAGAAGTACTGATTAGGAACGAGCCAGCGCACAAGCAGCACGTTCAATCGCATCAGTCCCGCCACGACCAGATACATCCGCCGCCAAGATGGTACACCAGCACGGCGACCACCACGACATCCCTGCTCACTACCTTCGCAGAAAGCAAGTCAAATCAGTCTCTGGTATAGTGTGAAGCTCGACTAACTCGCAATAAGGCCTGGTGGTTGGCTGCCCGCAGACCACCGCATCCACCATGAATACGTCCGACGCCAGACCGAGCACGTCAAGACGCACCCCAAGGAGCCGCTGACGCCCGCCCTCGAAGCCTTCAAGGAGCTCATCGAGAACAACACGCGGGTGTACATGTACTTTCGGCAGATGTTCGAGGAGATCCCCAAGCAGCAAATCTACCAGATGGACGTGACCGGCAGCGCGCCGGCCATCCGTGACTACGAGACCCTGCTACAGGTCCTCAACCGCATCGTGGGCAAGGCGCCCGAGTGGACAGATGCAGAGGAGGCCGTCGGCGTTGTGGGAGTGCCCATGTGCGCCCTGTTCGACTACCCCATGGGCACGCCCAGCGGCTACGCCGCATTCCTGGACCCGGACGTCAACAAGGCGCTGAGGCGGGTGCTCAACGAATGGGGCAAGTTCCTGCAGACGCCCGCCTCGGCCGAGGTCCTCAAGGCCGGCCCCGGTGGGTGGTTTGGCCAGACCGGACTCAGCGATCTCATGGAGGTGGCCAACAAGCCGCTCGGCACGTCGCACAAGTTCGAGGACATGTACCAGTGCGACCCCACGGCCAAGCACTACGGCTTCAAGAGCTGGGACGACTTCTTCACGCGCCAGCTGCAGCCGGACGCGCGCCCCGTGGCCTCGCCCGAGGACGATTCAGTGGTGGCCAACGCGTGCGAGAGCAAGGTCTTCAACATCTCCTACAAGGCGCAGCTGCGGGACCGCTTCTACGCCAAGGGCCAGCCGTACTCCCTGCTGGACATGCTGGCGCACGACCCGCTGACGGAACAATTTGCCGACGCCACGGTGTACCAGGCCTTTCTGAATGCACTGAGCTACCACCGCTGGCACGCGCCCGTCTCGGGCACCATCAAGCGGGCCTTTGTGCAGGAGGGTACATACTTCTCCGAGCCGCTGTTTGAGGGTGTCGGCGCACCGGGCAACGACAAGATTGACAAGCGCGGCATCGGCCTCGCGCAGGGGTATCTGTCCAGCATGGCGACGCGGGCTGTCATCTTCATCGAGGCGGACAACAAGGACATTGGGCTCATGGCGGGTGTCTTTATCGGCATGGACGAGGTGAGCACGTGTGACATTACGGTCAAGGAGGGCCAGCATATTAAGAAGGGCGATGAGCTGGGCATGTTCCACTTTGGCGGTAGTTCGCACTGTCTCGTGTTTAGGAGTGGTGTCGAGCTGGAGGACTTTCCCAACCTGGGACGGGAGGAGAATGTGCCTGTCCGGGGGAAGCTGGCCGTGGCGAAGGCGAAGGCAAAGGCGTGAGAAATAGGGACTTCAATAATTTAATGTGCTTGATACATTCCTATTCATTCATTGGACCGGTCCGCGCCGACTCTAGTGCTGACTGCCATGCAGGGACGGACTTGAGCCCCCTGCTCATACTACTTATATAATCACTCCCAGCCCTCGCACTCACTGCTTCGCGTCCTGCTTCATGCCAGCCTGCACCCACTTCTGACCAGCCTTGGCGTCCTCCTCCAGCTCCTCGGGGCTCTTCTTCATCTGCTCAAACGCAGTGTGGGGCGTGGGGACGTGGCGTCCGGCCTCGAAGCCAGGGCGCTCGAGCAGCTTGTAGAGCCACTTCTTGAGGGCGGGGAAATCGTCAATCTCGACGCCGGCCCAGAAGCCGTGGGCGACCCAGCCCCAGCAGGAAATGTCGGCGACGGTGACCCTGTCGCCGACGAGGTAGCCGTGCGGGGCCTTGGCGAGGTGGGTGTCCATGGTGCGGTAGAGGCGGCGTGTCTCGTTGACGTAGCGGTTGATGCCGTAGGGGATCTTCTCGGGGGCGTAGCGGTTGAAGTGGTTGGCCTGGCCCTGCATGGGGCCGAGGCCGCCCATCTGCCACATGAGCCAGCTGGTGACCTCCCAGTGCTCGTTGCTGGCGTAGGGGTAGCTGACCTTGTGTTCCTTGTCGTAGGTGGCGGCGAGGTACTCGAGGATGGCGCCGGACTCGAAGATGCGGATGGTGTTGCCGTTGGCGTCCTTGTCGGTCATGGCGGGGATGCGGCCGTTGGGGTTGATGGCGAGGAACCAGTCCTCCTTCTGCTCGTTCTTGTCAAATGAGATCTTGTGCACCTTGTAGTCGAGGTTGAGCTCCTCGAGCATGATGGACGCCTTGATGCCGTTGGGCGTGCCCACAGTGTAGAGGGTGATGTTGGTGGGAGTCTTGGGCGCCATGGTTGCTGTTCGTGACGATGTGTGGATGAGAGTCCTTCTCAATGGCTGGAGATGTCTGGCGAGGTGAGTGAGACGAGATGTCATGAGTGAGTGAGTGGGTGGGTGAGAGATGGCAGCTGTCAGTGCACCGGCGGGAGGTGAGCTTTATGTCGACGATGAGCTCATCACTTCCACGCGCCGAGGAACGGTTCGGATGGTGGGGTTTGCGCCATCTCCTTTGCTCCTGCCTAGCTCTGGAGTTACGGGACGCTTGAAGATTGTTATTGGTAATTGGCAACAGCGGGCGGGGAGTCTTGGTCGCGCCTTCTCCGCCGCTTTGCTGATTTCCGCCTCCGCGCCGGTCCCGGTGACCTCATACATTCGAGTCCGACTGTCGAATCCGCGCTGCTTCGATTATGTTCGTCTATGCGGAGTGCTCTCTCAACCTGCGGAGTCATATGTTGATCAACCAGGTCTCGCTTCATTTTCAAACGTCCATTCTACCGTCTCCGCAACATGGCATTAATAAGCGAGACGACAAGTTCCGCAGCCGCCATGTCTTGCAGAAGGCGAGCGCTGATCAGATTTGATTTCACCCGAGATGACCATTGGGCGTGTCAACGCGACGCACAACAACATGGTTTCAGCTTGTCTATTCATTGGCATGACCTGTATCAAAGCACGCTTGTCTACTTCTTACAGCCAGTCTTACGCGTGATCACCGTATTCCAGCTGCCGTCGACACTCAGTCGCTGATACGCAACGTCCTTCACGCCAGCCTGTCCAAAGTCGAGCTCAAAGCTGCCACTCTCACCCGTCACCGTCGTGGCCTCGACATCGCCGGGCAACCCGACCACTCTATTGGATCCCTCTGTGAGATCAAAGGCAGCGCCCGGCTTGGACTCAACCTGCACAGTTACCTGCCCCTTCTGGGAGCAACTCGCTTCCATGTGCAGTGGGTACGTCCCCTTGGGCAGATCCTGATCTTGCGAGGTGAGATGCGTGGTGATGAGATCATTCGACCCGAAGCGGACATTTTCCTCGTCCAGCGTCATGCGCGTCGTGTAGAGGGACCGAGCGACCGTCGTGTCGTTGCGTCCGTGGTGCACGTAGAAGAGCTCTGCGCCCTTGGGTGTCTGACGAGTGACGTCCTGCGCACCAACGTGCACACCCTTGCCCTTGGGCGGCGAGGCGACGACGCTCCCGTGTCCGGTCGAGTAGATTGGTATCGCGGCGTCCGGGTCCTGTGACAGTATGGGGTTGCTGGTGGACTTGACGAACGGGCCCAGGGGTGACTCGGCCGTGGCGTAGCCGACGCTGTAGTTGGATGCCTCGTAGTTGTTGGCGCTGTACAGGATGATGTAGGTGGACTGGCCGTGTTGTCCCGGGCGCTTGAGGAGCGTGCTGCCCTCGGACCAACGACGGTCCTTCTTGGTGCCGTTGAAGACCTCGTAGTCGTTGACGTGGTAGTTCTCCCATGCCTGGGGATCAGCGCCGTACGAGATGACCGTCTGCCAGCCGTCCTTGCGCGGTGGGGCCCCGAGCTCGCCGGTCCCGTTGTACGAGGTGATGTTGCATGGAAGACTGGGTGCGTCGTGGGCGTGGATGTCCTTTTGCGACGCGATGATCTCGGGCATGGTCGAGGCCGTCGGGTCGTCCCACCACGCGCGGTCCATTTCGACGACGATGATATTGGACTCCTCAATGTATTTGCCCAGCTCGTCGTCCCAGTTCCAGTTGCGGTAGGCGTTGCGAGACGCGTACAAGTACACGCGCTCGTCCTCGTCAAAGAAGATGTTCACGTCAATGGTGGGGATAAAGGTGCCCATGGGCGCCGTCTGCCCCTCCTCCCGGCTCTGGGGCGGCAGCATCTGGTCCTTGTCCATGATCAGGTTGACGTCGTGGTAATTGGGATCAAACGGCCAGTAGTCAATGGGCTTGTCCTCAATCTCCTCGAACGGACCTGTGGGCGACTTGGAGACGGCGACGCCAATCTTGGAGGGCTCCTCAAACTCGGAGTAGCGAAAGTTGTCCGCCGTCAGGTCCTCCGTCATCCGCCCGGCGAAGAAGAAGAAATACCACCCCGTCTCCTCGTTGTGGTACGTCTCGGGCGCCCAGTACCAGTCGCGCGCCCAGCACGCCTGGCCACCCGGCAGCCTGTTCATGTCGTCGTCGTAGCAGGCACGCAGCACGCCGCCCTCGTGGCGGTGCCATGTCGCCAGGTCGGGGGAGCTGTAGATGGCAAAGTTGTATCCTGGATCGGCGCCCTCGGTGGAGTAGACGTAGTACTGGTGGCTGGCGGCGTCCCAGATGACATGGGGATCTGCGCCTGGGTGACGCGCCGCGTTGAAGAATTGGGGCGTCTTGACCTTGCCAGGGGGCGCGGCGACGGCAGAAGAGGCAAGGACGGCCGTGCCGACAAGGCAATTGAGGAGGCGCATCTTGTCGGGAAGCGATGGAACGGTGTACGGAGGACAGGCGTCTACGGTGAAGAGGGCGGCTGGTGCTTAAATATACCCCAGACTCCCTAGGGTCCCCGCAGTCGGCAATCATCCTGGTAATTCGGTCTTATTTCTCTGCCTAGATGACGCTAGATCCAGTTTTCATCCTACATGTCAACTTCGGGCGTCGGGCTGTTCAGAACCGAAGGCATTCTGGGATCTTTTGGCGAGTCGGAAGGCCTTGGTGGTCATACTGGCGAATAGGTGCTGGTAATAAACAATGAGAGGATACTGATGGCTCGGTTCGAGCTGGCAGGGTCCAAGAAACGAGAGTTCACTGCCGAGCCGAGAACTTGAAGTGCCTGGCTTCCGTTAGTGATGTTTCTATTCGAGCGCATCAGAGGCGCATGTGGTTTACCCCACAACCGTGGAGTCAGTCTGAACGACGGTGATTTAGTACTCTGTACCTTGTCTTGAACCTGATTGCGTATTATCTTAAGCAAGCACCAGTCAAGGTTATTTATTCCCCTCGAGACGGATATTGCATGCTTCTCCTCGACAAAATAAAGCCGCTTACCCTATACTGTCATAGACTGTTGGCATTTGCAAGTTGTGGCCTGTCAATGCACCAATAAAGCTGGCACTGATTCGGACAATGTCTGCTCAAAATTCTTAAAAAGAATTCAGTAATTTATTGAGATCAATCAAACAGCGCTCGAGCAGCTGTTCGAGTCAGACTCCGTGGACTGTCCCCAGCCCTCACCACGGGTTGGCTTTTCTTGGGTCAACAATGATGTTGCGATACGGGACAACTGCCCAACGCGAGTGATGCATCTGGCGTGCGCCCGTAATTAAAAAACAATTATTCGTCAGCACCGAGGTCGTGAGTCGCTGTTGATCTCCTACATAAGGCGTAAGGCTGACTGGTTGCGCGCTCCACCTCCCCCTGGGCAATGCATGCATCCCTGCTCATGGGCGCATCGCGTTTCAAATGTCATCCTGATGGATTTGAGTCTTCGACAACATAGGCAGCTTCACGTCTTTTTATGAACATCACCTCATGAGAAGGGAGCCGTTGCACGCTCCACCAGTCGCATGATGAATCCATTCAGAAGATCACGCGATCGCGCAACGGACAGGACTGTCGAGATGAGCGCCCTGGGGGAAGCGCCACCGACGGACAGCGCGCACCCCGGGACCGCATTGTTCAAGGCCTCCACAGAACGAGGCATGCACCGCGTGTTATCGGTCGACTCGCTCGCCCAGCCGCGGGACGAGAGTGAAGCCCTCGACGAGCCGCCACGATCCTCCCGCCCCTTGGCCTCCCATTTCAAGGCCTGGGCTCCAGAGGCTGGAGAAATCCTGCTAGGCATCGGCCTCTTCGTCGCACTCGTCGTCATCCTCAACACATACAATGGCCAACCACTCCCACAGTGGCCAATGGGTCTGACCCTTAACACTATCGTCGCCCTCCTCGCCACGCTGTGCCGCTCTATTATCATCCTGCCCGTCACGGAGGGTATCTCGCAGTTCAAGTGGAACTGGTTCGTGGCCGGCAAAAGACCTATCAAGGACCTCCTTATATTCGACCAAGCCAGTCGAGGGCCCTGGGGCTCCCTCCGCCTGCTGTTCCGCCTGCACGGACGACTCATGCCGCTGAGCCACGTGGCTGCCCTAGTCCTGGTTTCTGGTCTCGCGACGTCCTTCCTCACGCAGTCTGCCGTGTCGTATGAGTCGCGCCTCGCCGTCAGCGACAAGAGTGGCCGCGCGACGATCAAGAGAGCCAGCGTCTATCCGGCGACAACTGGTACCGAGGACAGCAGCGGCGATCTCGAGGTGCTCAAGCGCACGGCTCTGCAGGCGACCTTTCTGCATGTCGATGACCATTGGCCGGTCCCTGAGCCGACCTGCCCTAGCGGGAATTGCGACTATCCCGTGTACCACTCTCTCGGGCTATGCGTGAGCATGGAGAATGTGACGTCTGAACTAAAGCACAAGGAGATGGAAGGGAAGAATGGCGACACGACGGCCAGGCTCTCCCTTCTCAACGGCACAGTGTTCATGGACGATAAGGTGAACTCGGTTGTCGGTTTGCCCGACACCGTCAACGCGACGTCCCCCGAGCCCCTGGATTCAATTGACATGCCCGATGTGTCGCACATGACCGAAGAGGAAGCGTCTGACGCCATGGCCGAGGCTATGAAGAATTCTATCTGGCCTCCCGAGAGGAACTCGGTGGCAGGGTGGAAGAATCCCGACCTGCTGTCCGCGACGATTTCGCAGTTCTTCTTCATCTGGACCAACGACAAGGTGCCATACCAGGGCACGAGCAGCCGGTACCGCGCGGCCGAGGTGCTGTGGCATATCTGCGTCTACACGTACAACACGACGGCCCGCGACGGCGGCGCGACGACGGACACGCTCGACTCGGTCACCAAGATTGATTCAGTCATCAAGAAGACCGGGGAGAACGCATTCAACCTGACCGACAAGGACGGCCGGGACAAGTTTCGCGTCTCGAACAAGTACGCCTACGACTCCCTCGACAGCACATTCCGACGGGCGTTTCAGGGGGCGTGGTCGAGTCTCTGGGGCACGGACAGGGACTACAGTGAGATCAGCTCGCAGATGGCGAGGAACCTGTTTGACCGCGGGACCGACGACTACGAGGCTTACACTGCGATGACCGCGGCGGAGCGGGACGACATGCTATGGAGCAACCTGGGCAAGATGACGGGGACCATTGCGCAGAGCGTGACGACGTACATGCGCAACGCGGAGAAGACGGACGGCGAGGTCGTGGGGCAGGTACTCCAGACGGAGACGTTTGTCGTCGTGCGATGGGCGTGGCTGGCGTTCCTGGCTGCGCAGATGGGGTTGACGATTGTGTTTGTGGTGGCTGTGGCGATACACACGGCGCGGCTGGACGTGGACGTGGTCAAGAGCAACAATCTCTCGGAGCTTTTTGCGCAGCGGGGGAGAGGACAAGAGGAGGAGGGGGAGGAGGAGGAGGAGCCGCTGCTGGGTATCAAGACGCAGGTGGATAAGCTGGTCAAGGGGCGCTTGGTGCGGACGAGCGAGGCGTGGGTGTTGGATGTGCAGAGGGAGGAGGCGCCTGACGGGAAGCTGTGATTGATGCGTGAGGATGAAGATGATGATCGAAGAATGAGTGAACATGAAGTCTTTCCAGTACTTGCATGTCCAATTGAGTGCCTTCAGAACTAGAGGGTCGATATCCAAGGTGACGGTCTTTGGACGTGCGGTGTTGGTCACTGGGTCACAGAATTTACCATTCGACCTCTTTGCCTTGGTCCACGATGACCGCGCTTGGCGGCATAGGCCTCGCTGATATGGGCGTCTCTCGCTCGACCATCAGAAAGGGGACTGGGCCAGGCACTTGATGGGATCTTGCAAATGGGGTCTATCTAAGGATAAGCAACATGATGGCAGCGTGCTTTATCCTTATACTTTACACTAGTTGGACGGTCTCGAATCAATGGCTACGTATTCCCGATAAGCACCACGCTTTCTTTGCTTCTCGGGAATAGGAAAACTGCGTCCCCGAAGTGCTATAGTCTCTCGGTCTCGGTCCGAGATTCTGTCTGGGTGTAAGACAAGCCTGTCCAGTCGTCAAGCAACAAATGATTTGCGCACTGCGCCTCGCCCAAGGAGAGCCGTCTATAATAAAAGCTGCTAATGTTTTCGACTTAAAAAATCATTCCAATCCATTCTCCTCTTCGCCATGATAAATCTCGCCCGGTCTCGCCACTGCGTAGCGTCCCTCGCCGGCCCGACATGGAGAGGGGGCCCCAGTTTCCTCCCCCATGCATTCTCATGCATGTCATGCCCACACGCAGCATCCCCCATATCTTGTGTCGGCCCGCGGATTTAGCATAATGGTCCTCGCGGGGTTGCAAGGCCCGAATAGACTCCACGGTGCATCTACTTGTATTGGTATTCCTATGGCAGCTGCCTCCTCTTCCTCCATTCTCACGTCTCATCATCATCTAAAATCTAGACAGGAAGAATGGGCTCCCTCGACCCTTTACCACAATGGCACCACGAGCCAGTCTTCCACCTCAAAGCACCGAGAGGATGGATCAACGATCCCTGCGCACCTGGCTATGACCCGGCCACGGGGACATACCATCTATTCTACCAATGTAGGTCCTCTATCATCCGTGATCCAGCGCAGCCCAGGTCTGACCAGCCCACGCAGGGAATCCAAACTCTTGTGAATGGGGAGATATCACATGGGGCCACTTTACAAGCACAGATGGCCTGCGCTGGCGGCAGAATGGCAAGCGCCCTGCCATTGAGCCCGACATGCCCTATGACGACAAGGGCATCTTTACGGGGTGCTTTTGGCCGACGGGCCCGCGTGGTGAGAAGGATCAATTGACAGTTGTCTACACATCCATTGTCCAACTGCCCATACACTGGTCTATACCGTATAGTCGAGACTGCGCGGGATTGGCCATAGCCACTTCACGCGATGGCGGGCAAACGTGGCGGAAAAGTCCCCTCAATCCGATCCTCAAGGGCGAGCCAGAGGGTCTGACCGTCACTGGGTTCAGAGATCCATTCTTCGCAGAGTGGCCTGCGCTGGATAGGATGCGTGGAGAGCGATGCCTCTATGGTGTGGTCTCGGGTGGTATTGTCGACCAAGGTCCCAATGCGTTTGTGTACGCCGTTTCGCCGGACGATCTCACCACGTGGTCATACCTGGGACCCCTGAGCGAGGTATTCGTTGGCGCGCAGAGGCCGAACAAGTGGACAGGCGATCTTGGGGTGAACTGGGAGTGCGTCAACGTCGTCACGCTCGATACGCAGGATTTCCTCCTCATGGGCACCGAAGGCGGCCAGAAGCGGGGCCAACCCTCGGAACACGAGGCGTATGCCATGTGGATGGCGGGATCCCTCGAGCAGACGGCGGATGGCCCGCGGATGCAGCATGACTACAACGGCTTGCTGGACCATGGTAGCTTCTATGCTGCCAACTCCTATCTCGACCCGACCACGGGCGAACGTGTCGTCTGGGGCTGGATCAAGGAGGAGGAGCTCACGCTGGCGAGGAGGGAGGCCAAGGGCTGGACCGGCTGTCTTGCGCTGCCGAGAGAAGTCTTTCTGCTCAAGGTGCCAAATGTGGTTGGCACGCTCAAGACACCTTTGGATGAGATTGAGTCCCTGCGAATCACCCCCGAGGGTGTCGAGACGCTGGGGATCCGGCCACTGAAGAGCCTTGCTTCGCTGCGCAGGACACAGCCCAAGACCATAAGGAATATCCCAGGCGTATTGGGCAGGACCCGTCTTCCCACGCCGTCTTCGGGTAGCTGGGAGCTGGAGGCCATCGTGAACGTGCATCAGCGTCATCAGCGCGTCGGGTTCTACCTCAACCACGACGAGGACTACCACCACAGAACCAGCGTCTACTTCTCGCCGCAGGACGAAGAGATTGTAGTCGAGAGGGAGGCGTCGAACAGCGAGGATGATATTGTTCGGAACAACGTCAGCGGTGGATTCACGCTCTTCGTGACGGAGAAGGACGGCGTTGCGTCCACCGAGAAGCTGCATCTGCGCATCTTCCGCGACGGCGACGTCCTCGAGATCTTTGCCAACGACCGGTTCGCTCTGTCCACCATGGTGTACGCCAACGAGTCCGACTGCACGAACCTGAGCTGCTTCGTCGAGGGGGGCGACGCCGACATTGTCTTTGAGTCGATAGCAATATGGGAGGATCTGGACCGGGTACAATTCTGATGATGATGATGATAATAATAGAATTCATGTAACACCTCGCATCTCGACACTCGGGTGTCTTTCCTTGAGTAAACGAACCTTGTGTAGGAGATAGTGCCTCTGATCGTCGCGGATTCGCTCCAGGCCGAGTAAGAAATGGACCAGGAAGACCAAATCTTGCACTTGGGCTGTCAACTCAGTCTCGACCTTGTCGGGCCCGACGGGGAGGGTCAGGACGTCCGCAATGGTGTTCGTAATCTCAAAGAGCTTCTGCACAATGCCGCTGCCCTGCGTGCTGATACTCGACATGCTGTCCAGCCGGAGCACAAGCGTCCGGAGCTGAGTGGACAGCCGCTGCGCCGGGAAGTGCAGGGAGAGCGCCTCGTGCGTCGTCGGCCCGGATCGTAGTAGACCGCGCGACAGGGCGAGCTGCCAGACAACGGTCCGCATCCATAGCCTCGTGACGTAAATATCGGCGTGTTGCGACTCGCTGAGGCCGGCGCCGTTACTCATCCGGAGCATAATCTCGGCCTGCTCGGCGTTGTGCTCGTCCGCGTCGAGTTCGGCCTGCCGGCTCTCGACCCAGTGTACGTCCAGCGCGGGTATGCTCTCGTCGTCGGCTTCCTCGTTGATGCGATAGGCCACGAAGCGACGGTCCATGATGCGGAAGAGACTGATCAGCCGGTTGAAGCCGACCTGGATGCTGGGCGGTAAGCTGGCGTCGTGGTCCGGGAGACCCACGAGTGGTGTGAGAATGGCAGGATAGCCAGAATGCATGGTGAGGAACCGCTCGTGGATAAAGGCCTCCCAGTACAGTCGCTGAAACTTGGGCCGTTGCGCGCCTTGCGGGATCGAATCGTCGGCCTTGAGCGTCTGCAGCATGGTAATGCCCTCCCGCAGCAGGGCGAAGCTGCGGTCGAAGCGCTTAAAGGCCATCATGGCGATCTCGAGGTAGATGCAGGTGGTGATGCGCTTGATGCTAACGAGGGACTCCTCGATGAGATGGCCGTTGGGGCCGATGCGGAGATCGGCCCGCTTGTGCGCCTCGAGGCTCAGCTGCATCATCTCGTTGACCTGGGCGCTCGCGAGACCGGAGACCCTGTTGTTGTCCGGCTGGGCGAGGAAGGTGGTGACGGCCCCGTAGGCGTGGACCAAGGCGGCGTCCTCGAAGCTGTCGTGCATGTTGGCGATGGCGCTCTCCATGTCTTTGGTGTCGAGGATCGGGTTCACCGGGTAGACCAGCTTCTCGAACTGGGGGAGCAGTCCGGTGAAAAAGGCTGGCGTGTAGGCTGTCGACGAGGCCAGCGAGTCGAACAGCGACAGGGCCCGAGGGCTGAACGATGCCGACCCAGGCGAGGCGGCTGACTTGCGTGCGTCGGATGGTGAGTTGGGGGAGAGGCCGCTCTCGTCCTGGGACGCCGCCTCGTGCGGGTGGTGGTGCTGGTGGTCCTCGCCGCGCACCTTGGCCACGAGCCGGCCGCGGATCGGGTTCTTGCGCTTGCTGGCCGGCGTGACGACGCATTGAACGTCAAAATGGACGCACTGATGGCACGGCTGCTGCCCGTCGCATTTGACCTTGCGAATTCGACAGCCGTCGCAGGCGCGCGACGTACGGTGGGCGGACATGGCAGGCAGGCGAAGGATGAGGTGGGTGTGTCGCGACGATGACACATGAACAGACGCACGTCGCGTCGACGCGTCTAACGTGAGGTCTGCACGAGCAGCGCCACTGTGACTGTCGGCAATTGGGTCTAGGATACGAATTCAATGACCGGCGAGGTCTTTGCGAGCATCAGATTGTGGTGAGGAGGGTTGTAGTGAGGTGAGGCTGTCGCCACTCACTCACTCTGGGGCTCATAGCACCGGTTGGGAAGGGGCCCGACGCCCGAGGGACTAGACGGGGAGACCGCCCCCACCTCCCCCAAAATTGCAGTCATCCTCTGCCAGTGACTTCAGTGCAAACCCTCCTTCCTCAAGTTTGGCGACCCAGAGTGAAGCGCCAGGCTGCCGCCTCTTCAGCCTTTGCCCGACCGACTGAAAAACCTTCTTCGGCCTCTAATTACGAAAGGAGAACATGGGGAATGCATATGAGCTACCGTACTATGCGCCCGACTGGCGGCTCCCAACTCCACTTCCGTCGCCGCATATTATCGAGGAAAACGGAGAGATCCTGCAAGAGCAAACCGGTCGACGCGTCGTTCGTTTCGGCAACTGCTACATCATAAAATACGGCTCAAATGTTAGTCTAACTGAGGGTAAGAATATGCTCTTCGTACGCGAGACGCAATCAGTTCAGGTACCAGAGGTCTTCGCTCTGTACTCCACCGAAGATACAGAGGGGCAAAACACCAACTATATTGTCATGGAAAATATTCCAGGTCACCATCTTGATACCATCTGGGCCCAATTGGACTCCTCGGAGAAGAGCAACATAGCAAGCCAACTACGGGTTTATTTCAACGCTCTTCGAAACCTCCCAACGCCCGGATATTTCGGGTGCATTGGCAGACGACCATTTGAGGAGTCCATGTTTTGGACCGCACCTGAAGACGATGTCGAAGACGGACTGATTAGCGGGCCTTTTGATTCAGAGGCGGAATTCAACAACGCCTTGGTCCAAAAGTACCTTTACAACAGCGGATTGGATCCGAAGGCCGCGTATTATCGTCGTGTGCTCCCGCTCGTTCTGCGCGATCATAATCCGGTGTTTACCCATGGTGACCTACAAAGAAAGAACATCATCATAAAGGAGAGTGGAATGGCTGTTCTAATTGATTGGGAGACAGCGGGTTGGTATCCAGAGTATTGGGAATATGCGCTGGCCATGTTTGCTTGTGGGGCTTGGCAGGATGACTGGCATGAAATTGTTGGCTATAGCCTCGCGGAGTACCCAAATGAATATGCATGGTTTGATATGCTAAGGAGAGAATTGTGGTCTTAGACGGTCCCATCTACTATCGTAACGCTCGAAGCTCACATTGCGGCGAGCTTGAGGAAATGGTAAGCAGTGGGACACGCAATTCACCAACACCAATGTGAAGCCAGCTCGATTTGGTGGGGTAGGGCCTGCCTAGGCAGGCAGGCGTCACGTTTCCCCCGCAAATCCAGTCAATCGCAAGTTCCGCCAGGCTCCAGCCGCAACGACGCGCCTTTCCTCAGTCAACTTCTATCATCACCACTGGCGTCGACATTCACATCTGCTCCCGTCGCAATGTTCAACAACGCGCTCCATTGCAGCTCGCTCAATCGGTGCGCTCTATTCACAGCTCCAAGGGTCCTCCTTCTCACTACGCGTACCGCGACGTCAAGCTCGTTCACAATGTTTGTTGTCCTCTGCCGAACATGCGGACCACAACTTCTCGAAAACACTTGACAATGACCGTCACAAGTGCGCAAACGGTAGGATACCAGTGTTGGACAACAATCCTTCATTAATTATACAGCTGAACCCAGTGCACCCTGGTGCAAGAAACCCTCGAAATCGACGGTTCTCACAGCCTCAGCTCCAACTAACTCGACCTTGCCAGAAGCCCCAACGCCGCATCAGAACCAAAACAGACAGAATAACGAGGCCCAAGCCTCGGAACCCATTTCAACCACAAATGTCAAATACACCTGGCTCCGAAATCGCCGCACAGAAGGCATGCAGCTTGACTCGCTGCCTTACAAGCTGATGAGGCCAGACAGGACTGATCCGGTGCAGAGGCCCGCGACACACGTGCAGAGGTTGACCAAGGCCGGAACGCAGGCGTTGATCTTGGCGGCGCACTGACTGGCCTGCGTGCAACTCCTCGACTTGCAGGTGCCGCCTTCGCAAACTTGGGTAGAGCTGCAGGCCGGGCCGGTGCCGCATCCAGTGCCAGTGCCAGTACCAGTGCCAGTACCGCCACCAGTGCCAGTACCAGTGCCAGTACCGCCACCAGTACCAGTACCAGTGTCACCAGTGCCAGTACCAGTGCCACCAGTGCCAGTACCAGTGCCACCAGTGCCAGTACCAGTGCCACCGGTGCCAGTACCGCCACCAGTGCCAGTACCAGTGCCACCAGTGCCAGTACCAGTGCCACCAGTGCCAGTACCAGTGCCACCAGTGCCAGTACCAGTGCCACCAGTGCCAGTACCACCACCAGTGCCAGTACCACCACCAGTGCCAGTACCGCCAGTGCCTGTACCACCACCAGTGCCAGTGCCAGTGCCAGTACCGCCAGTGCCAGTACCGCCAGTGCCAGTACCAGTACCGTCGGGCTGACAGCCGCCAAATAGGGTGCAACTCTGGCCCTCAGGGCACACTTGTCCTGAACCAAGGCAAACCCGGGCACTCAAGAGGCACTGACCAGCGACACAGACATTGATAGTGCCATCGCAGCTGCCGCCGCACGTACCATCCCCTGGCAAGCTGACAGCGGCGGTGCAAGTGTTGTCTGTACCGCAGATGTCGCCCTCGGCACACAGGACGTCGCCGCAGACACGAGCGTTGAGAACACACTGGCCACCCAGGCACACACTGATACCGTTGCACGTTTCTCCGCCACAGGAACCTCCAGTCGAGATGTCGACACATGTGTTCGCAAGAGTACCACAGGTCTGGGCAATGTTGCATAACGTTGTGCCACATACACGGCCTGAGTCGACACACTGGCCATCGAAACATGTCTCGGTGCCAGCGCAGGTAGCACCGCCACAAGCACCGGTTCCGCCGCCGCCGCCGCCGCCGTTGTCAACGCATTGGCTGTTTTGGCAAGTCTGATCAGGTCCACAGAGGACGGGGGGGATGCCGCAAAGATTGGTGCTAAGAACGCAATTGCCTTCGAAGCAGACATTGAGAGTGCCCGAACATTCGACCCCAGAGCAAGGGTCGCCCCCGACTCCAGAGTCTACGCAAGCGCCATCTGTGCAGACCTGACCCACGTTACAGAGGGTGGGCAGCGTACCGCAGACGAGGTCTCCCAACACGCACTCGCCCAGGAAGCAGACATCAGTGCCTGAACAAGTGACGCCGTCGCAAGGATCGGTGTTGCCGCCACCGCCACCACCACCACCACCACCACCAGCCGAGCACGCGCCATTCGCGCAGGTCTGGCCAGGCAGGCACACGACATCACCGCAGATGAGATCCGGGAGGACACATTCGCCGCCGAAGCAGATATTGGGTGAGGAGCAGTCCCCGCAAGACGTATCCACTGGAATACACTGCCCGGCGACGCAAGTTTCATTTGGGTCACAGACCGTGTCGGTTCCGCAGATGAGGTCAGAGAGAACGCACTGGCCGTTGAGGCAGACTTGCGCACCGGTGCACTGTGCGCCACCGCAATCCGTCGGATCACCGACATCGATGCAGACACCGCTGGCGCAAGTTTGATCGGGACTGCAGATAATGGAGCCACAGACGAGGTTGCCAAGGACACAATTTCCGTTGAGGCAAATCTCAATGTCGCTACAGGTAGCGCCGTTGCAGTCTGTGGGATCACCAGTGGGAAGACAGACGCCATTGTTGCAAGTGTTGCCGTCCGGGCAGAGGATGCCGCCGCAGAGGTCTGTGCCAGGTACACAAACGTTGTCAACGCAGACCTCATCCGAGGTGCAAGTGTCCCCTCCGCAAGAATCCGGGGCTTGGTTAGGCACGCAGACGTTGCTGATGCACGTCTCATCAGCGCCGCAGGTCTGCCCGCCGCATAGGCCAGGCACACAGACGCCGTCGACGCACGTCTCGTCGCCTTGACAGATGTCTGTGCCACCACAGAGGAGGTTGTTGGGCACGCACTGGTTGTTGACGCAGATTTCGACACCATCCTGACAGGTGCTCGAGCCGCAGCTGCCAGTTGCATCGGGCACGCAGACACCGTTAACACAGGTCTGGCCGTCGCCGCAAGGATCGTCGGAGCAGTCGCTGGGACCAGTCAAAGGTACGCAGACACCGTTGACGCAAATGTCTGTTCCCTGGCATGTTGCGTCGCCGCAGTTGCCAGTGTCCACTGGCACACAGATGCCTCCGACGCAGGTCTCCTGGTCAGTGCATGTTGTATCGCCGCATTGGCCAGTGCCGCCATTCGGGACACACACGTTGTTGATGCAAGACTCGGTGTCATCGCAAGTAGCACCACCGCAAGTGCCGCCGGCGTTGTTGGGCACGCAAACACCCGAGAAGCATGTCTCGTCGGCTGTGCATGTCTGCCCGTTGCAAACACCTGGTGTGGTGTTGGGCACACAGGTATTGTCGACGCAGATCTCGGCGCTCGTGCATGTCGTGTCGCCGCAGGTCACCGGTGGGATGGTGGCAGGGACGCAGACACCCAGCACGCAAGTCTCGTCACCAGAGCATTGGCCACCGCAAGTATCAGACGGCGGAGTGCCAGGCACGCAGCTGTTGTCAATGCAGACCTCGCCGTCGGAGCAGTCTTCGCCGCCACAGTTGTCCGAAGGGGCCACTGGTGTGCAGAGACCTCCGATGCAGATCTCACTGTCCTGGCAAGTGTCGCCGTTGCAGTCACTGGGGTCGCCCTGAGGGACGCAATTGTCCAAGATGCACAGGAAGCCGTCAGGGCAGGTTCGGCCCTGCGCGCCGCAGTTCTCGGGGCCCGTGATCGGGGCGCAGGAGCCGTCGATGCAGGTGGTTCCAGCCGGACACACGCCATTCTCTTGGCGACGGAAGAAGAACAGGCGACTGGGCAACACGGCGCCACAGGAGCCGGGGTCGGTGATGGCGGCGCAGCTTCCAGCCCGGCAGATGGAGTTGGCTGGGCATGGAGGATCGCACTGAGGGCCACCGGGGGGGATTCCGTTGCCGCCGTCTCCATTGCCGCCGCCTCCATTGTCGCCGCCCCCGTTGTCGTTACCGCCGCCGTTGTTGTTGCCGCCGCCGTTGTTGTTGCCGCCGCCGTTGTTGTTGCCGCCGCCTCCAGGCTGGCCTCCAGGTTGACCCGGGGTACCACCTTGGTCACCTCCCTGGGGATTCCCGCCAGCGCCGTCACCGCCAGCATCAGAGCCGCCAGCACCGGAGCCGCCAGCACCGGAACCGCCAGCACCAGAACCGCCAGCACCAGAACCGCTAGCACCAGAACCACCGGCACCAGAACCGCCGGCACCAGAACCGCCGGCACCAGAACCGCCAGCGCCAGAACCGCCAGCACCAGAACCGCCAGCACCAGAACCGCTAGCACCAGAACCGCCAGCACCAGAACCGCCAGCACCAGAACCGCCAGCACCAGAACCGCCAGCACCAGAACCGCCAGCACCAGAACCGCCAGCACCAGAACCGCCCGCACCAGAACCGCCCGCACCAGAACCAGCACCGGCACCAGCACCGCCAACACTGGAAGGGTCCGAGTTGCCGGGCTCTGCGCCATTGGAGGCATCAATGCGGCGAGTGGGTGTCGCATTGCCATCATCGCCATCCGGAGCCTGGCAAACCTCAATGGCCGGGTCTGAAGCGGAATCCTCTGACAGAAGATCGGGAACGCAGATGTCCGAAATACAGACATTGCCGTCCTCGCAGGGGTTTCCTGAAGAGTTGCAGGCTGAGAGGTCTGTGCTGATCGAGATGGGGGTACACTCGCCATTCAAGCAAATCGAGCCAGGCCCGCAGCCACCGCTGCCACAAGTTTGATCGTCGTCTGCAGCAGGCGGGAGTTCGAGTGTCTGACAAGTGTCGGAAATACAAAGCTCGCCCGCCGCGCATCCCACGCGATCAGGGCCACAGTGACTCGAGTCTGTGCCAACACTCAAGCTGGCGCAAACGCCATCGTTGCAGCTCGCCCGCAGGGGGCAGTCAGCCGCGGAGTTGCAAACAACAGAGTTCGTACCAATGCTGAAGGGAGTGCATTCGCCCTCCAAGCACCAGTTGCCGGGATCGCAAACCTCAGCTGGGTCACCGCAGCTGTTGGCATCCGAGCCAATGTTGAGTGGGAAGCAGACGCCGTTGACGCAAACCTCACTGGCGGCGCAGGTTGTCTCGTTGATGCCACAGCGTGTAGGATCGACCGTAATCTGAATAGGCTTGCATGCATTGTCGCTGTCGCACACCTGGCCGACGCCGCACGAATCATCGCAGGTAGGGCCTCCGGGTGCAGTGAAGTTGAGGGGAATGCAGGACCCGACAACGCACAGCTCTCCAGACTGACAAGCATTGCCTGGACCGCCGCAGTTGGCCGGGTCGATGCCAATGGTGTTGGATGTGCAGGTGCCGCCAACGCATATGCCGCTGTTGGAGCAAACATCAGTGGCAAAGGGGATGGGGGATTGGTCTTGTTGTTGTCTGGCATTGAGGTGCAACACGGACCGAGCTGTGACGACGGTGGCCCATAGCGCCAGGGACTTGATGGTCGCCATTGTGAGAAAGAGTTGGTATGGCGATGATCCTATTGGCGAGGATCTTGCAGAATCTCAACGACTTGGATCAGGGAACTCCGGGTCAGCTTTATATCAGCACGTCCGCGCGCCGGCACCATTCCCCTCTGCAAGCATCAGAGGCCTCGTGGACACGCGACGGTCTGGGCCATGGCGAGATGGCTCATCTTTCGCACTCGCTACTCAAACAGGAAGAGCTGCCCAGTCGCGGTTCGCGCCTCGAGCTGGTGGACGCCAAGGCGCCGTTCGACCTCGACGCCAGCCAGCTGAACTGTAACAGACGGCCGCCAGCATTCCAGGAGATCTCCATCCGGGTGGCCACCTGCGCGCTATGATGGACGACGGACGTCAAGAAGAGAACAGACCTCGATCATGATGATACATGGCTGAACAACATTTGCTAGCCGGACTTGGCCAAGGCCATGTCGATGGAGGCTGGGGGTTCACGGAAGAGGCTGACATTGCTGCCTTTGATTGGAGTAAGAGCCCCAGATGGATGCTTGACCGGGCTGGAGTTTTCTTCCCGTCCATGGATTTCGGGCGTTGTTGCTGCCTGGTACATGGCAATCAACGCAGCCGTCTCGAATTCTGTTCATGAGAGCAGGGCCTGTGGGGTGTCTTTCCAGACACGGCCTTTTACGGTCTGGACCATTGTTGCAATGAGCTGCTTTGCTTTTGCCGTTGATATCAAGTGATATGATATCGGCTACCCAAACTTCAGGGGTACGCACTCGCGTCAGCAGCACGCCAGTGCTTCCGGAGCTGTTCCCACGGCATGGGCTGGCACAGCAGCTGCAAAAAAAAAGTGGCTGAGACTAGGTGCCGGCCCAGGGCACATCCGTATCTAACGTTGGATCTAAGACGCACGCGAGCTAGATCCCGATACGTCCACCGCTGTCACAGCCTACAGGAACGATCTAGTCTTCCTGTAGGAACACGGGTCGTGGGCTGTGTGTTTCTTCTGTGAGACGAATCAGGCATGATGCGAATTGCATTTGCCATTTGGCAGCTATGCAATGCTGCGCCTGCAGCCACTGCCGTTTTCCGAGCGCGTTGCCGTTGTACTCGGCACGCCAAGGGCCCAACCCATGTATGCGATGTTGCAGTCTTCTACGCACGCGTGAACGCCCAGACCCCTGATCCCGATATAGAGAATCCCCCTGATCTCGATTTCGAAAACGTGCTTTGTAAGACAAGCTGGAGAAAAGGGGCGCAGAGCCCAAAACAGATGGCATTGCTGCCTTCTCCACCATGCCGCGATGGAGAACTCGATCTCTCTTGGCTTCTGTCCAAGCACAAGGTAGGGCAGCTAGGATTGAGTGGGACCAGGGTGGATGGTGGGCTCGCCGCAGTGCTAACTCGAAGGAATGATGGCTTGAGACACTGGAATGCCGTCTTGCTATGCCAAGGAACCGTAGAGCGAGGGGTCGTGGTTGACAGTTCTAGGTAGTCCTCTATCTAGTTGCTCTAAATTCTGTGACAGAGATCTAAAACGCCAACACAGAGCGCCAAGTGGAATCATCGATTAAGCCTAGCTTGGGCATGTGTGAAGCTCATAGCCATGGAGGCTGTGAACGCGGAAATTGACTACGTACGAGACGAAGAGTCGTTGATAGATCAGGATTCAGGACAGGCCTATGCGATGGCGACGGTTAAACGGATATGGATTCTGGAGCAGTTTGTGAGTCTCTTGATAGCGCGTCAAATGAAATACACTGGTTGCAGGCCATGACAAACTCTCGCTTATTTGAGGCCCCATTTTCATGTGCAGTTGAGTGTAGCTGGGAGGAAACAACGCATTCCAGCTGAGCCGTCCATACCCTTTCCGAACGTGGGGATCTAGATGGGATCTAGATAGCATCTTGGATCTAGCATGCCAGACATGTATGCAGTGACTATTCGTAGCCACGATGGGACGGGCCTTGTACGGTGGGGACTTGACAGCTGTACTAGATCGAGTCTTCATACCACAACGCAATCCCCACGTCCAAACTCGGTTACACTTGCAATGTGTAGCGTACTTGGTTAGTCGATCGACGACGAATGCGGGGGATCTATGGCGCGGTGCTACTGAACCTAGACTCGTCGTTGACGCACATGGCAAGGGGTTGACAGGATAGCCTTAAACTGACTCCAATCCGGAGCAGATTGTCCCGAGCCTTGATGCTCGACAGTAGAGCTTTGGCAGCGCCTCTTGCTTGCTTTCTGCGACGCTTACAGTAATTCTTCTAGAATGTTGGTAAATATCAAGCATAATGTTTTCAGGCAGATTCGTCGCGTACGTGTATGTTGGACTTGGTCTATGCGGCCTCATCGCATCACACGCGGATCATCGCGGCAAATTCATGAACCTCTTGGTCGTACTCGAATAGACTAGTACGAATCCATGCTACGAAAGCGAATTACTCGGTTCCGGGTATAATTGACTTTGCCGGAGCCAGATAAACATCCGTGCCAAGGACGCCCCCAGATTACAGAAAACGGCGGCTCGTGAGTGAGGCATGCGCTAAATACCGCGTCCAACGTCAATCTGTCACTTGACACTGACAGGTCTCCATCATTCTCCCTCCACACACATCCACTGTGCGCTCATCTGTTGGCATATTCATTGCACACGGCTGGATCTGGCGACAGATCTCACACTCAGCAATGACGTCGACGACACAACCCCTCGAGGCGCGTCTCCACGCCCTCCTCCCGTCGCACCCTGCGCTGCGCACATCTCTTCTGCCCGCCCTGCTCACCTCCTTCACCCAGATCGCGCAGACCCTGCGGACATCGCAGCGCGTGGCCCTCGCCGGCTCGGCCAATCACTTTGGCGATGACCAGCTCAACGTCGATGTCAGCTGCGAGAAGCACATTCGCGACGCGCTAGAGGGATGCCCCAGCGTCGTCGTGGCGAGCTCAGAAGAGGACCCCGTCGAGGTGGCCGTCGCCCACGCACCTGGCGCGCAGACAGGCGAGGAGAGGTATAGTGTCGCCTTTGATCCGCTAGACGGTAGCTCCATCATTGCGCCCAACTGGACCGTGGGCACGATTGTGGGTGTGTGGGCGGGGGACACAGCCGTGGGCGTCTCCTCATCGCAGCAGATTGCGAGCCTGTTTGGCGTCTACGGACCCCGTACGACGGCGTACATGGCCATACGGCTCCCGGGACAGGACGACGGCGGCGTGTGCGTAGAGCTGGGTCTGAACGAGGACAACCGCACCTGGGACGTTCTGCGTGAAAAAGTCACCCTGACGCAGGAACCCAAGGCCAGATACTTTGCGCCCGCGAATCTGCGTTCCGCAGCGTACAGCGAACCGTACATGGATCTTATCCACCACTTTATCCGGGAGCGGTATAACCTGCGCTACTGCGGTGGTCTTGTGCCGGACCTGGTGCATACGTTTGTCAAGGGTCACGGGGTCTACGTGTCGCCTGTGACGGCGCGCGATGGGCCCAAGCTGCGTAGGTTGTATGAGCTGTTGCCCGTCGCGCTTCTGATGGAATGCGCGGGCGGTAGGGCGGTGGATCCGCAAGATGGACGAGATGTGCTCGATAGAGTCGTGAGAGGGACGGAAGAGAAGGGGGGTCTGGTGTGTGGGAATGCGGAGGATGTGGAGATGGTGATGAGGACTCTACGGAGAGGGTAGAGACGGGAGATGGTGAAACTAGAGTAAGCTATCTATCTCATGTTATCTCTGTGCTGTTTGCGGACAGGGACCTTGTGAGTATGAAAGGGTGGATAGTAAAAGAGACGGGACATGTGAGATTATGTGGCTGGAATGGTTTGACCCTGAGACGGCTTGTGAACCCTGGACTTCGTTGTTGCTGATGAGCACAAAGTTGAAAGCAGGGTCTTCCTTGAGCCAAATGCCAGATAGGCGATATGGCATTGCTAGAGGACTGGAAGAGAACATGAAGCGTTATAAAGAGATAGGGTAACTAAAAGCTGACACTTGCGCTGACCATTACTAAGCTTGGTCATACCCCTTCCCAGCAATCCTCCTTTTCACTGGAGGACAAGTTGACAACCTCAACTCCTTGTCCAGTGAACCGCAACTTGACTCAGGCCAAGCTATGCCCGCAAGCAGAAAAAAGACCACCAAGGGCATATTCAGGACCAAACAAGGTCCTGCGGTGGCGCGGCAGGCCCGCCATCCGGCTGGTGCTAGCCAACACCGGCCGGCCCTCCAGTTCGTAAACGTCGACCACCCCGAGCTAGTCAAGGATCGAGCCACCCAGCGGAGAATCCGTCGCCATGTCATGCTCAACGTGGGCCAATCCCGCAAAAAGGGCACACACAGGGGTATTATCACACGGTCTTCATTGCCGCAGACCCCGTCGCACTGGGGAGAAGTCAAAGTATGCTCTAACTTTGAACGACTCTTTCGAGCCATGGATGCAGTCTCACATGGTCTGCTGTCAATCACATTGGGGGGCAGCATGGCCAAAACTCGCCGGCAGGGTATGCCTCTGAGTGAGATGCAGCAGTACACAGACTCGCTTGGTCTGGTGCAGCAGAGTATCACGCACAAGACAGCCAGTGCAGCGAATCGAGACCTGGTCATTGGCACCGTGACCTGTCTGGCCTATTTTGATGTGAGTTTGACCCTATATACCAACGACCCGTGCTAATGACTGCCCACAGCTGCAGACGCACAATCTTGAAGGGTGGACGGTGCACATGCGCGGCCTGGAGAGCATCGTTGCGCTCCATGGTGGCGTGGAGGCTCTCCAGTCGCACCTTGCCCTTCGCCAGTCTCTCTTCCTCGTCGACGTGCTCGGGTCGCTGATCTGTGACACTCCGCCACGGTTTCCACAGCTACATTGTCCGGCCGCTCCCGTATATTGTGGAGGAACAGACGACTCGCTAGCATGCTTAATTGACCGTGCGATACAGTCCGCATCGAATTTGGCGTCGTTGCTCAATGGCCTGCCTCGATGTTCAGCGGAGCAAATGGCCCTCGATCTCATGATCCCGGTATGCCAACTCGCGCATGACGCCTTGTCACTCCCCCGGCTGGAACAAGACAGTCACGGAGAGGGAAAGGGTTTTTTGGCCTCAAGCGGACGGCGATTGTCTGCCGTGGCAGAGTTGGTCCGCATCTCGACACTGGCCATGTTATCTACGGTGATCACGACGACATCGGAGGATGACCTCTTCTGCGCAACACCCCGCCGACGCCAGGGCTATGCGCGAGATCTCCTTGCGCGCACTGAAGATGGCGACTGGGCAGGAAGGGAGCTGACCAAGCTGTGGGTCATGGTCATCCAGGCATTGATGGAGACGGGTCCGACGAGAGTGCTGTTCCTCGACGACATTATCGAGACAATGGAACTTCTGTCACTACATTCATGGGAGGACGTCATGTCTGGACTACGTCAGGTTGCCTGGACAGCCCCCGCTGCCGCGAAGGAGATGGCGTGTCTGAAAGGCGATATCGAAGCTCGACTGGGGACGGAGAAGTGATCTTGCACCAAGACCAACATCTGTTTCTCTGCATAAAGTCTATGGCTGTGCTCTCGAGTCCCACCCGACTCTCAGTACGTCACGCCGCCGTTCACGCCAATGTACTGTCCCGTGATCCACCTGGACTTCTCGTTGACCAGGAGGAGCACCGCGTCCCCAATGTCCTCAATCGTACCGGCGCGGTCTGCCGCGCGTGTCAGGGCAATCTCGGGCTGCATGAGCTCGTCCGCCAGCCCTTCGGGGTAGAGGTCGGTCTCGACCGGGCCAGGGGCCACCGAGTTGACGGTGAGGCCTTTGCTACGCCCAAGCTGTGATTCTCACGCGTTAGCAAGTGCTGATTCCCAGAAGGCGAGGGACGTTCAAGTACCTCCTCCGCCCACGTCCAGGTCAGACTGTCTAGGGCAGCCTTGGACGCTGCATACGTGGAAATATGCGCGTTTCCTCTCTTGGAGTTGGTGGAGCTGACGTTGATGATGCGCCCCCCATTTGGCATGTGCGGGACGACAGCGTTCACCATGTAAAAGGGACCGAGGGTGTTGGTCTGAAAGACCTTGGCCAGCTCCTCGACGTTGGGCTCCTCTATGATGCGGCTGAAGAAGGCCACGCCCGCGTTGTTGACTGTGCTGGTCAGCACTGTTTGTCCTGCGACGTATCTAGGCTGCGTACCCAGAATATCAATGTGGTCCGTCTGGAAGCCCAGGAGGGTCTGCTGGACGAGATGGCGGGCCCCCTCGACGGTGTCCACCGCGGACTGTACGACGATGGCCTGGCCGCCTAGCGAGCGTAGGGTGTCGCTGACACGGGCGGCGCGCGCCTTGGAAGCATCCGAGACATGGTTGACCACCACGGAGGCGCCGTTGCGTGCGAGGGCGTAAGCGATACCGGCGCCGATGCCGTTTTCGCGACCGGAGCCCGTGACGATGGAGACTTTACCGGAGAGACTGAGAGTGTCGGCTGTCATGCTGGCGATGGTGTGTGGGTGGCGAGATCGAAGCGAGGCTGTTTGAGTGGAAGGACGAGTAGGTGAAGTCTGTCGTTCGGGAAGTCTGCAGCTCCTTATATATCTCGGTCTTTCGACATGGTCAGTCGAGCTTTGTTGAGTGGACCTGGGTACTGGGGACAGCTCTGACACCGTTGGCCCGCTGAGGGTATCACAGGCATCGAAAATTACCCGATTGGGAAAATGGTCAGGTCAGTAGCGCGTGGACCCGTCTCACAGTCTCGCTACATGCCTTTATTCTGTTGGATGGAAGGCATTCTGTTGAATTGCGGAGAACATGTTACAGAATAGGAAAAAGGTCGAGCAAACGATATATCAGGGTTATGAATGTTGTGCTCTCGCGTCATCGAGGCTGCAAGCACAGTCCAGCGATCCACGTCTACGGCTGTGCAGCTTCCATGGACGCTTCGCAATGAATGCGGAGAAGATTGCATCTTACAGCGTCCATTTGAAATATGTACTCTCAGCCAGAAAGACTTGACACGAAGCGACCGGACATTTCAAAGCGAACAGGGTCGCCTTGGTTGGCATAGCACCAATATCGATATACACATATGCGCCTGTATTCAGTTACCGGGGCTCGACTCGGTAGGGCTGGAAGTTTAGATCTGACAGGCGCCGGGGACTATTCCATTCCTATTTTTGTTAGTCGCCGACTTCCCAAGTTCCTGCATGCTGACAGCTCCCAAGCAGCACAGGGATAGAGATCCCCCGATGATAAGAATGAGACTAGATCAATCAATCAATCTCGGGGTCCAACGTAATTAGTGATTCGGCGACCATGCATTCCTTTAGTGAAGAGCAAGCGCAAAGTTTGCTGGTCGCCGACTATCGCGAAGGAGTCGCCTCTTTGGGCTGCTCCCATTGTCAGCTGATTGGCTGGGCTGCCTGTGCAACGGGATACTGCATATATTCAATAATTGTCAGATGCTGTCATGCTGATGGTAGCCGCCTGCCTTGGCCACTGCGTAGGGCTGAGGGGATATCTTGGTCCCGTGTTTGTTCATCTTCACTTGTACGGGTCGAGATTGATGCCATCATATCATTGCCAGTCTTCCGTCCCTTTGTGTCGTAGGACGACAGCGCCAGTAGGCCCACGACAGACGACGAGAATTATTGGAAGCAGCTCTACCAGAATCTAGGAAAGAAACCGTGGTCGGCAGACGCTGTGCTACAAGTGCTGCTGCTGACTGCCGAGAGCCCGGGATCTCCGACACGTCCGGGTGGGTCAAGGACTCGAGTCGGCGAAGTGAAGGGCTCACGGTCCCGAACGCGAGCGAGTCCACGACTGAGAACGGCAACATATATACTGAAACGAATGCAGGGTCGTCCAAGTCCACGGCTAAATTGACGTGACACCCTTGTTGACCTCCAACAGCATACATAGTCATTCTCTCTCACGTTCCTCTCCAAGACTTCATCACGAACCCCCGATACTAAGACAAGACAGAACAGGACATTGTGCCTCCCAGCATGGCAATGCAGCCTGACACCGTCGACCTTGAGAGGAACGACCCCCAACCGCACACCACCGTCGCCAACACAGTCGTCTCCTCATTCGCATGGCACGACCTCCACGTCCAGGTCAAGGACCGCCAGACGGGCGCCCCCAAGGCCCTCCTCGATAATGTGTCCGGCGTCATCCGCGCCGGCGAGCTTCTCGCCATCATGGGCCCCAGCGGCTCTGGCAAGTCCACGCTCCTCAACGCCCTGGCCCACCGCGTCGCCGCCGGCGGCGCCACCACTACGGGCGACATCCTCATCAACGGCGCCAAGGCGTCGATGCGCTCCATCCGTGACCTGTCCGGCTACGTCGAGCAGGAGGATGCCCTGATCGGCAGCCTGACCATCCAGGAGACCATGATGTTTGCGGCCCGCATGGCCCTGCCCTCGTACGTGTGACCGGCCCAGACTTGATGGAGTGATTCGCTGACATATTTCCCCCACAGGAGCGTGACCAAAAGAGAGGCCTTGCGTCGCGTCGACGAACTCGTTGTCAGCTTTGGACTGCAGGCGCACCGGCACACCATTGTCGGCACGGCGATCAAAAAGGGGCTCAGTGGAGGCCAGAAGAAGCGACTCAGCGTGGCGAGCCGGCTCGTCACGGATCCCAAGATCCTCTTCCTCGACGAGCCGACGAGTGGTCTGGACTCGACGCTCAGCCTCGAGGTGTGCTCCTATCTCCGAGAGATTGGTCGAAAGTACAATGTGAGTGGCAACCTCGTTCTTCCTGTCTAGAAAGCACTGACCAGTCCCCAGATCGCCATCATCGCCTCGATACACCAGCCATCCACAGCCGCTTTCCAGCAGTTTGACACCCTCTGCCTGCTCTCGGGCGGCCGCACGTGCTACTTTGGGCCCACGGCGCAGGCCACCAACTACTTTGCCACCGCGGGCCACCAGATCCCGCCCGAGACGAACTCGGCCGAGTTCTTCCTCGACCTCATCAACACCGACGTCGACCGGGACGGCCGGATCCGCCAGCAGACCGACCGCCTGGTGGAAATGTGGTCCACGTCCCAGGGTCAGAGGGACGTCCAGCTCGCCATCGAAAAGGCCACCGAGTCGCCCATGCCCGTCGCCCACCGCGCCGTCGAGAAGCCAAAGCCGTGGACGGTGCTGTTCGCCCTGCTGCACCGCTCGTGGATCAAGTCGTACCGCGACATCATCGCCTACGGCATCCGCGTCGTCATGTACCTGGGCCTCGCCATCATGATGGGCACCGTCTTCCTGCGCTTCGGCGACAACCAAAAGTACGTGCAGCCGTACATCAACGCCATCTTCTTTGGTGGCGCCTTCATGTCCTTTATGGCCGTGGCCTATGTGCCCGCCTTCCTGGAGGATCTGAGCACGTACCAGCAGGAGCGCGCCAACGGCCTCGTCAGCCCGGGCGTGTTTGTGCTGGCGAATTTCATCATCGGCCTGCCCTTCCTCTTCCTCATCACCGTCCTCTTCTCCATCGTCACCTACTTCCTCGTCGGCTTCCGCGAAGATGCCTCGGCCTTTTTCATGTGGGTCATGTGGCTCTTCCTCGACCTGCTGGCGGCCGAGTCGCTCGTGGTGCTCGTGTCGTCCATCTTCAACATCTTCGTCGTCGCGCTCGCCGTCACTGCGTTCTGCAACGGCCTGTGGATGTGCGTCGGCGGCTTCCTCGTGCCCATGGACATTCTGAACCCGTTCTGGAAGTACGTCTTCCACTACATCAACTACCAGGCCTACGTCTTCCAGGGCATGATGGTCAACGAGCTGCAGAAGCGCACGTACACCTGCGACGAGTCGGCGCCTGGGCAGTACCAGTGCAGCTACCCCAGCGACCTCAATGCCGAGGGCAAGTTTCGCGGCACCAACGTGCTGCAGCGCTTTGCGATCAACACGGGGCTCCAGGGTACGTGGGTCGGCATCATGATTGGCATCATTGCTGGGTACAGGATCTTGGCGTATATTGTCCTGCGACTGCGCAAGTGAGAGGTTTTCGTTCTTCGGTTTTGGGTGTGGCCCGGTGACGTCACGTGGTTTAATGAGTTTTGCCGTGACCTTCTTTTATAGACACTTTCTGGGGAAAATTAATTTAATAAGATGCCTTTTTGATTATAAAGCCTCTTCGCTCTTAAAATCCCATGTGCCAAGTGACGCAGATACAGGGTCTGTCTGCGTCTTGCTCCTCTTCGTCTAACAGTGGCATCACCACGATCTCGTTCAGTCACGTGTCACAAGCTCACAACTGGCATCACAAGTGAAATGGACAATGAAATAGCTGACGTATTTAATTCATCAGATTCTTAACACTGCTGTAGCAATCGAACTTGTGCCTGTAAATTAGCCCAGTTGGCCCCGCCTTGCCTTGCGTCAGCGGGGTCTATCCGTATCGATAGAACTCGAGACAAGGCAGCTCACCAGAGCTCTGCGACTACACCTCACTCTAGCCTCACCCATCATCTCGCCTCATCTCCTCGACATGTCAACGCAGACCCTCCATCGTCTCAACCCCGTCGGCCACGGCCTGGAGGCGGCCCTCGTGGCAAGTCGCAAGACCCCTGAGCCCGCCAAGATCACCCTCCCTCCCAAAAAGGTACTGCCCAGACTCCAGTGACGCCAGTCTCACACAAACTCGTCCACGACAAAAGATCGACTAACCGCAATCCACAGTTGGACGAGCTCACCGCCGCCGGCGACTCCTTCACCTTTGACGCCTTCACCACCCAGGACGCCCACGAGCTCGGCCACCTCCTCTACGCCCGCCTCGCGCCGCATCCCCGCCCCGTGCTCATCAACATCACCCTCGCCAGCGGCCTGACCGTCTTCCAGACCACCACCGGGCCGGGAATCCACAGGGACAACGAGAACTGGGTCGCCCGCAAGCGCAACACCGTCTTCCGCTGGGGCGCCGCGACCTACGCCATGCACCTCAAGTTCGAGGGCAACGAGGCCGCCTTTGCCAGCAAGTTCATGCTGGGCGATGAGGCGGGCCAGTATGCCATCCACGGCGGGGCCATCCCCATCCGCGTCGCGAATGTCGAGGGTATCGTCGCTGTTGTGATCGTGAGCGGCCTCGCGCAGGCGGAGGACCATGGGGTGATTGTGGACGTGGTGAAGGAGAACTGGGGGCCGGTGGAGGAGAAGTGATGGAAAGTTGCTTGTGTTCTTTGGCTGCCTGTGTAAATTGTAAGAATTGAGACTTGTGCTGAAGCTCTGCCACGTTCTGCTGATGTTGCAACTTTTCTTCTCATCAGCATAATAAAAATGGTGCAGCACGCAAGTCAGCTCCTCCTCACTTCCACGCGATCCTAGTCCCATGGGACTGTTGCCATGTGTCGAGCACACTTCCACAGCATCTCTGCACGAGAACTGACCCTGCAACTTGCTAGCTTGCAAAGCCCAACATGCCACTCCCCTGGCGCCTCGTCAACACAACGGACAGGCTCAAGGCCATGCTCGACGTCCTCGGCCCGCGCCTCTCTTCCGCCGCCAACCGTCTCTACATCTCCATCCAAGGAACCAAAGACGTGCCCCCCGCGACAGTCGCTCTCCTCCTCTTGCATGTTGCTCCCACAAGCGACGCTTCCGAAGTAACCTATATCGTCGACGTATACACCATTGGCGCAAGGGCATTCACAACGCTGGGACCGGACCGGAGAAACAGCCTAAAGATGATCCTCCAGTCGCCATTCCACCAAATTGTCGGTTTCGACTTGCGCCACGACCTCACGTTCCTCGAAGCCAACTACGGCATCAAGACAGCCCTGGCCTTGGACATACAACTCATGGAATGTCTCAGCCGGCCCGCCCCGACAGCAGGAGGGGCAGATCTCGTCGCCTCCGATCTACCAGGCTGCATCGCGCATCTCGACGCGCCGCTCAGGATCATATGGGAGGAGGCGCGTGCGCACAACGACAGTGTACCCCTGTGGTGTCGACGCCATCGCTGGACGACGCGGCCCCTCGCACCACATCCTCTCAACTATGCCGTGCAGGAGCTGAGGATGCTGCCGCGGCTGCTGGGCTTGTATAGGCGCCGAATGTCGGATAAGCAATTTGAGAACGTTTTGGTTGCGACGAGAGAGTGGGTTGGCTCTGTGTCGTTCCGGGGAGGGATTGGGGTTGTCGTGCAGGGTGGGCGGTCATATCAAAATCAGGGGGAGTGGCTGGCACGGTTCAAGGTGGCGAGGTGATGTGAAAGGGCTTTTTACACTCCCAGCACACTGACGTGCCATATTTGCGTTACAATCAAGAGATACCTTAGTCATCTTCACCGGTATCATCACGAGAATGGTAAGCCTGGGTTACGCTGCACTTCCGCGGCAAAATCAGTCTTTCGACAGTGTAGGGTAGGCATCGCTGCCTGTCTTTGTGAAGTTGGACAAGTGCTGCCCTCAGCTCCTTCCGGCACTGATTGTGGGCTCGCATCGTGGCAGCTGCCAAATCGACAATCCTTGTCCAAAGCGGAGTCTGACTGGAGTCCACGACGCGATCCTCCATCAGGCCTCTCTGACTCTCTCCTCTCCTCTATTATTAGCCTAGCTGCTTAATAGATCCAGACTATCACCAGCGCGCCTCCGGCGCTGCATCCTCACCTGACACGACCTATTTGCAAAAGCGAGCCGGCCGACCCCTCTTCACCTTGGCGCATCCCTTTCATTCTACGCGCATCCGCCGCCAATGTGCATAGTGACCACCGCCATGGTAGCATCATCACTGCTAGTGCGAGTCGACGCTGCTTGGCAAACAAGTCCAGGCCACCACAAACGCGGGACCCGGGAGCATCATCGCGAGCACCGGGTTGCTGCATCTCCAATAAACATTACTGAGCCAGGCAATTGCGGAGGGCCTGGCAAGGCGACGGCCACGTGCAGCTGGCACCAAACCTGGAACGAGACCCATTCGCCGCATTCCAGTCAAGATTACAATGCAGACCCGCCGCCAAAGGCGAACGACTGAAATCTGAACAATAAGGTCCCTGTATATACGAGCCCGCGCGGCTCCAGGAACCGAGAATCATCGGCCAATGAGCACGACAGCACAAAGCCGTCTTCAGGTGAATCCAGACCTGCTACGTACCGGTGGCCTAGACTTTTCCTTCTTTCCATCCTTATTGCTTTTCTGTATGGGGACGCTACGCGCATTACTCGCTGCATCAGCAGCCCAGTGACCGTCGAGCGGTAGACCTGAAGAACCGGCCGGGGGACTATCGATATTGATCGTGCGCTAACGCAGGGACAGGGACGCTACATCTCTCCGAGTGCGCGCGCGTGTGGAGATTGACTTGTTAGGCGTCGTCGTGCCGTGTGCACTGTGATCTTCTTTTACGATGCCCATTGGTAACATTGAGCAAAAGTACTGATTGCATCTACAGAAGACGGTCGTCTCAAAGATGAATCGTCTCGACATACAAACTCGTTTTAGAGCGGGCATCAGTGGGGAATTTGTTTGATCGCCAACAGGGAATTGTTTATGACACTGTCATCGGGAAAAACAGCCAAGAGGACCATGAGAACGGACGCTAGCTCGGTAGCGGCAGCATTGTCATGCACTTTCAGCTGCATCTTCAGCCCAGCGGCCCCAGCCCAGCCCAGCCCGGCCCAGCCCTGCCTGGCCTGCTTCGGAACATGGCGAGCGGCGAGGCTGAGCTGAAGCCGAGTGGCAGGTGGTTTTCGATAGTTTGTCATGGCAAGTGCAAGCACGGGGAGACCCTGGCTCAACAAGGCGATCCCGAGAGCCATGGCACCGGTGAGAGTGTCAGTCGTCGACCGTCTATATAAGATGGTCGTGATGGCCTATCATTCTTCTGCTGTTCCCTCCCCCAACTCAACGGCCTACACTCGCTCAGTCTCTCGTTTCTTGTTGACAACTCTCACTTATTCACATTCGTTTCTACCCACTCTCGCTTCTTACCATGAAGGCTTTCCTGGCCACGCTGGCCGTCGTGCCCCTGGTCTTGGCCACGGGCCCCAAGGCACCTCTCCCTCCCTGCACAGCTGACTACACGCCCTTCACCAAGGTCGGCTGCTTCCAGGATGACGACTCGGCCAGCTCGGCTCTCATCTACCGCTCGCTCTCCAACCAGCGTGAGATGACCATTGAGCAGTGCACCTCCGAGTGCAAGGGCAACGGCTTCCGCTACGCCGGCCTCAAGTACGAGGGTGTCTGCTATTGCGGCTCGGCCTACGACGCGCCCCAGGTCGACGACTCTCTGTGCTCCATTCCCTGCAGCGGCGACAACACGGAGATCTGCGGTGGCGTCGACCAGACAGTCATCTACGAGGACCCCACCTTTTCCAACGTCTCCTCAGACGTCTGCCTGGACGACTACGAGTCGCTGGGCTGCTACACTGACGACTCGGAGGAGTACGGCCGTGCCCTCGCCTTCAAGGTCGACGTCGACGCCGACACCTTCACCATTGAGACCTGCCTGAGCGCCTGCTTGGCTCAGGGTCTCCCCTACGCCGGCACGGAGTTTGGTAACGAGTGCTGGTGTGGCACCGACCTTGGCTCCGGCGCGGAGAAGTCCGACTCCAGCCAGTGCAACACACCTTGCCAGGGCGACGACTCTGTCAACTGCGGTGGCCCTTCGCGTCTGACGCTCTACTACGCCAAGAGCCTGGTTGGCTCTGCCCCTTGTGGTGCCGAGCCTGCTGAGCCTCCCTGCACCACCACGACCGCCCCCAGCGTCCCCACGACCACGACCAACGCCATCTGCACCGCGACGACCACCGTCGCGCCCGACTGCGAGTTCAAGTGCGGCAAGTGGTGCGCCCCTGCGCTGCCCGAGTGGACCAACCAGTCCGGCTGCAAGGACGCCGCCAAGACGTGCGCTCTCCAGGTGGCCTCGTGCCTCAAGCACGCCGGGTGGCCCGAGGTCACGCAGTGCTTCGAGTTCTCCCGCTGGTGCCAGAACGTCCAGTCGGCGTGCAACACGGACTGCAAGTTCAACAAGTGCTCCAAGAAGCAGTGCTGGGACAAGTACAAGCCCGGCGCCGGCGGCAAGGCGCCCACGACCAAGACGACCACCTTCCCCTGCGCGGCCACCACCACCACCATGATGACCACCACCGTCGTCCCGACGCAGACTGCCTGCCCCCCTGAGCCCACCAACATCTGCACGCAGCCCACGAACGACTACTACGGCTACGGTCCCGACAAGCCCGTCGCCGACATTGCGCTCCCCGTCGTCGGCTGCAACGACATCAAGGAGGACTTTGGCAGGAACCCGTTCAAGTTCTACAACAACGCCAACAGCCGCAGCTGCCCCTCGTTCAGCTGGAACAAGCGTCCCAACGTCTGCGCCGAGGCCTGCGAGGAGCAGTATGAGGAATGCAAGGAGACCTACGTCAAGTCGTGTGACAACACATCGTGGCGCGGCAACGGCCACGGCCGCCGCGATGAGGACGAGGAGCAGACGAGCGGCGATCTCGAGGCACGCACCTTCTGGTGGAGCAAGGGCTTCTCCTTCTCGGGCTCCTCCAAGTGGGGAGGCAGCGGCCTGCCCAGCACCTGTGCCTCGCGCGACGACAAGAAGGAGTGGTTCAAGAAGGGCTGCGACGCCCTCCAGTGCTGGGGCAAGGGCGCCAACACCAAGTACGCCGCCAGCAAGCGCTGCAGCGCGCAGTACAAGGACTGCCTGGCCGTCAACAAGAGGGTCAGCGTCAACGGCATGTGCAAGTCGTACTGCTCGGCTTAGACTAGACGTGGCGAGGGAGTCCGGGAGAGGTGGACGTGGGATGTTTATGGGATCTTGGGGAATTAGTCATGATACGTATGACTGTCTTTGAACATAATCTGCTTAATATTAATTGAAAATAATGCCCTACGCTGAATCTTGGTCATTGTACCGGTGCTTCACTTGTTGAGTCTAGATATCACGGTGCCATCGCCTCCTAGCTCATGCCTCTTACACAGATACTCAGCCACAGCCATCGTCATCGTCAGCCTAAGTCATCTCAATGGCGGTTGTTCATGTTGAGTATGATCTGCGTTGCCTTCAACGGCACCGGACAATGATAGGTGAGGACGCACACGGATGTACGTAGGGTCCTGCCATGTCTGGACGCTCGAACTAACCTTTGAAGCCATCTTCGTCATGATCTGCGTTCTCGTGATGATCTTCTAATCAATTGAGGCGTCTCTTGTGTGAAAAGAAGTATAAAAAGGCCTTGACGTTCCGTCCAAAGGTCAAAACACTCTGACTTACACTACGAACCACACTCAAAGAACATCTTCATAAATATCGACATCGTGTCATTTGGGTTGGTCTTATCTCTCTTTACTCCCCCAGGTTCTTCGCTCACTGTCCTGCCGGAACCCTTTCACCCGCCTCCAGGGTCACCAAGCGCGTCCTCGCTCAGCGCCCGCCACAAGACGTCCGCAAGTCGGTCGACTCGACTGCGTCGACGCACACGCTCGGCAACATGCCCGCGACGGACTAATCTAAACAGTTTCCAGCGCCGGTGGAGAGGTGGACGAGTGCCAGCCGCATCTAGGGGGGACTTGTGGTAACTGAACCACATGCTGTTTGAATATGTACCTTTACAGATGTAGCATGTAGAAATAAATTCACTTCAGTAAAACTTGTAAAAATTAAACCTATGTGCATTCAGACTCCCCGCCTATGGCATCCAGTCCGTGTACGCTTTATCCACCACCATCTCCTTCACCGTCGGAAGAGACGACGCACCCTCCCCAAACAACGCCGCCATCGTCATCAGATCCCGCCACTTCTTCCCGGGCGAAATCTTCCCCGAGATTAAATTCGGCTCCAGCGAGTCACTGTTGATGGGCACCAGCGCAGCGCGTCCAAGCACCGCTTCCACAGCCTGCTGCGCAAAGCTGACGGCCTCCTTGGCATCGGCCGGGACACCCGTCTCGTCGAGCTTGCGGATCACGGCATTGGGCATCGCGGCCTTGAGGTACTTGATAATCTCGGGATTCCGGGCGCCGCCGCCGCACATGTAAATGTCGACAATGTGTTCCGGGTCGATCTTGTAGCTGGGCAGAAAGGTCCTGTACTGCCGGACAATGTTCTGCGCTGTGATGCGTGTGATGGTGGCTAGGGTATCGTACTTGGACAAGCCGGCGGCGAGACAATCGTAAATAATCTCCTGGCACTCATTGTCGCCAAACACCTCTCTGCCGGTCGTCTTGGGGGGATGTCGGTTGATGTAGTCGTTGCTGTTGAGGAAGTCATCGACAATCCGTTGGCAGACCGTGCCCTGGGCGGCCCACGCCCCGTCCTTGTCGTACTCCATCTCCCCGTCAGTAAAGTGTCGCATCGCCGCGTCGATGAACATGTTGCCCGGCCCGCAGTCCCAGTCGACCATGGCATCCACGCCGCCTTGGCTGTCCGGGGGGATAAGGCAAAGGTTGGCGATACCGCCAATGTTTTGACAGAGACGCATCCGTGTAGGGTGACGAAGCAGCAGGCCATCAATCAGCGCCACGAGTGGCGCTCCCTGACGGCCGACCGACTGTTCCGCCTGACGAAAGTCGGTCACGGTGGTGATGCCAGTCTTGGCGCTCATAATGGTCCCCTCCCCGAGGCAAAAGGCTGATCTCGTCTCGCCTTCCTTGGGCATGCTCAGCAGCCAGATGGTTTGACCGTGGGAGCCTATGAGGTCGATGGAGTCGCGGTCGACCTGGTGTTTTGCGCAGAATTCGTGGACGGCGTCGGCAAACATGTCGCCGAGTTGTACGTTGAGCTGCGACATGAGACTGGGCGTTGTCTTTGTCTCGCGTAGCATCTGGAGGATCGGCTTCTTCATCTTCTGGGGGACCGGGATCTCATCGTACTACTGTGTGTTAACTGAAGGATCTGGAGCCCAGAGAGGCAAACTTGACGTACCTTCAAGACCCTCATGTGCAATGGAGATGTGGGTGATTCTTGTCGGTAGTGGACGAGGGCACAGTCAATGCCGTCCATTGCCGTGCCACTGTTCATGCCCAGGACCGTGAGGTCCAAGGTGCCAGCAACACGAGTTGGTTGTCCATTGGACTGATGCCCATTGGCAGTGCCGTTCTGCATGGTAGGAGAGATAGATCCCATGGCTAATAGGGGAGATGCTGTGTGACCACTATTGGGAGTGTTCGTTAGGATAGGAAGAGAGAGTTTCTCCCCAGGACAGGGACCCTTTTGTATTTGGAATCGAGACAAACGCCCACATGGCGCAACGCCGGTGGACGAAAGTGCCTGACGCCGGGGTCTATGCTTCTCGCACCACTCCTCACATGGTCCTTGTCAGTCCCGCCAGTGGCAACGGCCCATTGAACTACCCCATGAAGAAATTGGACGATCATGAGCCCCGCGTAATCTCACCTGGGGAACTGGGCAGACTGATGGTTGATCGCAAGATCGTGACGAACTGACGACGTGGAGGCGGAGGTGGAGTGTGGAGATTGGAGAAGACATGCCGTAGCGTCACTTCTCGTGTCGAATACCTCGTGTCGAGTTACTCGATTGAGCAACTGGAGCCGGACTAGCCTTGGCGGAATTAGCCGTTTACCATTATCGCCACATGGCGGCAGAACAGCTTCAAGATGTGGCTCGACGCCTACCTTGACGTGAACATGGAGAAGTAAAAGATGGATCTTAGAGAAGACCAGGTTTTGCTCTAATTCTGTGGGATATATTACACGCCTGCATTCAGAAGTGTCAGACCCAAAGACCCGAGAAGAACAATCTCACGACTCGATCCATCGCCTGGACACGCATGCTCTCGTCTCTTCCATCGCCATGTCTTCTACATCAAATTCTACAACCCCCAGAGAGGTATGGACTTCCGAGCCAGGGGCCATGGCTGCTGAGACAGCGGCCACTCGATGGCCCCGAATCGTTCAAGACATGGTCGATGCTGTGGCTCAGGCCATGCTGTCGAGCTCCGTCAGTCCAGCTCAGCGCGGAGAGGGCGAAGATATACTTCGACAGCTCAAGCAGCTCAAGGATGAAATAGAACAAGACGAAGCTCTGCTGTCAGTACTTTCCAAGCCATCTCCGGAACCTGGCATAATCAGCAGCTAACGACTGTTTGAACAGACCACTGACCACAGACGGGTCTCGAGAAACCAAAGAATACAACACAAAGCTATCTTCCTTTGGCCCCATCACCTGGAGTAACTCTCCGTGGCTTTTTGCCGAGTGCTACCTCTACGCGTACGCTTATCCGCTGTTCACCATCTCCGTGTGCTCACCAAGTATCCAGTCGAGTCAACCAGATCATCACCAGCAAACCCACATGGAGAGAATTTGATGTGTTCGCGCAGCAAAAGGCAAGCGCCCTCGCAGCCTCCTCCAACGCCGTACGAGAGCTGTCCACTCGGTACATGGACTTGCCCACGTCTGCATCCAGCCCTCTGAACGACACCCGAGTCGACTCCGACGCAGCCTATCGCCTCTTCATTGAGATGACACAGGTCGCTCTCTGGGGCAACGCCACTGATCTCTCTCTCCTGAGCAAGTTGAGCCTGGACCAGATCCATGCCCTACAAGGTGCAAAGGCCATCGAGGAAGGCCAGGCCAGGATCGTCAGCAACGACACGCGGGCTGCGTGGGAATATCTCTGCTCTGTGGATGGGCCACGACGTATCGATATCGTTCTCGACAATTCTGGCTTCGAGCTCTTCACCGACTTGGTGTACTGCCTCTACCTGCTCGACTCTGGCCTGGCTTCTGACATTACACTTCACCCGAAGTCGATCCCCTGGTTCGTGTCAGATGTCCTGCCGAAGGATGTGGATGTTTTATTGTCGACACTTCTGGAAAGCCCAGATTTCCAAGACGAGGACGGCCAAACACAGAAGCTGGCGCAGAAGCTCAAGGAGTGTCTAGCGCGCGGTCTCATCAAGATCAAAGAGCATCGTTTCTGGACCACGGGATTCGACTTTCAGGACATGCCAGCAGAAGCGCCCGATCTGTTTGAGGAACTGTGCAAGTCCACGCTGGTGATTTTCAAGGGCGACCTCAACTATCGAAAACTGGTGCAGGATAAGACTTGGCCGCACTCAACGCCCTTCCGTTCTGCTCTCAGGTGTCTATGCGGTGGTCAAAGCGGATCCGCAGACGGCGTGAACAGAAAGGGCCCGAAGATACTGGCCTTGCGCACCAACAAGGCTGATGTCTGTGTCGGGGTCCCTGAGAAGACGGTGCAGCGATTGGAGAGTGAAGCACCTGGACAAGCTTGGGTGCGCAATGGGAAATATGCCGTCATCAGTTTCTCGGATGGCGGACCGGTAGAATAGAATAGACGCCTTATGCTAGCTATTCCACTCATCCCTCAGGGAGGATATGATCCAAGCAGTAGGCCAAGCATGATCTCGCTCTAGCTCGTGTAGCAAGAGGACCAGTCCCTCTCTCTCACGTACATCTTTAATCAGCGCGCCCCCTGTTTTGATATGGTTAGACGGATACGGCAGGATGGCTGGAAATACGTACAGACGAAAACAGTGTGGCAGAGTGTTATCCGCGCGGGCACCGTGTAGGGCGCTCTCCAACATGAACCGCATAATCTCCGACCATACTGCAGAATTTCAGACTACGACAATTAGACAAAGTTCTTCAACCACTCGAAAATCAGGGCCAGACTTGCCTCGACATCGGCATCGTCCCGAGTAGCCTGGCCGGTACTGCGGACAGCGAATCTCGGCCTGGGCTTGTGCGCGAGAAGCAGCATACTTGCCAAGACGTGGAAACCAAAAGCGACCACTACCATTGCATCAGCGAGAAGCTTGGACATTTCAAGTTCAATTGGCACGCACCGTGTCGATCGGCCGTAAAGAGCAGAGTCGGAAAGGGGTTCCCTGCCAAGTTCTCACCACCCTCATCGCCCTCCCAGATAGGATCAAAATTGGGAGGCTTGGACCTGTCCCAGTCCGCGATCGACTCCTTGAGCTGCTCCCAATCGCGAAGGCGCCCGCCCACATCTTGATTGAGATGGAATAGGCTCCGGTCTGTCCCGCCCGCAAGGGTGCCGAAGCAGAACTGCACCACGAGAGCGCAGAGCCAGATGATCTTGTTCGCCCACGCTGTCTCTTCTTGTGGTGTACTGTCCAGATAGCGACTTTCGTCACCCCCTTGGTTCGCCGAGGGCATGGGGAGGAGTTGCAGGGAAAAGTCGACGTGGGGCGGCTGCTGGTTGATGCATGCGGTGTGTAGACACTGTCTGAGATAGATCCAGAACGCCGCCTCGCGAAGTGTCGGGGCAGTTAGGTCCAGGGTGGAACCTTGAGATGCCCGTAGTAGTGCGTTGCAACCTGCGAGATGCCTCTCATTATCACTCCCTGTGAGGACGGCTGGACAATCTCGTCAGTCTGCTATAGTTTGTGCTCGATAGAGCAGCTGCTACTCACCGGAAAGCTGTTCAAAGACACGCAGGATTACAATGGCGCACAAGAGCACATTATCGTTCGCGACATCTTCCGAGCCCAAGCGCACGATAAGCATTGCTATGCACTTCTCGTGGGCAGAGTCGGCCGCCTCGGTGTCACCCACGTGCCGGGCGGCAAAAGAGATGATAGCTTGGAGCAGAATGGGCGACTGCCGCGACAGCGTGGGGATCTTGACGGAGAACTGCTGCAGCGCGTCTGTGCAGTCCAGCCAACGACCTAGATGGACGGCATAGTGATGGACCAGGAGGGCGTCTCTGCTCGTCAGGGTCTGGAGCCGAGGTGAGTCAAAGTGGGGAGAAGACCCGACACTCCCAGGGCTCACAACAGTCCCAAACTTGAGTTGTTCACAAGAAAGACCTCCCGAGCTTTGACTCAAGGGCGAGCTGGCATCGTCGTTCCGTTGACCCGGTCCCCGGTACCGTCGTATGATGAGGGCCTGACGATCCTCTTGCCGGCAAACCCGGTGCCCTTTGGCGCAGTTGCCACACTCGGGCTGCTTCTCATCGCCTGGCAACTCGTCAGCTTGGCCCAAGGTGACAGAAGGACTCGACTCGACTCACACTTGACGTGTCTGGTCCGGCATGTTAGACTAAGCCGGGGTGCATTAGCGTTTGCTCGCATTTACCCAGAAACCCAGAGTCCCGGGACGAGGACCATGGATTGCTGCCACTCACCATCCACTTCGAGATCGCTGTTTACCCATGATGGGCCATGAGTTTTGTGGGAGGTGGAGGCTGGTGTGACTTGATGCTGCAGAGGGCAGAAGCAGAGACACCCCGGAAATAGCGGCCCAATATGTATTCTCGTGTCGAGGTCGGCTAAACGCGTCAAGAGGAGGCGTCAAAGACCCATAAGTCAGAGTTGGATGTCTCGTCCCGCGCCGCAATCAACGGGAACGAGGCTTGCTAGTGCCAATGGCGATGGACGCCATCGCCTACCTAGACGATCCAGATGGTTTCCTGAAGAGGAAACTCGAGACGAGCGGACACAAGGCTGAGGATCATGTCGACGGCATGCCTTATCCCCGGACTCATCTCCATCACGACCTCCCTCCCTCCATCCTTTCCTCCCCGCGCCCCGCACATTGTACCAGAACCCCAGATTCCCATTCATGTCCATAGCACGAGGACATGATGAGGCAACACGGGCCAGAGCAGTAGCCTGAGTCCGGACCACAGCAGACTTCAAGCCCGCAAGCCAGACTATCGAAAGGGGTCGCCTCTTCCAGATAAAAAGCCCAAGGCTGTCCTGTTCATAAACCCGCCCCGGCTCAGTCATCCCGGCATTCCTTGTCTATCACTCCATTCCGCCTCTAGGAACGCAAAGTCCTACAGAACTCTACAATAACCATGGCTCCTCGGGAGAAGTACTGGCGCAAGCTGTCGGGGGACAAGCTCCTCAAGCTCATTGTTGCCGTCTCGGCCATGGCGATTGCCTACGAGGGTATGAGCCAAGGCGTGATGGGAGCTGTCAACGTGGCCCCAGAGTATGGGGTAAGTTCCAATCCGTGAGACCAGTTCTCGCACATCCTACTGACAGCATCCCTTTCCAGAGACGCATGGGCTTCGCCGATGAAGATGGCAATGTCATCAAACCCTCCCTGCAAGGCGGCATCGTCTCGACCTACTACGCCGGATCCCTCTTCGGTGCCTTCTGGGCCGGTGCCTTCTCCGATCGCTACGGCCGCGTCAAGGGTCTGTGACTCGCCATATTCTGGTGCGCGCTCGGCGTCGCCCTCCAAGCGTCTGCCATCAACCTGGCGCACATGCTGGTCGCGCGCGTCTGCGCTGGTATTGGCGTCGCCTTCATCATCGTCATCGCCCCCGCGTGGACTGCCGAGCTCTCGCCCGCTGCGGAGCGCGGCAAGATGATTGCGCTCACCTTCCTGGCCAACTTTGGCGGTATCACTCTGTCGGCATGGATAGGCTTCGCGACCTCGTTCGCCGAGAAGCTGGGTGGCGGTGCCTTTCGCTGGCGCTTCTGTTTCGCCTCGCAGGCTCTGCCTCTGCTCTTCCTGCTGGCCGGGACCATCCTCATCCCCGAGTCACCCCGTTGGCTCGTCAAGGTCGGGCGACGCGAGGAGGCCTTTGACATCATCTGCAAGATTCGTGGTAACGACGACCCGAACAACCCGCTGGTGCAGAGGGAGTATAACGAGATCATCACCGTCATCGAGATGGAAAAGGAGACACCAAGCACAAATTACCTCAAGATGTTCTTCGGCATCGGCTCTGGCGAGATCCACGTGGGCCGCCGCATCCAGCTTGCCTTTTGGCTGCAGGTCCTCATGCAGTACGGCACGGGCATCGCCGCCGTCGTCATCTACTCTGGCACCATCTTCCGCACCGCGGGTTTCGACGACGAGAAGTCTAACTGGCTCTCGGCGCTCAACATGATGGTGGGCATCCTGGGAACCGCCATTGCGGCCTTCACCATCGACCGGGTGGGACGCCGGCGGACACTGTACTGGGGCGCCATCACCCTGGGCATCATCCTCTTCGCCATCGGGGGCCTCAATCGCGGCGCCATCGACCACCCAGAGCACCGTGAGAAGTACGGCACCGCGGCGGCGGCCATGGTCTTCCTCTACGTGCTCGTCTTCAGCTCCAGCTGGCTCATGATCCCCTTCATCTACCCGACCGAAATCTTCCCGACCTGGCTTCGCGCCAAGGGTAACGCATTTGGCGTGGCCGGGTGGGCGATTGGCTTTGGCGGCGGCTCGCTGCTCGTGCCCATCATGTTCAGCGGGATCGGGGAGAAGACGTTCTACGTCTTTGGCGCGGCCATGTTCTTCTACATCCCCGTCGTGTACTGCTTCCTGCCGGAGACGGCGGGCCGGACCCTCGAGGCCATGGACTTTCTCTTTGCCTCGGACAGCTGGTTCACCTGGGAGGAGGAGAAGGTGTACCGTCAGAAGATGGAGGAGCTCGAGACGCGCCTGCAGTCGCGCAAGGTGGACGAGAAGGATATGGTGATGACGGGTGAGGAGCAGGCCGAGTCGGTCTAGAATTATATAAGGGGGAAGAGACTTGTGAGAGAGGGGGTTTGGTAGCGAAGATTGTATACTAGAAGCTATTCATAACGGACTGTGGGCTTTGATCTAGTGCAAGCAGTTGGCTGTAGCATGTGAGCCTGTGTCCGCTATCTGCAGTCAGCTTGATCATCGAGATCATGTGAAGCCCTTCGTCATTTGCGGGCTGAGTGAGATTCTGTGAAGGGATAAAGATCGCGATATCAAGATCTGAGTGACTGAAGAAGAAGGTCAAAAACAACTGAAGAGGAGGAGGAGGAGGAACAAAAGACAGCGCGAGAAACGCGAGGGAAGGCGCCCGGCAATGTGGGCCAATTGCGCGGCCTCACCAATCACAGGCTCCTGGCACAAACTGCTCGACACACATAACAGGATCACCTTGGACTGTATAGATCAACAAATCTTGTCGTAAAAGTATTTTCCCATGGGTGGAGGTCTCGAGGTTGATATTTGGCTTCCGATGGCACCGTCGGGACATTGCGGACGAGCGAATGATAATGCCCCACCGTCGGATGCGGTACCGGGTAGCCTCTACGACGGCGCTTTTTTGTGGAGGCTCCGTGAACTCAACGTGTCATAAAGATCGTAGCAAAACGCCGTAAAAGAGTCGTGAAAATCATGACTTGGTACGCTGTGTGAATAAAATAGGAGAATCAAACGATAGGACTATCAAATAATGACCTCCCGCGCCGCTGGACGATCGCTTGACATGCTGCGTGAAAACGGCCACTAATAAGATGTGATGTGGCTTAGGGCCTGTTGTGGCTAGTGCTGTGTGGCTTTGTGGCTGCTGTGATCAATTGGTGATTTGTGATTTAATGACGATGACTTGCGCACGGATGAGCAAGCAGCTTCTTGATATTCAATATCTTCAGTAAGAAGCAATTAGGTAGAACTACCCTTGGGGGGCATCTCAAGCCAGCCGAGTAAGGCTATCGCTATCACAGCCACAGGCCTCATAGTGGGCAGCTCAAGCCGAGCCGTCACGAAAAAACGCCGTTCAGCGACTCCCCGCACCAAAACTCCAGTCAATGGTTGAGAGTCTAATTATTATCGCCATCTGCCCACTCGACAAAATTTTCCCATACAACAACTGTCATTGTGAAACCTTGGACGGCGGAATAAACAACCCAATTTGTTCACCCCCCTTCATTCGACATGGCTGCCACCAACGAGGCCGCCCAGGCCAAGATCGAGGAGCTGCAGCAGCAGATTGAGCAACTCCAACAACAGGCCCAAGGCTCGACGACGAGCAGCTTTGATGTCTACAGCACCAGTCTGACATCCCGCTACTGCAGCAAGGAGCTCACGTTCCTCTTCAGCCAGAGGTCCAGGCACTCCACCTGGCGCAAGCTCTGGCTGGGTCTTGCCGAGGCCGAGTCGGAGTTGGGCGTCACGAGCATCACCCCAGAGGCCCTGAAGCAGATGCGCGAGGCGCTCACCGTGACCGACAAGGATTTCGAGGCGGCCAAGGTCGAGGAGAAGATCAGGCGTCATGTAAGTTGGCCATTTTGCCGCTGTACTTTCCGTGCGTGGGGGGGTGAATTGACGTGCTAACATGGGTCTGCAGGATGTCATGGCTGTAAGTCTACATTGTCTGCGTGACAACACACTCATGATAGCTGACCCTCACTTCAGCACGTCCACGCCTTTGGACTGGTAGCGCCAGCTGCCGCGGGCATCATCCACCTGGGCGCCACCTCGTGCTTTGTCACGGACAATGCCGAGCTCATTCTTATGCGCGATGCTTTGGACATTTTGATCAACAAGATGGCCAAGGTCATCTCCAACCTGCAGGCTTTCTCTCTCCAGTGGAAATGTAGGCTTTACTTCTGGCTTTTATGTATAAATTTAGGAGACATTGTTAACGTGTGTCATTTGCAGCGGAGCCGACACTGGCCTACACTCATCTGCAGAGCGCCCAGTACGTATTTGCCTTGCTATTGATACCCAGAAGCTGACTCTCCGCCAGACCCATCACCGTTGGACGTCGCTGTAAGTCTACACTGTCCAACCAGCTTGCCATTTTCCAATTCCCTAACAACATCAGCCGCCCAATGGGTTCAAGATCTGGTCATGGATCTCGAAGCCCTCGAGGCTGTTCGCAAGGGCTTGAGGTTCCGTGGCGCCCAAGGTACGTAGACGCTCATATCATCCCCTGCTCCAGGCACCTATCATGACACTGACGGCAAACAGGCACAACCGGTACCCAGGCCTCTTTCTTGGAGATGTAAGATCCATGAACACGTGCCAGTGTGAGCACTCGACTGACCGCAACCGCAGCTTCGAAGGAGACCATGAGAAATGCCTCGCGCTCAACGAGAAGCTCTGCCAACGCTTTGGATTCCCCAGCTGCTACGACATTTCCACGCAGACCTAGTATGTCACTTACATCCTAGCTCAGACGATCCAAGACCGGTTGCTGACTTGGATACGCAGTACTCGCAAGGTTGACACCATCGTTGCCAATGCCGTTGCTGGTATCGGTGCCTCGGCCTCCAAGATTGGTACTTACTTGTTTTCTTCCCCCTGTTCTACCAATGCTAACATATGTTAGCTGGCGATTTGAGGCATCTTGCATCTTGGAAGGAGATTGACGGTTTGACACCCTGTAGCCCGCTTCATGGCAGACCATACTGACCCGTTTCCGCAAAGAACCTTCTGAAAAGTCACAGATTGGCTCCAGGTACGCTTCCGGCTCACACACACTATTTCTTATACTTACCCGTTCGCAGTGCCATGGCATACAAGAAGAACCCGGTTCGTCCTTTTCTTTCCGGATTTCCTTCGCTCTTTATTGACCCCCACAGATGCGCTGTGAGCGCGTCTCCTCTCTCTCTCGCGTTCTCATGTCCAAGACGGTCACATTCAACCAGACCCACGCCACCCAGTGGATGGAGCGAAGCTTGGATGACAGGCAAGTGCATGAAGAAGCTGTCAACTTGATCACTGCTAATATGAAGTAGTGCCTGCCGCCGCATTGACATTCCTGAGATGTTCCTCTTGGCAGAAGCCATTCTGATCGGCCTGGACAACGTTTCAGCGGGCTTGGTGGTGTACCCCGGCAGCATCAGGGCCCACTACATGTCCGAGCTACCCTTTATGCTGACCGAGGCGGTACGTTGTTTCCACGGTAATGGAAATGGACACTCACTGACGAATCCGATAGATCATCATGAAGCTGGTTGCCAAGGGCGCCTCCCGTCAAGAGTGCGTGGTGTCTTAAACTTTTGAGTGCCGATGCTGACCATGGCTTAGAGCGCACGAACACATTCGCGTCCTTTCGCAGGAAGCGGCCAAGGTGGTCAAGGTTGAGGTACGTGCCCTTCTTTTCCGAAGCTCTCCATCTTCTCCTTCCAATTGCTAACGAGCAACCCCCCTGCAGGGCAAGCCCAATGACATGATTGAGCGCATCCGCAACAGCGAGTACTTCAAGCCCATCTGGGGCGAGCTCGACGACATGATGAAGCCGGAGCTGTACATTGGCCGCAGCGTCCAGATTGTCGACAAGTACTGCGGTCCCGCCGGCCCGGTGGAGAAGGCCCTCGCGCCGTACCAGGAGTACATCTCGGGCTCTGCTACTGCCGAGCTGAACGTTTAGATGGGCTGGTGATAGCGACCGAATAGGAATGTCGGTTCAACTGATGCGGATGAGGCAATTTGATGGGTCAGAAAAGGATGAGAAAAGTATGATGGGCCAACCGTTATAAAAAGGGGTTCAATGGCTACCGTTTTCGGGTACAACTGTGGCGCGAAATGGCAGACGAGGTCTAGAATCGCGTCGAGCTTGCTTCAACTTGTGCCTCGAGCGATACCCAGTGATCTGTTTAGATCTTGGGGTGTTGTTGCTATGTTATGTGTGACTTGTTTTGCGTATTTCGAGCGAGGCCTCAGAGTACATGTAATCAAAGCGATTTGGCTGGCCTGCTGCAATCAAGGGGCTTCAATCTGGGTGACGAGGCCAGCATATGTAGTCATGGGTATGTATCAATCGTGACGTTTGGCCTGGTTCTATATTGTTCGATATATCCATGGAGCAGGACAGGCGCATTGCTAACTTGACTTCCAGACGCCGCACCATAAGAATGTCTTCTTCTGGGCTGTGGCGTTCATGTTGGTCGCACAGCATCGGTTCTTCACAGGGCCGTCACTTGGCCGCCCGAGGTGACGAGGTCGCGGGGTATTTGTAACTCCCCATGCATGCCATGTCGCCCTCTCCCATCCTCACAACCACAACCACATCTCACCTTCATCCAACACATCACCGCAATGGTCCCCATCCGCCACGTCGTCCTCTTCACCCCCAAGCCGGAGCTCTCGGCCGCCGAGGCCCAAAATGTCCCACACGCCATCCTTTCTGCCGTCGCCCCCGACTAACAATCCGCAGGTCTTTGACGACATGCTCGCCCTCAAGGACCGCTGCGTCAAGCCTGACACCAAGCAGGCCTACATCCAGTCCCTCGTCGGCGGCAAGGACAACTCGCCCGAGGGCATGCAGCAAGGGCTCACGCACATCTTCATCGTGGAGTTTGCCAGCGCCGAGGACAGAGACTACTATGTTAACATGGACCCGGCGCACAGGGCGTTTGTGGAGAAGCACGCGCCGAGTCTGGCCAAGGCGCAGGTTGTCGACTTTACACCGGGTGTCTTTTGATTTGATGAGGCAGAAGCCAACGCTGAATTGTGATTCCACTAAATATGCCTATCCAACCTCATACGTGCCCGCATCACCCCTCCACCTTGTCACTCCCCTCCGTGAACAGGTTGACCTCTGTGTGCCTGAAGCGGCGCGCAGACACCTTGCGCTCAAAGAGGACGTCCAGCTCGCCAAACGTCCTGCCCTTGGGCTCTGGGAGCCGAAAGAAGGCCCAGGTCGCGCTGCCGAGACACAGCCCACCCCAGAAGAAGCCCGCCTTGCCAGCCCAGTTCCACTCAGTCGGGTTGAGCATGTAGGGGATGATGAAGCCGTTGACAATACTAAAAACGTTGTACAGATTCCGCGCCAGGACGACCGTCTTGTTGCGCAGCCGGGTCGACGGCATCTCGGCCACGAGCGAGTAGCAGACCGGGCCGACGGTGGCATTGTAAAAGGCCGTGTAGACGAGCAGGACGGATCCCGTCGCCCACGCAGCGGCTACGTTGACGCCGCCATCCGGCTTGGGCGCCAGCGAGATGAAGCCGACGACCATGAGGAAGCCAAAGAGGCAGAACAGGCCGGTCACGTACAGCCGCCGGCGGCCAAAGTGCGTCATGAGCACCCATGACACCAGCGTGCCAATGAAGCCGATGCAATACTGCACGAGTGACATGGTGAAGGACTGGCTCTCGGCCAGGCCGGCCGCCTGGTAGAAGTAGGTTGAGTATCCCATAAGACCGGCACCGCAGAGGTTCTGGACGGCCCAAGTGAGGCACGAGATTTCCGTGCGGCGCAGATCCATGCCCTTGAAGCAGTCGAGGTACGTGGTGCCGGCCGACATTTCCTTCTCCATCTCGTTAGTGTGGTGCATCATGGCAATGGTCTCGTCGGCGTTGAACGGCAGGCTTGGGTCGGAGGACGCGAGACGCTTCAGGGACACCTTGGCCTTGTCGAACTGCCCGGTGCGGACGAGCCACCAGGGGGACTCGGGGGCGAGGAAGACGCCGATGGCGATGGGGACGGGCCAGATCCACTGCAGGGCAAATGGGATGCGATACCCCCACTGGTCGGTGCGGTTGAAGAGGGCCTTGAGGATGGCAGAGCCGAGGATCTGGCCCATGACCCAGCAGAGGTTGACGTAGGTGGTGAGGTAGCAGCGCAGGACGAGGGGCATGATCTCGACGGCGTAGGTGACGGTGAGGGTCTGGAAGATACCGAGGGGCACGCCAATGACAAACTCGCCGGCGAGGAGGACGGCCTTGCTGGGTGCGAAGAAGAGGATGAAGACGGCGCCCGTGACCCAGGCCAGGGCGAGGAGCATGGTGCGTCGGTACCCGAGGCGCTCGGCAATGTAGCCATTAATAAAAAGGCCGACGATCTGGCCGGCGTTCATGGCGTTGGAGATGCCCGACTGCCAGGCGCCCGAGAGCTGGTAGGTGCCGTCGGGCTGGGGGTCGCCGTAGCGCTTGGTGAAGCTGGGGTAGCCGTAGAAGGAGCCCATGAGGACGACGTCGTAGCCCTCCATGACGATGGCGGCGGAGAACAGGACGGACCAGCCGATGGCGGCCGGGTACATTTTGAGACCCTGCAGAAGGCTCATGCGATGCTCGTTGGCCGTGGCCGTCTGGGCGTCGTGGAAGACCTGCGCGACATCGCTGGTGTTGATGGCGCTGTGCTTCTCGACGGACGTGGGCTCGACGTGTGTGGCCTCGGCCGTTTCCGTGGCCTTTTCAGTGAGAGTGGACATGGCGGGTGGATGCTGATGCTGATGGCGATGGGCCGGTGAGCTGAGCTTGTCGAGCAAAGCATCTGGCGAGGCATGGCCGGCTTTATAGTCGGTGCGTGCTCACCTTGGCCTCACATTGTGGTTCACTCGTCTAGGGGAACTTGTCGACTGGAGCTTGTCAACTGGGTCTTGTCTTGGGCCATTGACAGACGCGCGGGGCCCCTCACACGGAACTCGGCTCCTTCTGAACCGTGTTATTGGGACACGCAGCTTGAGTCGAGACCTATCTGATGATGTTGGCTGGAAGAAGCGAGAAGACAGACAGACTGACTGGCGGGCGGGCGAGTGAGTTCTTCGCAGAGTTACTGCATGGGGAAGGCACGACGGGCAATTACCACTTGGGGTATAGCGTCAAATGGAGTGACATGTCCGACTTCGCCTTCGTCTAGACTACCCGGGACTCTTCATCAAATCTTCAAAGAGACCAACCCCTGAACTCTCGTCGGTCCGCCTCTCGCCAGACGGACGCAAGTACCGTCGGTCCATTGCCAGAAAAGGAGAAGCGGGTGGATTTGAGCTTATTCTTCCCGCATGGGGTCCCCGCTCTGATGTTACATCCCCAGCGCAAGACCAACGAGCAAAGGGCTTCGACTAACGCCGGTTCTTCATAGCAAACATGAACCCTGTCCAATGTTTACTGTCGATCCCTAGCCGGAAGGATGGCATGGATGGATATGCTTATATATGAGCGTATGTGGGATCGCGTCGTTCCATGATGGTCGAAGCAGCCGCCATTGTCGAGACTCTACTCGTCCATCATGCTCGCAGAGTCCCTCATCCAGGCCACCGGCTTCCTCGCGCTTGTGACAAGTGCCCAGGCACAGTCCAAGTCAAAATGCACACGTACGTTGTTCAAGTGGTCATTATCATGACACTCAGTGTGACTAACAAACCAGCCGTCAACAACACCGCCGACTCGGACGTCCTCAAGACGTGGTGGCATGTCACAGGCGAGATCAACCCGTTCCACCGCGTCCAGGACGAGAACGTGCGCCAGTCACACGTCTACGACATCCAGGTGGCCTCTGCCTCCTCGCCAGACAGATTCTTTGATTCCTTTGTCTACGAGTCCATCCCGCGCAACGGCAATGGCAAGATCTGCAAGCCCGACGACCTCACCTCGCTCTGCGACGTCGACGACCAGATCGAGATTGAGGTCGACATTGGCGTCGACATGGCCTGGACGCAGTACCTGTCCACCGAAGACACCATCGTCCGTGTGACGCGGCGCGAGGGCGGTCCCGTTGAGGCCTCGGAGGTGGTGATCCGCCCGACCACACTGGACTTTGACGTCGAGGTTGATGGCGATGCTGTGCTGATCACGGTCCCCTTTCACGAGAATGGACACCGCTTCTCTGTCGAGTTTAACGATAACCTGTGGGAGTACCGCATCGGCGACCCAGGCAACATGACCAACGGCCACTACGTGCAGAATAAGAACCCTAACGGGGCCCGCTACGTGGAGGAGTACGACGACGAGCTGAACCCCGTCATGGGCGTCGAGCCGCTCAACGCGCTCCTCGTCTTCATGAGCCCCTTTCCCGCGGACAAGTATGTGCCAGACCTCACCAGGGACACGTACACGGTGCCCGAGGGCCTCGTCACCGACCTCACGCAGGTCAAGGAGTCGACGCTTTACTTCCCCCCTGGTGTGTACTGGCTGACAGGCTCCAACCACGCTTCGCTGTCCGACAGCATCACCTGAGTCTATATGGCGCCCGGTGCCTACGTCAAGGGCGCCATCCAGTACCACAGCCACGCGCTGGACCTGCGCGCCACCGGCTTCGGGGTGCTCTCGGGCGAGCAGTACGTCTACCAGGCGAACACGGCCCAGGGCTACGAGAACGTCAAGTCGGACAACACATCCCTCAAGATGTGGCGCGGCGAGTCGGCGCCCGGCACGCGGTGGACGATTCACGGGCTCACGACCAACGCGCCGCCCTTTAACAGCATGGACTTTTACGGCGACGACGTGACCTCTTTTTCCGTGGACGCGTCCGACTACAAGCAGGTGGGCGCCTTCTTTGGCCAGACGGACGGCATCCAGATGTACCCGGGCTCCCACGTGCGCGACGTCTTCTACCACGTCGGCGACGACGGCATCAAGACGTACTACAGCGACGTGCTGTGCGAGCGCATGACGGTCTGGAAGACCAACAACGCGCCCATGATCCAGTTTGGATGGTACGCGCGGGACGTGGACAATGTCACCGTCGACGCCGTCCAGGTTGTTCATACGCGGTACCAGACGCAGCAGGTCTTTTGGCCACGGGGTATCGCGGGTTCCGCCGTTTCGTACCTGGACCAGGAATCGACGCGGACGGCCAACGTAAGCAAGACGCTGTCCAACTACAGCGTCACCAACGCCCGCTGCGAGGGTATCTGTCCCAACCTCGTGGGCATCAACCCGCTCAACAACATTGACATGTTCCTCATGAAGAATATCTGGATCGAGACGCTGGCGCCTGAGATCACGGACGTCGGCAAGAGTACGTTTCGGGTGTTCACGGACGAGGAGGGCAATGAGGTGCAGCTGGGCGCCCAGTCGCCTGGCGGGATTGGACTCGTCATTGAGGACTTTTACGTGGGCGATGAGAAGATTAGCTTTGAGAATGATAACTGGCGGAGGGAACAGTTGGGCCAGATTGATTTTGACGAGCACTGGGATGGCAAGTGGACGTTGAGGTAGCAGTGTTGCTGTATGGGAGTTGAACGTGAGGCATTGCCTTGGATACTTGAGACTTTGGACAAGAGTCCAGTCAATAAATCGGCTTCAGTATTCGGCTTCCCCCCGCTGTCTAGATATGATGGAAGGCATATAGTGTATTTACCCACAGTCAAGCCAGTTGTAGAAACGCCAACGTGGTCCTGTCGGCCTCCTCGACTCCAGCCTTCTCCAGGCAGGGAGCATACCAGCCTTGCCACGCCACGTCCCTCTCCTGTACATGTAGGCTGTGAGCCGACTCAGATCAATCCGAAAAGTTAGAACTTACATGTAGAAGACCAGGGGTCCGGCGAATTACCCGATGCAGTTAGCAGCGCCTCCTGGTCCTTGGTCATTCTCCGAGTCCGTGCCGCGTCTCTCCGCACTCCCACGTCCCGGTACTCGGAGCTCCCCCACGGGGAATCCATCTCTCCTTCAACCTGCCCTGACGTTGCTCTGCATCCCCACGTCCATCGCAGCATTACCTCTTTGGATCACGGCACCTTGACCCGCGGACAATGGCCAGTCTCACATTCAGTCTGCGCTCGTCCTCCGAGCCCCTCGCGCCCGCGCTGCGCAAGGCCTGCGACAGGTGCCGCAGGCGCAAGACGCGCTGCGATGGCCAGCCTAGTTGCAAGACCTGCCTTCTCGTCGGGGTGGAGTGCTCGTACAGGACAGTCTCAAAGCCAGTGGGTCGCAGACCAAGGAAACCTCGTTGCTCGCCGCAGGGCCCTCCTCCTACGACTCCGTCCATGACATCGCAGAGTCCTGGGCCTGATAACGACGCAACAGCGCAGACGTGGTCGGTTACCTGGACATCAAAACAGCCCGAAGAAGAGTCTACTCGTGCACTGTTCCACCCAGACGTGGCTGCGGCAGACTTTATAGCAGACAGTCAACCGTACCAAGAGCAGTTCTTGCTGGACGACATGCCTACCAGCCCATGGTCCTCCTATCCCCTCCTCAACTTCTACTCGCCCTCGCTGAACAACAGTCTCCTCTTTGACCTATTCACAGACGCGAGCACCATTGAGACGCCCAGTTGCATCGCCAGTAGCTGCAACGTGGTGCCTCCAACACCTGCTGCTCCGTCAGACGACTGGAGAGTCCCCCCTAGCACCTTCACCCCCTACACGCAGCTCTACTTTGACAGGCTATACCCCGTCTTCCCCGTTCTCGAGAGACACCAGCTAGACAGCACCGCCTCCTGGGACCAGTACGCCCTCGCCTCCTCCCTGGGCGCAGCCATCACCGCTCAGCTCAACTTGGTCGACCCCTCGACCATTCACCGCCCTTCAAGTTCCTCCGCATCATCAGCCCTGCGCTCGTCATCTTCACCCCCGCAGCAGCAGCAACCCCTCCCAGGCCAGGTATGGACCGACCACGCCCTCCAGGCCCGGCAGGCGTGGGACTACATGAGCGCACCCACAGAGTCCACCATCATGACGTCCTTCTTCCTCTTCGTCTACTACGACAACGCCAAGCGGCCCCAAAAGGCCGGCTACTACCTCCGGGAGGCCATTGGCTTCGCCCTCGCCCTCGGCCTCGACGACCTGGACACGTATCACGACGCCGCCTCCCACGACGATCAGCGCCGCTGTCGCCTCTTCTGGCTGCTCTTCATCACCGAGCGCTTCTACGCACTCCAACACAGAGGCAGCGTCCTCCTGCGGTCCACCATTCCCCTGCCGCAGGTCTTCACCTCGCCCCAGCCAAAGCTCATCTACGGCTTCGTCTCGCTCGTCCACCTCTTCAAGTGCGTCGACGACAAGTTTGTCTCCCTCTGGAGAACGAGCCGCGCCGTGCTCACCTGGGGGAGTCCGTCTGCGTCTGCGTCCGTAGCCTCCGTGGCCGACGACACGGGCAAGGCGGCCTGGCAGGGCCCCCTGTGCGACTCAGTGGCTGGACAGAGCATGGAGGGCGAGCTCGTCGAGGTGCAGCGGCTCGACATTGCCGTGACGCAGCAGTGGCTGCATCTCCTGGCGTGGCAGCTTCAAGACGCACGAGCGGCGAGTCGACGCGTGCCCTTTGTCGTGTCCAGGGAGACGCTGGGCGTGGTGACGCGGGCGGACCGGCAGTGCCTCGAGGCGCATGGCATCGGCATGGTGTGTCTGTCTGTCTTCTTTCTGCGAATATTCTTGCTGACAGGTGTAGGAGCAGAAGCTGTTCGCCATTGCGTGCTGCGTGTCCGACGTGCTGCAGCGCTCCGCCGAACTCGACAGGGACGCGGTCTCAATGGGCCATCAGTATCTGCATGGCTTCATGCGCGTGCTGTCGTCGTTCCGGAACAGGGAGTCTGAGTATCTGCAGCCGCTGCTGGCCAGGGCCACAAAGACGCTGACTGCAGAGCTGTCCGTGCCACCGACGCTGACGCTGCCTTGCGAATCCGATGTCTCTGGTCGGGGGGAGAGTGGCCGCCCGGAACATGTCGATTGTTGAGGCTACCATGTACATTAGTAATTGTACAAACAAGACTACAAACGACAAGACAGCCAGACTTCACTTGACACAGGCAAAGCATCATTTTCCCTTCATTCCTCACCAGGGTATCACGCCATCGTCCTCAACTCCTCCGCCACCTCAAACCGCGCATCCGTCTTGGCCCTCACCTCATCCACCGTCACCCCCGGCGCCAACTCGGTCAGCACCAAGTCTCGTCCACCCGTCCTGTCCACCTGGAACACGCAGAGATCCGTGATGATGGTGCTCACCACCCGCGCCCCCGTCAGCGGAAGACTACAATCCTGCACAATCTTGGAACTTCCATCCTTGGCCACGTGCTCCGTCGCCACCACAATCTTGGTGCTATCCGGGTTGGCGACCAGGTCCATCGCCCCGCCCATGCCCTTGAACACCTTGCCGGGGATCATGTAGTTGGCCAGGTCGCCGTTGCTCGCGACCTGCAGCGCCCCCAGGATCGAGACGTCGACGTGGCCGCCCCGGATCATGCCGAAGCTCTCGGCGCTGTCAAAGCACGACGCTCCCGGCACCAGCGTCACCGTCTCCTTGCCTGCGTTGACAATGTCGGCGTCCACCTCATCCGGCGTCGGGTACGGCCCCATGCCGAGAATGCCGTTCTCGCTCTGGATCCAGACGTTGCGTCCTTCCGGGAGAAAGGTGGCCGCCAGGGTTGGGATGCCGACGCCCAGGTTGACGTAGTATCCCTCCCTCAGCTCCTCGGCGGCGCGGCGGCCGATCCGGTTCCTCTTCCCTTGTGCCTCGTCATTGGCCTTGGGGGCTTGGTCAGACGAGGACGACGAGACGTCCCGCGTCTGCATAATCTCAATCACTTTATCCTGTGTGGCCGGCACGATGCGGTCGACAAAAATGCCCGGCAGGTGGACGTCGTTGGGGTCCAGCTCGCCGACCTCGACGATATTCTCGGCCTCGACAATCGTCGTCTTGGCGGCCTTGGCCATGAGGGGGCCAAACGCCTTGGTTGTGTAGCGGAAGATGCAGTTGCCCGCCTTGTCGGCTTTCCAGGCGCGGATGATCGCCACGTCGCCCGTCAGCGCCGTCTCCATGAGGAACGTGCGTCCGTTGAACTCCTTTGTCTCGCGCTTGCGGCCCTTTTCGAGGACGGTACCGGATGCGCCGAGGCGCACGGGGATCTCGCCCTTCTCGACAAGTGTGTCTGCAGGTCATTCGTTAGCCTTTGTGTGGACATAAGCAAAAAAGGGAACCCTACGAGCAGCTGTGGGCGTATAGAACGCCGGAATGCCAGCACCTCCCGCCCTGATACGCTCCGCCAGTGTGCCCTGGGGACACAGCTCGACGGCAATCTCGCCAGTGAGGTACTTCTTCTCAAGCACCTTGTTGTTCCCCAGGAAAGACAGGATGAGGCGGTTGACCTGCCCGCTCTTGGACAGCTTGGCCAGGCCACCCTTGCCCTCGACGCCCGAGTTGTTCGACACAGCCGTCAGCGAGTGTAGGTCCTGCGCGCCGCGACGCTTCAATGCCGAGATGAGCGTTTCGGCCACACCGCAAAGGCCAAAGCCCGAGCTGAGAATCGTCGAGCCGCTCCTCACATCAGCGACAGCCTCGTCGGCGGTCTTGTACAGCTTGGAGCCACCTCGCCTGTTGGTAGGCGCAGCGTCGCTTGTCTTGATAAAGCTGCGCGTGGGCTGGAGTGGGAGTAGGCGGATGCTGTGAAAGCGACAGGTCGACGCAAGCGCTCTGGGGCGCGCGAGACAGCGAAGAGAAGACATGGTAACAGCAGCTGAGGCTATGCGAACAAGAATGAAAGAAGACTGAGTTTCAATCCAATACACGTAGGACGGCCACCTCGTTTTGGAGACTGTGCATGCAGGCTCGCCGGTCCTTGTTCTGATGTCCGTCACTGCTCGGAGCCCAGATCGACGTCCGTGTGCGGGACAGATCGTGTCGGCATCTAGAAGTAGGCGCCGCACTCCTCCGTTTCACCAGCTTTTACCCTCCGGGCTGTTGTTCCATTCTCATGCGGGGAAAAGTCAAGGAAACATGCGTCAGCTCGCGAACTCGGGCCAATGCAGCCAGTCAAAGTTGCTCATGTCGTCCCAGGACAGCCCACCAAAGGAGGGCTCAAAGTCATTGCCCGGCTGGTTCAGGACCTGCATGATCTGGTCGTCGGACATGGTAGAGAACTGCAGCGTTTCAGGCCACAGGAGCTGCTGCTGCTGCTGTGGGAGCGGAGGATGGTGCTGATGCGGTAGAGGTGCGCCCGCCTGGTGGTCCATTGGCTGCGCAGCTGCAACGCCTGTCGCGATGGGCGGCGTACCCAGTGAGGCCGGCACCGAGGGCGATGTCGTTGGCATGCGCAGGCCTTCCTTGATGCCCCCCTTGGCGGCGCGACGCACAATCTGCCGCAAGTGTCGGCCGTAGAGACTGGAGAGACCGTTGCGGTGCTCGGTGACGGCGCCGATCCTCTCGAGCACACTCGCTGTCTCGTCAATGAGCTTGCGCACGCTGGGCGCCAACGTCGACCCGCCCGCCGTGTACGCGCTCAGCGTCAGCGCGAAGCACGCCGCAAAGGAAATCATGATCGTCGTGTTATTGGGCATCGACTGCAGCTGCGCCTCGCCCTGGATAGCCGTGCGCAGGACGGCGAGCGCGGAGGACAGGCCCGCTGTCCGGAAGAAACGGCGTACTTCGAGAGGAGCCGTGGGATGGTTGATGACACTGCCGTAGATGGAGAGACGCGTGTGAGTGACGAGGATCTCGACGTAGGGAGGCAAGCGTCGCTCCGGCCCTGCGCCGATCATGGCGCCCCAGTTGGCGTACCACTGGTCAAAGAAGCTCTCAATTGTGGATTCGATACTGCTGAGCGTTAGTGAATAATCAAGGGAACTTGAACGAACAAAGAACTCACGACTGCGCGGCAAGACTACCATCGCTGCTCACCCCCTGCGTCCCATCGCAGTACGCCCTCACCGTCGCAAATGTCGCGTCCAGATCACGCCGGAGCACCGCCATGGACAGCAGCGGGCCGTCCTGCTTCTCCGCGAGCGGGCTCTTGTGCCAGTTGTCGCAGTCTTTCAGCAGACGCGTGATCGGCACCAGGAACGGCCGTCCCCTCGCCAGACACATGCCTCTCTCCAGAACAAAGAGCGAGATCCAGCATCGCTCGCGGCCTCGCAGGAGGAGCGTGCCCTGCTCCGATAGGGGGTCGACGTCCTGGAAGCCGTCCATGGCCAATGCCGTCTTGGGATCCAGACACTCGCCACGCGCCACGGTCACGCCCGTTCCATGGCCAAGCAGGGCCTGCGGTATCAGCACTTTGTGTAGACTCAGGTCAATGGCAATCGTCGTGGCCATGCTGATGTACGCCGACGTCTCGTCGTTGGTCGAGTGCGACCCGGGGAACATCCAGGGCACGTTGATCAGGTAGGCGAGCACGATTTCCACGGATTTGAGGCGGTGTGGCGTGATGCGGTTGGCTAGCATCTTCGCGTGGGTTGACAGGCGTTTGGACAGAGCGCCGGCAGAGGGCCAGAAGAGCGCAGCGGCAGCCATGATGGATGTGCACAGAAAGGCGGAGCGGGACCGCGTGTAGCTCAGTGTGTATAATCGAGGATCCAGTCCCCATCGCGTGTGCGCGAGTTTATCGTAGAAGAAGCGGAACAAGGCTTCGCCTTCCTCGACTGTGACGAGGCCCATGCTGAGAGGATCAATGTCGTCGCCAACGTCCAGGTTGACTCTAGCCGCCGACCCAAAGAACTGCTGCAACTCGCACGCTTCCTTTGCCTTGTCCGAGTGCGTGTGCTGCCTTGCGCGCGGCGGCTGCCGGGTGTGCTGATTCTGTTGCGTCGGCGGCGGCGGCTGCTGGTGCTGATGTCGTAAAGGGGCTGCCGGTGCATGTCCCACCTCGTTTCTCCGCGGCTCCTCCGGCGGCTGGAAGTACGATGCTCTCGCCAGCAACTGCAGCGGATTCTCCGCGTCATCAATGGCAAGCGTGTCTGCGTTCGCCGGCGGCATATCTGGCGTGGAGTCCACCTGACTGCCGTCCTCAGCCAGCGGGTCGGCATCACTGGATTCGTCCATCTGTTGGTAGTCCAGCTGGTCGGTCCTTGCCGATGCTCCTGTGAGGTGCTCCCTCGCCTGCACCTCGTCCAGCAGCTCCTTGAGCCGGGCGACAATCCGGCCTCCATCCCCGGACTGGGGCGTATCACCGCTCCCGCCGCGTCTCACCACCTGCTCAATCTGATACAGCGCCTTGTCGAGACCTACACGCTTGCTTCCTCAAAGTCAGTCCACTCGCCCATGTGTTGCGAGGGCAGGCACACGTACTTTTTGATGCCCTTTTGTCGCCCGACGTGCACATCGGGCCGCACGCACTCCTTGCCCAGCTGGATGCACCGTTTGCACTGCACCTCACCAGGCGTCCAGTCGCACTTGATCTTGCTCCGTCGGCAGACAATGCAGGCCGCCAGCCGCGGGCGCGCCGCGGCCGAGTCCACGCTCATCGCGTTCTAAGGTGTGTCGATACACCAAGCAAGATGAGCAAACGCTGAGGTCGGTGAGTGAGGTCCAAAGCGCGACAGCTGCCTAGGCTACCGAGCCGCGGGTGCCGTCTGTCAGGGACACGGATCAATGCGAGGTTGCATCGGCACGTGTTGGAGTCCGAAAAGTCTGGGGCAAGTGGTTGGCTGGCCCGAGACGTAGTCAGGCCAAGGTGAGCGGTTGGGAGGGATGTGGGTTGACCGTTGGGGAAGCCCGTTGGAGAGGCAGCCGGGGACCGGAGGCGGGGATGCATGGTGGGTGTTTGAGCTACCCTGCACTGTCTTCAGCTACGTACTTACTTGTGCTCGGAAACAAAGATACACGTGGGACTGGCCATTTGATGGTTGAAAGAATTTAGGTCATGGTAATATTTGGCACAAGTCGTTTTGATTTCGGTGCAGTTAGAGCGGCAATTGATTAACCCGAGCTTTTTCGTGGCCAGCAGGACCCTTCTCTGGACAACATCAAACAACATCACACCGCGAACTTGTAACCGCATGTGACCACACAAACTGG